AAAAAAATTTTTGACAATCTTTGATGACGAAATAAATTTTCACTCTTTTCTTTTTTAAATTCTCGAAGGTTCCACGATTAAAAAAAAAAAATGATTAATTAACTATTGATTGTTATGATGAATTCGTTCGTACACTTTTTGAAAATGAATGTGAAAATTTTCATGCACATTTATTATCACGAATTATAAAGCTTTTAAATTGAAATTTGTTTGAATTAAGATGACAGTAAACTATTAGACAGACATTAAAAAAAAAAAAAAAAAGATTAAGTTATGTTAAATGAAGTTAAATGAATTCAAGGCTTTAAGATAAAATCATTTCCGCTTGCAGTTAACCAAACTTATTGATTTATTTTTAAAAATAAGACTTCATTTTATTTTAATTGTTTAAAATAAATAAATAAATACATAAAATGTAAATGTAATGCATGTAAAATAGTTTATTTTAAAAGTTATTGATTTATTTTTATATTAATTTTATAAATTTTTATTAAAAATTAAAGGAAAAACCAAATTCTTTTGTTTTTCTTTTAGTTAAACTACATGAGAGATGATTTAAATAAATTTATTTTTGTTTAAATAATTAATTAATTATTAAATTAAATTAAACTTTAATAGAATACCTATCAAAACCGGATAATTTTTTTTCGTAGGTTTTAACTTGCAAAACAGCAAAAAAAAAAAAATAGTAAATTATATATAATTCGTTAATTTTTATGAGCGACATGAAAAAAAAAAAAAATTTTTTTTTTGTTCAATAGAAAATTATTTTACTTGTGAGAAAATAATTTTAATGCAAGTGAATGAGTTTAAGGTTAAGGTTTCTTAAAAAGGAAAGAAAAGGGCTTCGGGGTAATAAAATAAACCCGATTCCACACGGTTTCCATTACAAACATCACAATATTATTGTCAATTGATTTTCTATCCTTTAGAATGCTGATTATTTACACAAGAGATCTCATCTTACTACAACCGAATACATATTTTTAATGTTTTTTTACAAAAAAAAGTCGTTAAATTTTTTTTTCTTTCTTTTATTTTATTTTATTTTATTTTTTCTTCTTTTTTTTTAAACATCTAACACCTTTTTTCATTTGAAAAATGTCCAACAAGTTATTGTTGGTAATATTTATGTTTTTCTTTTTTTTTTTTTTTTCTTATCATATATTTTGACTGTTAAAAATTTTTATGCTTTTCTAAGTTAAAAATAAATAAATAAATAAATAAAAAGCCGAATATTAGAGAATGCGGCCGGCACATTAAAAAAAAAATATCAATTTTAGGCGTGATGGACAAATTTTTTTTTTAAATTTTATATTTAATTATATTTAAATAATTTTGACTTTAAGAAAAAAAAAACTTGTAGTTTCCTTTGATAAATAAAAAAAAAGCCAATGAAATTTATGCGGAAAAAGGATTTTTCTCTCGAAATTATTGTAAAAATATAAAATAAACTTTTTTTTATTTAATTTTTATATTTAAACAATTAACATTCTTTTAAATGTCTTTTAAAAATCAATAAATAATTATTACTAGAGTCTACATTATTTAAAAAAAAAGCAAAATTTATTAAAATGTCGTTTTAGAAGTCGAAAAAATTTAAATAAAAGCCGTTAAAACTTTTTTTTTAACTAGGAAACCTACCAAATTAGTTCAAAAATTATGGAAATATTAAATAAACCTAATAAATACAAATTTTTTTAATTACAAGTTTACACAAATTTAATTAATTAATTTTATTAAAAATCCTACAAATAATTCTTGCTTATATTTATTGAACGGGGGGCAAAGAAAAAAATAATTTTAACTTTACATATTCATTTTGCATTATTTTTTTTTTTATTTAAGCTTAATCAAATTTTTCGTTTTCATTATTTAGTTAAATAAAACAATAATACATTATGAAAATTTATGCAATAATAATAATGATATGTATTCAAACAAATAAGTATTCTAATTCAATCAAAAATCAATATTTTATTTAAAAAATATAAATTTCTCGCAATTTTTTTTTTTTTATTTAATAAAAATAATTTTTTTATATTCATATATTTTTATTATTATTTTTTTTTTAATCAAAAATTATTATTATTATTATTAAATCTCACAGGATAAGAGAAAAGAGTAAGACAGAGAGAGAGAGAGAGAGAGAGAGATGAAAAATTTAACGAATTATCCATTTTTATTTTTTATATTCTTCATTACAACGTACATTACCATGAAAGTAATAAATTTAATTTCGTTTAATAGGGAAAAAGATCGTAAAATGGAGTAAAATTATTGGATCAAAAGTCATAAAAGTATTTTGACGACGACCGTTAATATGAGAGTTAAAAATTTTTCGTTTTTCCACTTTTTGAATTTAGTAAAAAGAGGGAAGGGCAAAATACAAATGAGATTTCATCTTACATCATCCCTCCATCATTTTTTTATTATTATTATTTTTTTTTTTTATTATTATTTTTCCATGGAATTTTTTCACTTTGGTAAAAAATTCATATCGTAATGTACGAGTATATGTTGTACGTATAAAGTTTCATAATTAAAAGTTTTTTTTTTATTATTATTATTCTACGGATAATCCATCGCCATCATCATCATCATCGTCTCCATTAAGTATTTAATTTTGAAAAGCAAAAAAAAAAAAAAAAAAAACTTTTAGTTAAATAAAATTTACAATTATAAATAAATATTTCGTTTTTTTTTTTTTAAATTAATTATTTATTACCTAGACGTAAATGCATTAATGGCGATTTTTTTTTAAATTTTACCTTTTTTGTGTAAAAAAAATTAATTTTATTATTTATTTTGACTTTGAATTAATATTCTTTATTAAAACATTATTCAAAATAATAATTTTTATTTATATTTTATTGATAGAAAGTATTTAAATTCACATTTTATTTGTTTCTATTTTTTTTATTTATTGTTATAATAATTTTTAAAAAAATTAAATTTTTATTATTTTGCTATATTTCAACTTTAAATAAATTTAATTAATCAACTAAAAGATACTTTTTTATTTTTAAAAGATTTATTTAAATGAAAAGAAAAAAAATGTTTGGAAAATTTATATTATTGAGGGAAATTGAGGAAAATTACATTTGTTGAGGGAAATTCTTATTTGATTTAAATTTTACAAAAAATTATAAATGAAATCAATAATGTAAAAAAAAAGAAGTTTTTACACGATGGTTAGAATATTTTATTTTATTCTTTTTTTTTTTTTAATTTTGTTTTGATGTTCAAATAAATAATCACAAACAAAATATTCAGAAAGATAATTTTTTGTATTGGAAAAAAAAAAACAAATGCAGAGAAATCTTCATTAACACACGCACAATTGGTTCAAAGTCAAAGTCTGAAATGATTTTTAATTTATGAAGTCATTAATTGTAGCTAACATAAATTAATTTTTAAAAATTCATGATAAATAATGACAAATAAATTATCCAAAATGATTTCTTTTGTTTTTTTTAAATAATGAGTAATTGTAAAATAGATAACACCAAATTGAATGATAATAACTGTTATTTCATTTCCGGTTATGAAAAAAATGAATAAATAAAATACGGATTTGAATTTATTAAAATGAATATATTAATAATAACAATAAGAATATATTTATAAAATTATTATTTAAAAATTATAAATAAATAATAAAAGCGAAAATAGAAAATATTTTTCGTTTAAATAATTTGAATTAAAATCAAGCCGGTAGGATTTTATGTTATCTGCACTTTGCGCATGTGCTACCAACCTAACAATTTAAAAACGCCGGATAGTTTAATAATAATATAATTAATTAATTAATTAAAATGGTAAGATTTTTATATTTAAAATAAAATAAAATGAAAACTTCTTTTTTTTAAATAAAACTACGTATGAAAATTATTAAAATAACTCGATCTTTAATAAATAATTAATACATTTTTTATATTCTTTTAACGATATTGTAAAGCCTCGTTTCTGTACTGTTATATTATGCATCATGGAAATAGTAATTAAAGAAAATAAATTTTTTTTTTCCAGCATTCTGTCTTATGCAGAAAAGAAAATGCTCATGAAGACTCTATATGGGGTTGCGTTTGGGGTAGAATTAGAAAAAAAAAAGACAATTCGGGCAACGATAAAGAGGATTCTCAAGATGGTTTGCCTGAAGAAGTTGACTATGTTGTTACCGGTGGAGTAGACGATTGTGTTAAAGTTTGGGTATATGATGATAAAAAATTAAAATTAAATCACAAATTGGAGGGGCATTCTTTAGGAGTTGTATCAGTGGCCCTAAATTCAGATGGAAGTAGTATGTGTAATGTATATACTGTTAAATAATTTTATATTATTATTATTATTTCATCATACCTCTTTCTCGACAACAGTCAATTGTTAAATTTTAGAATAATAAATGAAAATGTTTAATTATTTTCTTTTATAATCATTTTGTATATCGAAAACTTACATTCTATGTAAACTACTCATTTTTCAGAATGTGCATCTAGTTCTATGGATTCAACTCTTTTTATGTGGGATGTAGTGACTGGAGAGAAATTAGGTAGTATAGATGTCGGACCAGTAGATATATGGACTGTAGCATTTTCGCCCGATGATAAATATATTATATCTGGTAGCCATTTTGGAAAAATTAACATATATGGTGTAGAATCGAAAAAGCAAGAACAAAATTTGGATACTAGAGGAAAATTTACTCTAAGCATTGCTTATGTAAGAAATAAATAAAATGAAAACATTATTTCTTAATTAAAAATCAAATCTTAATTAAAATTATATTTATTTCAGAGTCCCGATGGGAAATATATAGCCAGTGGAGCGATTGATGGTATTATAAATATATTCGATGTTGCATCAGCAAAATTAGTACACACTCTAGAAGGACATGCTTTACCAATTAGATCTTTATGTTTTTCACCTGATTCACAGTTACTTTTAACTGCATCTGATGATGGACACATGAAATTATATGATGTGTATGTTTAAAATTTATCAAAAATGAAATTGTTTGAAAAAAGAAACAACTCGTTAAAATTTATTTTATTTCGTTTTAGACAACATGCGAATGTAGTGGACACATTATCTGGACATGCTTCATGGGTACTGAGTGTAGCATTTTCACCTCACAACACTCATTTTGTTTCAAGTAGTTCTGATCATTCGGTTAAAATATGGGAATTATCGACTAGATCATGCATACACACCTTTTCAGAACATCAAGATCAAGTATGGGGTGTGAAATACAATCCAGATGGTGATAAAGTTGTGTCAGTAAGTGATGATAAATCAATTATTATCTATGATTGTCCTTCGTAATGTTTCATTTAAGTGCAATTAAAAATAATTTTTACAATCAAAAATTTTTTTTTTTTTTTTTTTAAATTTGACATATAATTTTTACATTGAATTTTTTTGTAATATTTTGTGTAATTGTGATGAATTCTGTCTTGATTTCCTTAAAAGGGAGATTAATGTAATCTTTTTTTATCCTAAATAATAATAATTGACAAAAACTAAAATCATTTTGTTTCGATATTTAAAACCCCTTCGAAGCACAATTTCATATTTGAACTTAATTTTATATATTTTTTTATTTTATTTTTGCTAAAAAAAGGAGGGGGGGGTGTGTGAGAAAATAACAAAATAAATAAATTCAATTTATTGTAGATTTCTTTTTTTTTTTATTTGTAATATTTTAAAATATGAAAAAAAAAAAAGGAAAAAAAGTGAATGCTGTCGAATTCTTTCATAACAACCTTTTTTTCTTATCATTAAATGTTTTTATGTCTTATCAGGGGGAAGGTGAAAATTTTCAATTTATGGAAAAGTTTTTGTAATTTTCGTCTTGCAAAAAAAAAAAATGATGCTCTTAAATATTTTTTTATTGGAATTTATTGTTTTTTAATTACTTTTGTGTCCACATTGATTTGTTTTATTTGCTGTAATAATTTATTTGTTAAGTTTTTTTTTTTTTTTTCCATCATCATTGAGGGTTGTTATTATGTATCCGACCAGTACCTAAAAATTCATAAATATTATTATTATTATCACCGTTGTTATTTTGTGTTGTAAGTCATCAAAGCAATCCTTAAGCCGTGCAAAGAAAGAGCGACAGCGTGACTGAAGTTTAAAAAAAAATATTTATTTAAAATATTATTGAATCGCAACAAGATTTTTCACTTTCGAAATAAATTTTTATACATCTTTTGCACTTTTCCGAATTCGTTTTCAAAAATCAACCCCTGTCGTAATTAATCAAGGCATTGATGTGAAATAAAATTTCGTATTTTTGATGGCGATTTCGACGACGGTATCCCGAAGATCTTGAAAGTGAATAAAACAGAAATGCTGCGGTGGGCAGATCCTTTGGAAAAATAACATTTTATCGGAGTAATAAATTGTTGGAAGCCACAGCATCACATAACGTGTCAAAGAACATATTTACGACATATATAGGGTTCAAGCCTTCATACCTGAAATTTTTATCCATTTTTACCTTGGGGCAATGTGTAGAATTTGAAAATTCGAGAGACTTTACCGAAGACGATGCATTTTTTTTCTTAAAATTAAAAATTTATTTATTAAATTTTATTAAATTTAATCTAAAATTTTTCATTAAAGGATAAAATTGATAAAATGTCTGTTCTTTTAAATAACGAAAACAATTTTTTTTTTAAACGACGCATTTAAATTAACGACTTATTGTCGTTGAAAAGATATATAATAAATCAATAAAAACAATTTGATCGATATTAATAAATAATTTAAAATTTGATTCAAGGCAAAAAACAACAAGTTTGTTAAAAAAAATTACTTTCACATTAATAAATGATAAGAAAATTAAAAAAACCAATTAAAAAAAATTTTTTTTTTTTTTTTTTTTATAAGAAAACGAATGGAGGCTGAATTGTGTTGTTAGATCCCCACGTTCGTTATGTTTTTGTTTAATTTAGGTTTTTTTTTTCATGTTGTTGTTTTCTTTTTTTTTTTTTTTTGCCTATAAAAAAAAAAAAAAGGCAAAAAGTAATGACGGACGGTTTTATTTCACCCATTGATGTCAAAGCCAAAGTGATTTTTTAATGTGATTAAAAATTTTAATTAACAGTTAAACCTAATAATAATAATAATAATAATAAACCCAAAAATAAATTTTTACTTTTCATATATGTGTCTGTCTGACAGCTTTCAATTTTTAAAAAAAAAAAAAAAAAAAAAAAAATTTTTTGATTCAAAATAAGTAAGTCAAAAAATTATTAATTTGACCCACTAATTAGCCCGTTACATCATTATTTTATCAATTATTATCATAACCGTTAAGCGATCAAGGAAAATTTAATTTAATTTGTTTTTTTTTTTTTTTTTTTTATATCTTCCAACATGTTATTTATATTTTTTTTTTATATAATTAGCATTTTTTTTAATTAAAAATTACATATCATTATTATCATTATTATTAGTATTACTATTAATATTATTATTATTAATTTTTTTTAAAATTAAATTTTCCGAACTTGTTCTTTGTTCTTAATTAAATATATAAATTTTCAATTTTTATTTTTCCCTTTCGATTGTTTAGAGATATGGAAGTGATTTGTTTTGATTATACGAAATAAGTTTGTTTTGATTTTGAAAATATGAAAAATTTTTAAGTTAAATTTCAAATGATATCTCATCAATGTAAAGGTATAAAAAAAAAGGAAAAATAGAAAGTAATTGAAGCCGCGATTTGCTTCAAAATTATTGTAAATTCATGAATTGAATTGTAGCCAGTATCCGACCATTAACAAATGGACGGAGACGAAGCAGCTAAAGGTAATGAAAACAAACAAGGTCCAAATAATCAACCGAAAGTGACAGGAGCTCCGAGTAGTTCAAATACAAGAGCTTCAAGTTTTCCAAATGTAGCACCTTTAATGGATCCCAACGTATCATCCATAAATAATCCTAACGTTCTACCTTTAATCGATGCCGACGTTGTACCCTCAAACCATCCAAGTTTACTACCAATCAACGATCCCATTGGACAGCGTCCGAGTAATCCCAAGACAATACCATTAATCGGACCGGACGTGCCACCGAGTACTTCAAACGTAAAAGTTCCAAGTTCTTCTAACATAAAGGTTCCAAGTTCTTCTAACATAAAGGTTCCAAGTTCTTCTAACATAAAGGTTCCAAGTTCTACTAATATAAAGGTTCCAAGTTCTACTAACGTAAACGTTCCTAGTAATGCTAACTTAAAGATTCCAAGTTCTACTAATGTAAAGGTTCCAAGTGCTTCGAACGTAAAAGTTCCTAGTGCTGCAAACATAAATGTTCCGAGTGGTACAAACGTAAAAGTTCCGAGTGCTTCGAACATAAAGGCTCCGAGTAATCAGAATTTGGGAGCACCAAGCACTTCAAATGTGAGTACTTCAAAAGATGTAGCCGAAAGTGCGTCAAAAAAAGAAGATCTTGCGACGAAACATTCGAGTTTGGCATCGAAATATTTGGAAGCTTTCACTAAAAACGCTGCAATGAAAAAAAGACCGGAAGGGAAAAGGGAAAGTGTTTTCGATTTCAATGAGAAGGAAAAAAAATTAATACCGGAAAAGACGACTTCCGAAGGAAACACAGCATCTTATTTAAATTTACTTAACATGGACAACGAAACATCCGAAAGAAGTAAGTCCTGCGCTACCCTCACTTATAATTGTCCCCTTTAACGGTTTTATATATTCCATTACGTGTTCATCAAGTACTTAATAATAATAATAATAATAATTTAATTATAGAAACAAGTAAATCATCTCGTAAAAAATATACTCCGTTCGATTTGTCACCGGTGGATGCCGCACGAAACGTTCAAGTCAATCAAAATGCAAACAACACGACCGGTACAGCATTTGTTAATTCGGGGCAAACAAATTGTCCAGGTTTGGCGGCAACACTTCTCCAGAAAAGGAGTCCTTTTATACACGATCCACCGGAATTGGAAGAAAGGAGGCCTCGCATACAGTCTCCGAGAACTCCGAGAGAATACATAATTAATTTAAGAGAAGATTTAGCGGATTTTCAAGAATCTCACGGTCTTCCTCGGTCCAGAGATTACAGTTTTGTTTCGTTAGGTTTAGCATTGATACAAGAAACCGGAAGAGCTTTGTTTTCCTTATTTCAAATGTTTACTGAATTATTTCCCGTATTAGCCATCATTTCCTTAATATTGAGATTTGCGCTAGATAAAGTAAAAAAAATTACAAAAATTTTAAGTTTCTGAATTCGTATTCAAATTTATTAACGTGACGTCATTTTTCTTCTTTTTTTTTTTTCTCACAGCTCATTGAAATATTTGAAACTCAGGAGACGGTACCGAAAATAAAAAAAGCCGTTATATTCACGCTCGAAATGATTGCCATTATACTACCCCTGTGGATAATCGTCGGATCGATATTAGTACCCTTGTTGAGTTTGGTCTTATCATTATTTAAAAGAGTCTTTCATATCAGATGGAGAAGACACGGTTGCAGTGTAATTATCATTTTAACTAAAACCCTAAATATTATTATTATTAATTTATTTTTTTTTAACGAATCAATTAACAAAATGACTTATTTAGGAATGTTTTTAGGCAAAACGGTGAAATTCGAAATGGAAAAAAACCTGAAACAAGCGAAGGAACGTCATGGAAAAAAAAAAAACTTTATACTCGGACTTCAACTAGAATTTTCTTTTTTTCTCTCTCTTTTTCTCTCTTTCTCTCTCACTCTTATCCCCTAAATTTTTCATTCAATAACTAACTGTTTGTTATCATAATTTTTTTTTTTTTGTTTGATGTGTATCTTCACGTGTAATGTTAAACACGAAGGAGGAAAAAAAAAAAAACGAAAAGAAAATTGTTTATTATTATTGTTATTAATATTATTATTATTATTATTATTATTATTATTATTATTATTACAATTACTATTACAATTATTACAAAATGAAAAAAATTTTATTTTTATTTAAAATATTATTATTATTATGTTGGAGTTTTTCCAGCAGCTTTCGTTTCAGTTCAGATATTTAAATTTAATTGTGATGGCGGTCGGTGGTCGATGGTACGTAAATAATCATTTTAAAAAATTTTACACGATTTTCGCACTGCTTCCACGACAACCCAAACTATTTCCGGTTTAATTTCCGGTAGACATTTTGTAGTATTTCCGGTTATTCGGTGTCCTTTTCCCTTTTCCTCCCCATATTGATATCGGATTTACGTATTTTTTTTTTCTTTTGCAAATCGACCCTTATTATCGAATGACGTCATGATTGTTAATAATAATAATAATTAATTAGAGGAAATAACGAATGCGTGCGTGTTTGTTAAAATACCAATATTTAAGTTTTTTTTTTTTTTTTTTTTGTTTTCTTACATTTTAAATTTTTCAAAAGATAATATGAATGAATTTCGAAATTGATTTAAACCCGGGTCACTGTACTGGGATAACACCCCGTCAGATAACCGGTGACCCCTGGACCACAAAATTTCGAATGCGGACCACACGATCAAATTTTTACTCATTTTATGTAACGCAATTGACCTAAACGGAAAAGAAAAAAAGTAAAATAAATATAATTTATTTATCAACCTTCACCTAAACCTTTTTTTATGTTTCTCTCACTTCCGCCAAATTTACGCGCACAATTTTCACAACTCGTTTCTCGTATTTTTTTTTTTTTTCTTATGCGTCACCGCCATTTCGCGTAATGTCGTCAAATGATGATAATAATAATAATAAAAATGAACAATCGTTGTCCTGTTTGTCGTCGTTTCCTACGCTTCGTTCTGCGGGAAAAAAAAAATTTTTTTTTTGCTGTTGTTAATTATTATTAACGAGAACGTAAATCAAACAATAAGTTTTCCCATCGAAAAACAATAAAATAATAATAATAATAAATTTATATAACGATTAATTGATTGATTCCCTCTTTTTTTTTGGTAAAAAATTTGTTTTTATTTATTTATTGATTTTTTTTTTTTTGAGAAAGTTTAAAAGGGTCATTCAACCAAAAAAAAAAAAAAATTTCAAAATTTATTTTGTCGCGTTTTTTATTTATTTATATAAATAAGTAACGGAAAAATTTTTTTTTTAAACCGGATATGCTGGAATTTTTCTAAAAAATCACCCTAAAATCCATTTAAATTTTTTTAAATAATAATAATGACAAACACGTGACGAAAAAAATCAATGAATTAATCAATTAATCGATTTGTTTTTATTTTCCGGGATTAATTTTTTTTCCAGGATTTTCCATGATGTCGTGACCCCCGTCATGGTTGTTTTTTAATCTACAGCAAAATAATTGGAAAAAAAAATTTAAATTTAAAACCTCACGTGAAACGAAGGGAAAAATGCGTAGTAAATTAATAATAATAATTAAATGAATAAAAAAAAAAAAAAAATTTTTTATTTATTTATTTTTTTTATTCATTGATGGACGTGTTAATGGCAAAACGAATTTTTATTTATTTTATTTTATATTAAATTTTTTTTTTTTTTTTTATTGACGGGGTCGCGTCCTTGTTCTTCACACACACACACGCACATATTTTGTAATTTTAATTTCCTAAATTTAATTTAATTTTACGACGATTTAATTGAATGAATTTTTTTTTTTTTTACTTGCGGATCCTGTAGGAATCTTCGAAAGGGAAAAAATTTATTTTTTCAAAATGGCGATTTGTGGAACATCGTGGGGAAAAAAAGGGGGTTTTTTTAAATTTAAATTTTCTTTTTATTTATTTCATTTCCGGTATTCAAACGGTTAAAAAAATTTTGAAAATTGTGTGTAAACTTTGCAATTTACAATTTGTGCCTTTTCTCTCTCTCTCTCTGCCTGCTTCTACCTCTAACCCTCTCTCTCTCTCTCTCTGTGCCTGCCTCTTTCTCTGTCTGCTTCTACCTCTACCTCTCTCTCTCTGTGTCTGTCTCTTTCTTTTTATAAAACACATAGTTTTTAGATAAAAAAAAAAAAAGTTTTTCACCATGAACTTGTTGTTGTAATGTTTAAACATGAATTATTGGTCCAAAATTATTAGACAGTTAAAGGGTCATTAAACATTTTGATGATTTTTTTAGGCTTAATAACATGAGTTCTGTTACAAAGGTGAAATGTTAACTATTGGAGGCTAGAAATTAATGATTGTATAAATATAACATATCGTAGAATTATTATTGATTAGCATGCGCGGATCTCATTTATTATCATTCGTATATTCATAATATCTTTACTGTCGGCCAAGTTTTCGCTGTGAGTAGAACATCAAAGCCATTCGAGCTTTGAGCTTCTACGGTACAGACGAAGTAAATCCATCGGATTATGTGTGTGTTGTAAAAAGAAAAAAAAAAAAAAAAAGGTGGCGAAATTTATTTTAAATTTTTTTTTCTGTTTTGGCCGGCCGTGATTAGGAATCACGAGAGCCGTACAAAAGGAAAAATTGTGTCGAAATTGTGAAAAGTGTTTGTTTAAAAAAAAATTTTTTTTTTTTTTTTTTTTTTAGTGCGAAAAATGGGGAGCGGGAAAAAGTATAATTTTACTTTTTTCATTTTAATTTTATTTGCTATTATATTGGTAAGTTGATGGATCGATAAGGGAGAGTTAAATGTTTAAACGAAAAAAAGATTGGTCGTTGACGAAAACAAAATTGAAATGGTTTTTAATTTTTTTAGCTGGTCAACAATGTTGAAGCCAAAGAAAAGAGAAAGAAAAAAATTCATCCCTCTAGAATCCATCTTGTAAAACCTCAAGCTCAACAACCGCCAATAGGGAATGAACCGCCACCACCACCACAACCTCCGAGAGGTAACGAAGCTCCAAATCCAAATTACGAAGAATATGATTATGGAGTTGATTATGATTATGATTACGATGAAAATAAAACAGGTATTTAAAGGGGGAGGGGGTGGGAAAAAAAATTGATTTCATCGAATAGAAGTTTTTTTTTTTTGGAAAAATTAAATTAAATTTAAATTTTTTAGATTCTGTTAATTCATCGGCTTTAGGACCTCAACCTGGAGCTCCAAATGGGAAAAATTTAAGAATTAATTTGCTTAATGCAACAACACCTCCTCCAGTAACTACTCCTCCATTACCAACTGAGGCTCCTGATAAAGAATGTATTGTTGATGGACAAGTGAGATTTCACAACGAAGTATGGAAATCTGACGAATGTACTACTTGTCGTTGTGATAATGGTTTGGTAAGTTTAAAAGAAAAGAAAAAAATTTTTTTTTAACTATTGATTTGTTCAATAATAAAATTTTTTTTTTTTTTAAGGTTGCTTGCACTACTGATGCTGATTGTCCACCAAAAAATAATTGTGAAAATATCGTGTGTCCAGACATTCCTTGCTCTGGAACTAAATACACACCCTACGGAGAATGTTGTCCTGTTTGTATTCCATCAGAACCGGTAACTCCAACTCCGGAAGTTAATAGACCGACTTATCCGTATGAAGGAGATGCTGGAGCTTTTGCTGGACCAAGAGTAATTTAAAACTTGTTAAAACAAAATAAATATCGATTTGAAATTAATTGTTATAATAATCGTTTGAATTTATTTTTAACAGGGAGAAACTGGACCACCCGGAGAAAGAGGTCGACCGGGAGCAATTGGAATGCCGGGTGCACCCGGTACTCCCGGAGTTCCTGGAATACCAGGACCCCCAGGACCTTCACCAGATGTAATGAAAATAATTTTTTTTGTAAATAATTATTATTTTAGGAAATTTTTAAATAATAAGATTTTAAAATGTATTTTAGCTCTCGAATTTTTACGCACAATTGGCTATGTCTCAATCAGGAGGTGATAAAGGACCCAATGACGTATTAGGTAGACTTCCGTTTCCTCAAGAACCATTTTCATATCTTCAATCTCAAGTTGGCCCACCGGGACCAAGAGGACCTCCAGGACCTCCCGGTCCACCCGGACCTCAAGGTTTTCAAGGTGTAAGAGGTGAACCCAGTGAATCTGGACCACCAGGACCACCAGGACCCCCTGGACCAAGAGGTTTACCCGGTCTTCCCGGAAAAGATGTATGTTATAATTTTTTTAAAATTTTCGCATTACAAAATCTTATGATTTTCTTTTGTAGTTTTTTGAAATATTTTTTGTTTTTAATAAAAAAATTATTTTCTAATTTTCATTGAAGGGTTCACCTGGAGAAGATGGAGAGCCTGGTATGGCAGGAGCAGCAGGTCCTCCAGGTTCTAGAGGTCTTCCCGGAATGCCAGGATTGCCCGGTATAAAAGGACACAGAGGTTTCCCAGGTTTAGACGGTGCCAAAGGAGAACAAGGACCCGGTGGAGAAAAAGGAAGTCAAGGATCGGCTGGTCCAGTAGGACCCGTCGGACCAATGGTAACAATAATTTTCTTTTCAGAAATCTTTACAAACTACTTTCGGATATAAAAACGTTTTTTATTATTTAAAGGGACCAACTGGACCCAGAGGTGAACGTGGCCGAGAAGGTCCACCAGGACCACCAGGTTTAAGAGGAATTGACGGTATTGCTGGGCCTCCAGGACAACCAGGTGCAATTGGTAAACCAGGAGCTCCAGGTTTTCCAGGAAATCCAGGAAATAAAGGAGATCAAGGAGCAACAGGACCCAAAGGTTCTCAAGGATTACAAGGACCACGAGGAGAATCAGGAAGACCAGGTAAAAAAAATGATAACAACATACCATAAATAGTTATTTGAAAGATTTTATTTTTTTAAATTAAATACTAATCTGAATTAAACACATTTAGGACAACCTGGAGAAAACGGTCAACCAGGTCCAAGTGGAAAAGACGGAAGCCAAGGAGAAAAAGGAAGCCCCGGTGCTGCTGGTCTTCCTGGACCACCAGGATTTCCAGGTGCAAGAGGAGCTCCAGGATTATCTGGTAGCCCTGGACAACCTGGAGTAAAAGGCGCTCCCGTGAGTTTTAAATTTTTTATATTTTATTTCGGGAATATTTCCAAGTTTTGAACTTATGGGTTACGACTTCTGCTTTTTCTCGAGTTGATGTTTAACGTTTTCTTTAAGACATAAAAATTCTTTTTTAATTTGTTAATTATATATTAAAAAAAAAATTTGTCTTCTTGAATAAAAATTAAACAAAAGCTTATCAAATGACTAAAATTTCGTAAAAAACGAATATTTTTGTTAAAGGGAATGCCTGGTGAAAGAGGACTTAAAGGAGAACAAGGAATGAAAGGTGAAGCTGGATCACCAGGGCCTAGAGGTATTCCTGGTACTTCCGGTTCTGAAGGAAAACGTGGTAAAAGAGGTTTAAGAGGACCTACAGGTTTAGCTGGAACTCAAGGAGAAAGAGGAACACCTGGACCACGAGGATTGCCTGGACCTGATGGAGCTATTGGACCAAAAGGTAAAATTTATCAGTTTAAAAAAAATTTTGATATCCTACAAAGAAAGTTATAATGAAAATAATAAATTATTTAAAAATTTTTTTTTTAGGACAAAGTGGTGACCGTGGACCTCCCGGTCCGCAGGGACCCAAAGGTAACACTGGTGAACCAGGAAGACCTGGACCACCCGGACTTCAAGGTTTAAGAGGATTAGTTGGACGTCCTGGGCCTGCCGGTAAAACTGGTCCACCAGGAGATAGAGGTATCGAAGGAGCTGATGGAAAACCCGGTGAACAAGGACCCCAAGGTATTCAAGGTTTACCAGGACCTATTGGTTTGCCCGGAGAAAAAGGATTAACTGTAAGAATTTACTGAAAATTTACCTTTGTTAAAAAAAACCCATACGAGGTATACGTTATTTTATTTTTAAAATATTTTAAAAGGGTGAACCCGGTAAAGATGGAGAACCTGGACCACAAGGGCCAGTTGGACCAAGAGGAGATGCTGGTAAAGACGGTTCCCCTGGAGCTCAAGGACCACAAGGACCGCCGGGAGCTCCTGGAGAGAGAGGAGCTAGTGGACCACCAGGATCAACTGGATTCCAAGTAATTTAAATTTTTTTATGAGTCATGAAGTTTTTCTACTAAGTTTAGGGAAAAAAAACTTATTTTTATCTTACTGTAAAAGGGTTTACCAGGAGCCCCAGGTACTCCTGGAACACCAGGAAAAGATGGAGAAATGGGTTTACAAGGACCTCCTGGACCCATAGGTGCACCCGGTAACAGAGGAGAAAGAGGATTTCCCGGAGAACGAGGATCGGTAGGTCCACAAGGTAGTCCTGGTGCCAGAGGTGAAACCGGAGCACAAGGAGTAGACGGACTTCCAGGATTACCCGGAGAAAAAGGATCTAAAGGACACGTGGGACCACCCGGACTTGTGGTAAGTATTAATTTAATTTAAGTAAAGTTATTTTTTTCGAAACAGATCTTACAAAAAAAATTTTTTACAACTAGGGTTTGCCAGGAGGCAGAGGTCTTCCAGGACAACCAGGAGAAAAAGGAGAACGTGGATCATCTGGACCAATAGGACCTGAAGGACCATCTGGAAGACAAGGAGATCGAGGACCTCAAGGACCACTTGGACCTCCGGGACCACCTGGAGAACCCGCTGAAAGAGGAGATCCTGGTCCACCAGGACTTCCCGGAGAACCTGGAGCCGCTGGAACTCCAGGAGAAAGAGGACCTGTTGGTCAACAGGGTATTCAAGGATTCCCCGGATTACAAGGACCAGCTGGAAGTCCAGGTACTGTTTTATTTGCAATAATAAATTTATAAGATCATAAGCGCGTACTTCAAAATCAGATTTAAAAACCGAATTAAATATTAACTTATGAATTTTTATTCATCTACAGGAGCCAAGGGAGAAAGAGGATCAAACGGAGCTAAAGGAGAACAAGGAAGTCCCGGTCTTGCAGGTAAGCCTGGAGATCCCGGTGTAGCAGGATTAACAGGATTACCAGGACCAAAAGGAATTAGAGGAGAACCCGGACCAAGAGGAGAAGTTGGTTTGATGGGACCAATGGGAAGACCCGGAGAACCTGGAACTGCTGTATGATTTCTTCTTTAATTTTTTTATTTCTTGTACGAAGCCATAAAAATTACTAATATTTAATTTTTTTTTATAGGGTCATACAGGACCACCAGGTCCAGCTGGTGCCCCTGGTATTCCTGGAAGTAAAGGTTCATCTGGTGACACCGGAAGACCGGGAGCTCCAGGACCCATTGGACACCCTGGTGCTCCAGGACCTGAAGGCTCTAAAGGAGAACAAGGACAACAAGGAAGCCCTGGATTAATAGGACAGCCAGGACCCCAAGGACCTCCGGGAGATAGAGGATTGCCAGGATTGCCGGGAGCAGCAGGTGCCCCAGGTAGCAGAGGAGTTAGAGGAGCGCCGGTAAGCTATAATCATTTACTATAAGATAAATTTTGAAAAAGTACGAATGATTCGTTACATATTAATATATTATTGATTCTAGGGTGAATCAGGATTGCCAGGAAAACCAGGTAATGAAGGACAACAAGGACCACAAGGTATAGCAGGGCCACCTGGTCCTCCTGGAGCTCCAGGAGAACAAGGTGTTGAAGGACATGCTGGAAAACCAGGACCTCCAGGTATAGCAGGTCGTACAGGAGACAAAGGACCGGTTGGGCCAGCAGGGCCTATGGGTCCACCAGGTGCACCTGGTCAACAAGTAAGTAATTTAATTTTACCGTAAAAAAAATCTAAATTAAACAAAACTTATAAATCAAATTGTATTTTTTTCAGGGATCCCCTGGTTTAGTTGGAGCCCCAGGACCAGCAGGTGAAAGAGGACCTAGAGGAGAAGTTGGACCTCAAGGAGCAGATGGGCCCGTGGGTCCACGTGGTAGCCCAGGAGTTCCTGGAGAACAAGGAGTTAAAGGAGATCAAGGATCAGAAGGTCCTAAAGGTTCCAAGGGTCATCGAGGTTTGATTGGTTTGCAAGGTCTTCCAGGTCCGCAAGGTCCACCAGGAGAAAAAGGTTTGACAGGAAGTCCCGGATTCCCAGGAAAAGATGGAGAAGTAGGTCCCAAAGGACCTCCTGGAAGAGATGGAAACCCAGGAATTGCCGGATTGCAAGGACCTCCTGGAGTAAGAGGTGCTCCTGGAGATGAAGGTAAATCTGGACCTCCTGGCCCACCTGGACCTCCAGGACCGCCAGGACCACCCGGAGACTCATTAGCATACGACGCAGCCACTTTGGCAGCATTAATGGGACAACAAGGCTCTCAAGTTAAGGTAATAATAATAATAATAATAAAATACTGCTCCCATATTATTTACCATCACGTATTAACATTTAAAACCCCCAAAACTATTTAGGGACCTGATCCTTTGAGCGGAGACGAACCACCAAGAATGTTCGGTGACATTTCCGATGAAGAGAGAAGAAACTTGGTTTTGAAAGCTTATGAACACTTAAAAACAACATTTGAAAGGTTTAAAAAACCAGACGGCAAAAAGAATTATCCAGGTAAAACGTGTCGAGACATTTTGGCTGCTTATCCTGATTCACCATCTGGCGAATACTGGGTAGATCCTAATGAAGGAGACATAAAAGATGCTGTTTTGGTCCATTGTGATATGGAAAAGAAAGCCACTTGCATTCTTCCGAGTCCATCTAAATCAGACGAAATCAAATCTTATGGTGAAAAACCAGAAAACTGGTTGGGAGACATGGAAGGCGGTATTAAAGTTAGTAACTTAAATTTTTCAAGAATCGATGACGTCAATAACGCATGAATTCACGCATTCTAATTTTTTCTTTTCTTTTCCTCAGATGAATTACAAAGCGGACAGTAATCAAATGGGATTCCTTCAATTACTTTCCACCGGTGCCGTTCAAAATATAACATACCATTGTAAAAATTCAGTGGCTTCATTCGATGCACAGGGTAAAACATTTAGAAAAGGAATAAAACTTTTAGGATGGAACGATGCCGAAATATTACCCAAATCCGGTAACCACAGATTACAATACGAAACTATTGAAGACACGTGCAGGGTAAGATTGATTACACGTGGTTATCATTTTCCCCCCCGACAATTAATAACATTATTGACATTTATATAATTTTCTTTCCCAGTTTAAGAAACCGGATTGGGCCAAAACCGTCATTTCGTATAAAACGGATAAAGCTATTCGACTTCCCATCGTCGATATCGCCATTCGAGATATCGGAGGTCCGGATAAATCATTTTGGGTGGAAATCGGTCCAGTTTGTTTTCAACACAATTAAATATACATAAATAAAAATATAGATATTAATTATAAATTGTAAAACTGCCAAAAAAAAATGATCCAAAATGTGTTCATAATTATCTAAAAACAATGTTAAACAATAATAATAATAACAATAATAATAATAATAATAATAATAGTATTTATTACTTAAATTCGATATATATATCATTCAATAATTTTCTCTTACCTTAATTATAATAATAATAATAATAATCCTTTTTTTTTTAATTCAATCGATTCGAATTTTCTCCGTGTTTTTTCTCATCATTAATTTCATTATTATTATTATTATTATTATTATTGGTATCGTTATTTGAATATGAAACGTTCGATTCGAAATAATAGTTATGTTGTTAATAATCCGTAAATTTTTTTTTACACCAGGGATCTAAAAATCTTCTAGTTTCAATGATGCCAACAATTTCTTCTACGGCTCTGCAAAGTCTGTTGTACGTCTGTAACGTCGAGAAGGGGGGGAAGGGGGGGAGGGGGAAATAAATAATCCGTTTAAAATAATTTTTCCGTTAAACGTAATATATATATTATTATATACCTTTATGTAAAGCATGACGTAAAAACGTGAAAAATCGATAATTTTAAAAGATTCTTCGGATTTTAATCCGGCGTATGAGGTTAAACTAAAATCGATTTCACCATCGAGTATCATAGTTTTATCATCATCGTAATAACTTTCACCTTCTTCATCTTCACCATTTTCCCGGCATTCCCAATCGCATTCGCAATCGATTTTTAAACGAGGATTAAAAGAAACGCAAGATTTAGAATATTCGTAATCGATTTCGATAAAATTGATCATCTTGCATAAAACTTCGTACGCCATGACGTATTTTTTATTTTTTCTTTTTTTCCCACGCACGGGTTTCAATGCATTTTTACTTTCCGTACATATTTCCCTCCAATAATTTTCTTTTTCCTTTTTCGATTTGATATTCGTTAAAACTAATTTTACCAGGGTTCCCAAATGTAAATCCCATTCCGCTTGATTCGTTTTACAAAGGTTCGAAATCTATAATTCAAACGTTCTCGAATTATCATATCCAATTTATTCATAATTATTAAATTATTATTATTATATATACCTCGGAAAATAAAATTTTTAATTTTTTAACCGTCGTCGAATTATAATAATGCTGTTGATTGTGATATTCGAATAAATCTTTTTCCGTTAAAACCGATCTGTATTCTATGTAATCCAAAAAATAATGGGGTTCCGTGAGCGAACGTATAATAATATCATTCAATATATATTTTGCTATCCTTTCACCGACTCTCCTATTCAAATAATTTTCTATCGTTTGTATTTCCTCTAAATTTGTATCCCCCACGACGACAGCAAAAAATTTAAAAGTCGCATGTTTGACGTTCGAGTGCAGGGGTGGAAAAGTATTTAAAAACCAAGTTTCCGTTCGCGTCCCTGATTTTTTTCCCATAAGATAAAATTTCAAACAATATTTTTGCCCCGGTAAAAAAGTACCTTAAAAAATAAAACGGAAATGAATTATACCTTATCGTTATTTCAATTAAAATTAGGGGAAATTATTAGTATTATTATGAAACCTGTATTTTTATCGAAGAAAAACCAAGGTTCGTATTTGTAAGGTTTTAAAAGGGTTTGTAGAGGTCTTTTATCGCACGGTTTCATGGTCCATTTATATTTTATGGCAACGTTTCCTCTATTTTCGAAATAAACAACCTTTTCGTAAAGTTTTCCGATTTCGTTCGTGCAACCGAAATCTATGTTCCATGTCGGACTATCTCCATCTTCTTCGTGTCCTTTCCTTAGAACCAGACAAACTGTATTTTGCCATATTTACCTCTCCCTACATTTAATACTAACAGATAAAATGATAGATACACAAACGATTTCCTTTTCACCCTGTTTGTTTATTTAAAAAAAAAAAAAAAAACTCACCATTCTTTATCCAAATTATATTTCATTTCAACGCCATCAATAACCAAAGAAAATTCGCTCGTGTTTTCAATTGTATTATCATTATCTTCATCTTCTGGCGGTGTTATTATTATTTGCGGTATGACGTCAAATATCGAAATCGGAACGTCAACCTTTTCATAACAAAAAAAAAATTATTATTATCGTTTTTTACTAACTCACCATCACCACCGACACGGACTACGGAAGAAGAAGAAGCAGAAGAAAAATATTTACAGGTTTTTCACGAAGGATTCCTTGTCCCACAACCGACAAATCGTCCATATTTATATTTGGTTTAAATTTTTCTTCTGCGAAATTTTCAAAATAACATCTTCGACGACCTTTTGATCTTTCGTAATCTTTGCAAAATAAATTTTTTTCATTTTTAATTAACAATGAATTACCGATGAATTCGAGTTTTGACAGAATTTTATTCTTTTTTAAATTTTTCCTTTTTCTATTATTATTATTATTATTATTATCTCCTTTTAATAAATCGGCAACAGTTTTTGAACGTTTATATTTTTTATTATATTCTAATAATTCTTTTTTTTCAACCGTCTGAAAAATGAATAATTGAATACTGGGTTAGGGGATGGGAGTGGAAGTGGGGGTGGGGAGTAAGTTTTAATCAAACGACTAACTTTTCTATAATCGTCGGATTTATTAAAAAGTAAATCGCAAACATCGTTATTAGTTTTTCTCATCAAGTGTTCCTGCATGATTTTTCTTTGTTTTAACCAATAATCCCATCGTTTGAGCGCGTTTGATTCTTCTAATTTTTCCTCGGGAAGACTTATATCCTGGAAAATTAGACGATGACGTTTTAATTCTTTGATTTTACACTTTTTTCAAAGGAGAGAGAACAACTCACATCAAAATTCAATTGAGATGGCATCACATGAAATGGAAATTCGCAAGTCGATGGACCCATGGAGAAAATTCTTTTATTTATTTCTTGAAATTGAAAATCGTAATTTAAATTTTCTTCGGATAATTTCGATTTGCAGGAAATCATTCTGGGACATTCTTTACGTAATTTTGAGAAACATGGTCTCATGATTTCTTCCGAATAATGTACGGGTTCTTCAAATTCATGCATTTCGACATTTCTTGTTCTTAATTTGGGCAAACTAACTCCAGGTTTTAACCAGAATGGTATGGAATCTTGTAATTCTTCTTCTTCTTCTTCTTCTTGGGATACCACTTTTTGTTTTTTCGTCATCGTATTTATTTTTTCAATGGGGGGAAGGTAATTGGATTCCGGTTTTCCCGTGCACACATCCGGTAAATATTGCGGTTTACGAATTGTAAATCCGTGAATATTTCCATCCGTATTACTAAATTTATCATTTTCATTCATTTTTGTCACGTCGGACATTTTTTTTTTTTTTTTTTTTTCCCCACACAAACGAAACGTATGGCAACGAAACGATAAACCCACTCACGCACTCACGCACTTTTTCCGATAAAATTAATAATTAATAATTTATTTATTTATTTATAAATTTTCGTTTTTCGGTTTTTTTTTTGGGGGAGTCTGCTGCTGCTATCTTGAAATAAATAAAAAAAAAAGTTCTCGAATATTAACTAACCGCGAATGAAAACTGTCAAAAATAATAAATAAAAAAAAAAGTTTGAAAAAAAAAAAAAATAAACAAAGTTATTATTATTATTATTATTTTTATTTTCTTTTTTTTTTTTTTTTTTCTTTTTAATAATTTTTATTTAAATGGGGTGCACTTTGTGTTTTCCTTTAAATTATTCAATTAAAAATTGTGAGTGCGCTTGGTTTTATAATAACATTTTTTAAATTTCAAGTTATTGTGATGTTAATAAAATGTCAAGATCACACTGCGAAACAGAAAACGTACAATTCGTTCAAGAATTAGCCGAAGTTGATGGGCCCTTTGAATCCCCCATAAATATTAATTTTAAAGATTTAATCAAATTAGAACTTCCTTCCCTTGTTTGGAATCAATGTGATGCCAGCCCGAAAAAAATGAAAATAACAAACACGGGACATACCGGTAATCATTATTATTATTATTACTAATCCGAACCATTTCTTAGGTTTATGTAAATATGCGACACGATTCTCAATTTTATTTAATTTTTTTTAAAAAAGTTATTTTAAGCGGTAAGTGGAAATGTGAAAGACCGTATTTAACAGGGGGACCCCTTAAAGGAAAATATGTTTTCTCACAGATACACTTTCATTGGGGTACGGATGATTGTAAGGGTAGCGAACATTTAGTATGTGGCGAAGGGTAATTATTATTATTATTAAATTACGTTTTATTCTATTTCGAACTTTAATAACATTTTATTTCAATTTTCTTTTTCAGATTTCCTTTGGAAATGCACGTTGCTCATTTCAAAGCGGATTATTTAACACAAGAATGTGCCCTAAGAGAAAAAGATGGAATGGTCATATTAGTTTATTTATTCAAAGTAATATTAATTATTATTATTATTATTACTAAAAATGTCTACGCACACGTATATAATTAAAAATTTAAAATCATTAGCTTCAAGATGAGCCGAACACGAGTTTAAATAGAATAATTAATTCACTGCAATACATACAACAACCAAGTTCGAGTCAACATTTAGATCCACGACCCATATTATCATTCATTCATCCATTCACGGATGATTATTTTATGTATTGGGGTTCGGTTGTCACGTCAACTTGTGCCCACATATTAATGTGGTTGGTTTGTCGCGAACCATTTGGTATATCCAAAGAACAAGTAATTTTTTTTTTTTTTATTATTAATAACGTTTTAATAATAATAATAATAATAAATTAATTTTTTAATTGAAAAACGATTTCGAAAAACAGGTATGCGAATTTCGAAAAATATTAGATACGTCAGAGAGACCGATAAGTAGAAATAATAGAGATCCACAACCTTTGCACAAAAGAAACGTTTTTCACGTGAATGCATCAAAATTTTTAGATTGCGCCATGTTGCCGGTTAAAAGAATCGCCGGTTGTTTTTGTGGTAGAGGAGAAGAATTTGGAAATCAAAGAAGTGGTTGTCAATGTCAGGGTTCTAAATTAAATCAAGAGGATATTGAAGGTAGAGTGTAAGTGTTTCTTCCCTTATATTGATAGGAATTAAGGGTTTTTTTTTTTCAAATGAAAATTAGTTTCTTAATTATTTTTAACATATATAAAAAATTTCAATATATTTTTTATAAAATAATTTTATTAATATTACATAGAGTAAATATTAAAATAATTTTTTTTTTTTTTTTTTTTTTTTTTTTTTTTTTACCAGCAGGGATATGTTTTGAAGGTAAGAATAATTTTCTGCACCATTTCTTAATACCGGAAAAGAAATTCTACGACTTTCCATAAACAAATTGAAGGTTTTGGTATTAAATTAAAAAATAATAATAATAATAATTGTGACTTTATCAAAACGAATAAAAATTAAAATAAAAAAAAAAATTTTTCATTTTCAGGCCAAGAAAGCGTTTACACGAGTAAAAGATTTTCCGGCGAAAACTTTTTGCAACAGCCGCTTTTTGTGCAAAGGGCAACGGTACATTCCGCACCGTTGTTACCAAAGCTCTTGGAAAATACTTATTTAGGACAATTATGGTCGAATAATAATAATAATAATACTATAAAACCAGCCGACGATTCATCACATTTGAAAATAGTTTCACAAAGCTGTTGTTTCATACCCGTTAAAGATATATCGGACACGAAACCGCGTAAGGAAAAGAAAAGAATGAAAAGGAAACCGTTCAATTCGACGAAAACAATATCGAACATAATGGAATCGTTGGAAACGTTGAAAAATCAAACTCTTAAAAAATTAAAAGAAATCGATTCGATAAATCAAGAAATAAAAGGAATCAAATCATTTTGCCACGACATTGACGATCAAAAATGGATAAAAAGAATAGAAAAAATGATGTTCAGACAAAAAGCGATAACTATCAAATCCTCACAGGGATATTTTAGCAAAATGAAAAAACTCGCAAGGGATTGTAACATAGATAATTTTTTCGAAGGAAAATTACTCACATTTGGCGACAACTACGGTAAAACGTGGTTGAATAATTTTTCTAACGAAAGGATTCGGTCTGGGGGACCAAATTCGCAAGAACGGGAAAACAATTCCGATTCGAAAGGAGAAAAAACATTCGACGAAAACAACGCCATTAAATTTTCAAATAAAGCTCATAAAGTGATACAAAGTTTTTTTGACGACATGAAAGAAAATGACGGATTACAACAATCATTGAAAAAAGATTTAAATCATTTGAAAAAAAGTCTTTCGTATAAATCCCAAAGCGAGAATAACATTTCACATAAAAATTCGAAAAAAGGACTCATAACTCAAAAAATTTTCAAATCACAAAATTTGGGTAATAGATTTTTCATCGAAGTGAATTCCGAAGAAATCGACGTCGATGGTAATAAATCGAAAGATTTGAAAACGTCAGAGGTCAAAGTTGATGAAAACGTTCCGAGCGAAATATTACAAAACGATACGGATGATTTCATATGTGATTTCATACCTCAATACCATAATATTTACGGACCTAAACGTAGCCGAGAGGCTGTGATTCCTTTACACAGAACGAACGTCGCAATGAAATTTTCTCATCCCGGAAAAACATCAAACGGGTATAAACATGTTAAAACCGAATCGAATTCTTCCGTGATTAAGAAAAATTTATATAACGATAATTTACAAATAGAAAACGCGTTAAGTGACAGTGATAACGATAGTAGTAATAATAATGATGATAATAATAAGGAAATAATAAATTCGGTGTCGAACGAAAGGCAAAAAATTACATTAACGAAATATTGTAAATTTTGCCCGAAAAAATTCAATAAGAACAACAACAACAACAGCAATACGAAAAAAACAACAAAGTTAAATCGTAAAAAAGGTTATAAAAAACAAAAATTCCGGGATTTGAATTTATTCGAAGGTTTTTACGTTAAAAAAAAAAATGTCAAAAATAAAAAAAAAAATTTAAAACGAAATAAAAATAACGAAAAAGATTGCGACAGCGCATTGGAATCAAGTTCGGCGAGTAAAGACAACGTTCTCGCATTAAAATACAAATTGAAACATTTGAAAAAAACAAAATTTAAAATTAAAATAGAAAAAGGAAGTGATAGTTGTACCGAATCGGAATTTCAATTTTCAATCACGAGTCCGAATTATCGAGATTTTCCAGAAAATTCTTCACTGAAAAATCAAAACACGTGGAATAAAATCCACGTGAAAAAAGATGTCAATAATAAAAATGTTAAAAATTCACCGAAAAATATTTTACCGGAAGAAATTTCATCGAAGGAAAGTATTCGTACTTCCGGTTTTAAAAACGAAGAAAACGTTTGCGAAAATCAAAATGACGTCATTGTTGAAACGGAAGAAAAAAATAACGCGGATGACGACGAACGATTTTACGTGGCGGAACCAACGTCATCCGGAAAAGTCGAACCATCGAATGACGAAGATTCCGGGAAGAAAATAACGGCGGTTAGTACCGCCGATATTAAAAACGATTCGACGGATAAAAAAATCGAAGAAGAAAAATTACAAAAATTTCACATCGGAGAATTACATTCGTTCAACGAAGTTTCGAAAAATAAAAGTTTTACGTCATTTTCCCTAATAAAAGGTTTCACGGTTAACGTTAATGATAAAGTCATACCATCGTTCATGAGATGTCATCTCGAATTGAAAAAAAATTTAAAATTCGATAATGAAATCGATAAGAAAAATTCGATTCTCGAATTGGACGCGGGTTTTGTTATAAGCGCGAAAAAAACGTCGGAAAATTTAAACGTTGACTTTATACAAAAAAGAAATGTCGTCACTCTCGTGAATCGATGCGGCATTGAAAAATATCATTTTTTGGACAAAGAATTGCGAGATGTTAAACCTTTACCGCAGCAAGAAATAAACGCGATTAAATGCGAACCTAAATCCGAACAATGTCCGCCATTGAAAAACGACTCGGTCGAAGACATCGTTTCCGTTATTTCAAACGACGTGGCAGAAGACGTTAAATTTCCAAGCGTTGACATGCGTGAATTAACAAATTCGTACATGGATTTAAAACACAACACGAACAGATCGTTTTCCTTTGAAAATTTTCGCGCCGCCGTTAAATCTCGTAAGAAAAAAATTAAAAAACGGCCAAATTGTTATAAAAAATATTCGATAAAAAATACATTTTTTAAAGATTCTAATAAATCTAGTACGTCGAATATAAAAGAAAATGACGTTTTTTCTAAATATTCTAGTGAAAAACAATTGAAAATAATAACGGAAAATGTTGCGAAATATTTAAAACAAAAATTTATAAAAAATGATAACGATAACGAACAAACTTATCGCGACGTACATAAACTAACGGATTCGGAAAATTCGGAAAAAGAAACGGAAATCGGGAAAAACGAGAAAATAAAAAACGAAAACCCGGAAATGAATTTCGAAACTAAACAATCGAAAAATTCTTCCGTTACATCCGTTAAAAAAAAAACCGCGCAAAATCAAGGGGGTAAAAATGATTCGACGATAAAAGAAAATCGAAAAGAAGAAGAAAAAGAAGCAGAAGACGTTTTAGATATAAATGGTAATACAATAAAAAATTTTAATACCGCGAATGATGCCGTGAATGAAGGTACAACTTCGCTTTCCCTCGACAAAACAAAATCAGGTACGAATGGCGAAATTTTATATTTGATCGAACGTGACAACAACAACCACAACGACAGCAGCAACGTCGTCACATTAAATACAACAGCAGAAGAAATTAATTTACAAAAAAAAATTAATACGATGAAAACGGAAAAGGAAAATTTGATTAGTAGAACGAAAGAAAAATTTTTCGAACCTAAAAATATTTTTACGAGAAAACAAATTTGCAACGTTCAATTGGACGTGGATGGGATTAACAACAGCAGCAGCACGAGTAAAAATACGACGACGGAAAAAATCAAAACTAAATTCAACGAAGAAGAATGCGGGAAAGATTGTAAAAAACTAACAAATTCAAAACCGCATTTAAATTTCGTCAAATTGAACAAATTAATGGCGGGAAAATATAAAAAAAATAACGGATCGACGGAAACGAAACAAATGACACCCTCGTGTCAACCCCCTTATAGGAAATACGCCGAATCGAAAGTACCCGTTTTGAAAAGGAAAATTCCGAAAATAAATAAAAAAATAACGGATGAAAACGGCGTTTCGAACGCCGCGGACAAATCCGATAAACAAAACGATGATAATAATGATGATAACGATAAGAAAAATAACCGGAAAAGGAAATTATTCAAAACTAAAATACCATTTTCCCTTCCGAATAAAAATAATTTGGAAAAGATAAAATCACAACCGAAAAAAAACGAACAAAAAAAACAAAAAACAATTAATAATAATAATAATAATAATAATTACAATAAAAATAAAATTAATAATAATAATATTAATAAAACTCATACTAATAATACTAATAATAATAATAAAATAATTAATAAAAATAATAAAATTAATCGTAGATTAGGAGAAACCGGAAATTCAAAATCAATATTAGCATTTGAAAAAATATCATCATCATCAAACGATTTATTAAATTCATTCATGATGACGTCACATTCTCCATCTTTGATAAACGTTTTCGAAAAGCAAAAAATAAATCAATTTTTTTTAAGTGTTAAAAATAACAACAACAACAACAACAACAACCACCAACAAAATGAATTACGTTTAAGCGAATCGATAAACGAAATAAAAAATTTTTTCGAAACGCAATCGAATAAAAGCGAAACGATATTTGCAGAAGATTTAGAAAATTTAATAAAATTACAAATGTGTTTAAATCACGAAATTGCCAACAATATAGAAAATTCTATGAATTATATAAAAACATTATTAAGTCAAGAATGTCACAACAACAACAACAACAACACCGAAACGGTTATTAATTTTGATAACAACAACTACAACACGCTCATGGAAAATAGCTTCGAAAATAACAAATCAAATAATAAAAGCGGCATCGTTTTGATTGAAATGAATTCAATAATAAATTCACCGAGTTCCGGTTCCGGTTCTACGTCGGATAATTTAGAACCTTTTAATTTATTTAAATTAGAAAATCAAGTTGATAAATTACAAAATATCGATGCCGTGACAGGTAATTAATGCTTTTTTTTTTTTTTTAAATAGAATCACTTTCCGCCATTTTGTCTAATTTTTTTTTGTTTGTTTTTCGAAGATTTAGATGGCGACAAAGAATACAATTCGGATTCGAGTTACAATTGCGAAATATCAATAACACTAAATGGGAGATCAAGCGAAGTATTAACACCGACGCGTAAAACATCATTTAATTACCTCAACGAATTATTAATAAATAATTGTAAAGAAAATATTATATTTACCGGAAATGAAACGTCCGATAATTCCGGTGAAACGATGAATGACGTCACGTGTAAAAGTAACAGTGCGCAAACGATACGTTCTCTCGATTGTGATAAAACTAAAAAAGAAAACGAAGAAATGTCGTTGGAAATGAAAAAAAAATTATTGGAAATATTAAAAGGTGAAATTAAAAAGGAAATGACACTCACGTATTCGAGATCTTCGGAAACTCTTTGTGATAATTCGTCGTCTGCTACTAAATTAAACGATTCCAGTTTAATGAATTTAAGTCCGAGCGAATGTGAAAGTGAAAAAACGGAAACGCTCATAAGTCTATCGGAAACGATGAAACATTATTTATCGGAATATAAAAAAAAAATTATTCACGAACAAAAGATTGATAAAAAAAACCCTGAAAAAAAATAATAAATATTTATTATTATTATTATTATTATTATTATTATTATTATTATCATTACTATTTTTTTTTTTATATATACATACATAATAATAATCAATTTTTTTCTTATAAAAATATAATTTCACTTCCGGTAAAAAGTGCGATGCGCTACGATAAATAATAAATAAAAATTTTTTTTAAAAATAATGACGTCATCGCGAAAAAAAATAATTTCCCGCGTTTGATACCGATAGTGTTTGTATCAATCAATAAATAATAATCACGTATAATATTTATTTAATCGATTAATAAATTTATTAAAACGTTGTTAATAACTTATTTATTATTATTAATAATTTTCTTTAACGTTTTTCTAAATTTTCTTCTTTTTTCGCTCTTTCTTTCTCTCTCTCTTTCCCTTTTTCTCTCCTGGAGCTGGAACGCTATTATGAAAGTATTATAATTGAAAATTATTACTATTATTATTATTATTATTATTATTATTATTATTATTATTATTATAATTCAATTTTTTTTAAATATATTTATTAAGAGCTTTGTACAGGTTTGTTTTGTTTTCCTTATAAAAATAATACAGAAATTTTATAGATTAATAATAATGATAATTTATATATAAAATAATAGCAGTAATAATAATTATTATTATTATTATCATGACAAAAGGAACTGAACTTTATTATTATTATTATTATTATTATTATTATTATTTCATTTTTATTTTTTCAATCCTTTAATTTTTTTTTTAATAAAAAAAAATGCACAACAATTTTTTTTATAAGCATTTATTATCATTATTATTTTTCTTTTTCTTTTTACAATCAATGCGATTAATAATAATAATTATTATTATTATTTATTTATCAATATATTTTATGTATTTATGTATATATTAAAGTGTGTGTGTATAAAAAAACATTTAATTAATATGACTGGGCAAATAATATATTTTCTCCCACCCTGTTTTGATAAATCACATCAAAATCAAAATGTCCGTTACAAAAAAAAAAAGAAACAACAAAATCATAAATATATGTATGTACATATATATAATTAATTTCCTCCCTTATTTTCTCCTTACGCCCCCTCCCCTCCCCCCTCTCTCTCTCTCTCTCTCATCCACGACGCTACTTTTTACACTAATAATTTCTCTATACAACAATTTAAACTCCCTATTCCCCCGATTAAATCAACCCACTCTCTCCTCCTTTTCTCCCGGTTAAATCAACCCCCTCTCCTCCCTCCCTCCCCCCTCCCCCCCCGCAAAAAAAAAAAATTAACGAATGAATAATGCGACATAGAAATAATAATAACAATAACAATAATAATAAAGTTTAATACAAAAAATTTTTTCTTTTCTCTTTTTTGAGCCACCAAAAATTTAAAAAAAAAAATGATAATAATAATAATGATAATAATAATAATGATAATAATAATAATAATAATTATTATTATTATTATTAATAAACATATTTTTACAAGAAATCTAACGTTCGAGTTTTAAAAAAATTGACAACATAATCTAATCTATACAAAATTCTAATATATATATATGTACATAAAAAAAAAATAGATTAAAAATTATAAAAATGTTACGATAACAATTATTTTCATTATTATTATTTTTTTTGTTATTGAAAATCAATAATTAATTAATTAATTAAATTTCAATCGAATAAAATCAATAAAATCGTCAATAAAAAAAAAAAAAAAAAAAAAATTTTTAAGAGTTAAAAATTACATTGACGTTGATGATAATAATTTTATCTTTAAAAAAAAAATGATTTTTAAATTTATTATTATTATTATTATTATTATTATTATTATTGTTATTATTATCATTACCCTTCACTTACTCACTATTAATTTTTCCTTTAAAATAATAATAATGATAATTTAATAAAGGCTATTTTTTTTCTCTCTTTTAATATTCTTACGAAATAATTTAGAGCTTTTCTTCTAATTATTATTATTAATGAGCGGGTAAATCACATTTTACTATTATTATTATTATTATTATTATTATTATTTATTAAATTTATTTTTTTGTCGCCATTTTAAATTTAAAAAAAAAAAAATTATTGCAAATAATATGAGAATGCCATTTTTTTATTTATTTATTTATTTATTTAAGGTCTTAATTACTGTGATAAATTTTCATCTCCCCACACAAAAACTTTCCCAATCATTATTTACGTGTAAATATTATCATTATTATTATCATTCGAATTAATACCTTAACATATGCTTCGTATCATTTAAATAATAATAATAATAATAACGTTAAAAATAAATAATTTTCAGGTTTTTTTTTTACGGTAATTTTTTATTTCGAATAAAAATAATAATTAAATTAATTATTACTTTGTTTGATTAATAATAATAATAATAATAATAAATTCATTTTAATTTCAAATTGCACTAATAATAATAATAATAATAATAATAATTTAATAATAATAAAATTTTTCTTTTTTTTTTTTTCTATTATAACTTTTATTAACTTTTATCAATAACTTAAAAATGATACATATGTATATATATATATATATTTAATAATAATAATAATAATTATTATTATTATTAATAGATTTTAAATGAATTTTATTGATAATTAAATTTAAATTTAAAAAAAAAGAAATACATTTAATTAAAATATAAATTAATTTAATGTTTCGTCTTGTAAAAACAAAAAAAATTCAATTCATTCGTTACAATTAACAAAAAAAAAAAAAAAATAGTCAAAGTAATTTCTCAATTAAACATTTTCGTTTTTTTTTCGGGGGTGGGGGGGTGAGGGGGAAGAGAGAGGGGGGAAAAGATTTTTTTTTTTCATAAGTTTTTTTAATGGCAAAATATTTCATTTAAATTTTATTTAAATTCATCCCACCTATTTATTATTATTAATTTTTTTTCTTTATTTAAAATTTTCTAATTTTATACATATGTATATATATATATATTTTTATATAAATATAATTTTCTTCTTCTTCTTCTTCTTCATCTTCTTCTTCTATTTAAAAACATTTTAGTTTACAAAAAAAAAAAAAAAAAAAATTCTTTACAATTTTATTGTCGACAATTTTTTTTATTTATTTTATTTTATTGAATTTTCAGGATTCAATAAATACGATATAATTAAATTATGCTAGAGAGAGAGGGGGAGGGAGGAGGGGGGGTAAATAAAACAAATAAAAGAAAAAAAAAAAATTTTTTTTTTTAAAATTGCACGAAATCCATCAGCATCATTTATACAAATTAATTCATCCATTTTCTACAATTCGGTGCACCGCATAGACAAGGAATTTTATGTTGATCATCTTCTATATCGAATTTATAATCGTAAGCCAACTGCGAACAAATAATAATAATATTAATAATGATGATAATGATATAAGGTTAAAAATCATGAGATTAATGCAGCAACGAGACCAACTTCTTCTCCGCGTGTTATCCTCCTTTTGGCAAATATTATTATTCTTAAATCCCTATCGACTTCGACAATTTCCGCCACGCAATTCGGATTACAGGAATGATTAATGTATCTGGCTAATCCTCCGCAAATGGTCGCATCGATAACTCTTTCCTCATCTAATCTGAACATGTAAATCCCACGATTCTAAAATAATAATAATAATAATAATTTTCATCTCACTTCACACTTCCTTTTCCGTTTTGATGTATGACGTCATTGTAAAAGAAAATTTATTTACCCTTGCTTCGTATTGTTTTTCTCTCGATTCCGACAATTCGTGTCTTATTATCTCTCCAATGTATTCAATGACCATTGTGTGACGTTCCAAATCTCTCGCCGCGTACAATCCCAAACCTTGAATTTTGCTCCGTGCCAAATACACATTGTTCCTCCATTCCAATTTCATTTTTTTGTACTGCGAACTCTTCGAATGTACGAATTGTTTCGAGTAGGGACACAAAATTTCACTGGACAACCCGGGCAAACTCGATGCGAATAAATTCGGTCTGAAAAGGTTTTTAAATTAAAATTTTTTTCCGATTGTTTCAAACAATCTCGATTCCAAACGTTCGATATATTATACCTGGAAGTTGTAGCCGTTCTTTGCGTGTGTGGCCTTTTATACGGCAACAAGTTTTTCTGTCTCGGTTCCGATCTCGCACAACCCGTAGGATTAACGGCCAAGGGTAATTCCAAAAGTGGATTACGACCGTATTTAAATTTATAATCAGTCAAAGTTTCAACACCTGAAATTTAAAAAACGACGGGTTGGAAAAAGGAAAAATTATCATTTTCAAAGAGAGATTTTCTTTCGCACCTGGTAAACTTTCGAGAACTCTCACAACCGCGGGTTCATTCAATCCGAATAAATCTTCACCCGAAACGTATCTGGGAAAAATTTGAACGTTTCCATTTTCCTTTCGTAGTTGTTGTAAAGGCTCGAGTATTCGAGACCAAACTGCTTTCGGAGTCGAATCTCGGAGCTCTATGTCATCGTAATTAGGCTCTTGGACTAGAATTCTAAATTCGGGACGACCGTAAGCATCGTGAATGGAACAAATGTATTTGCAACGTTTGTTTGGCCTACGCATGCTCCAGTAAAAACGAAGCTGAAATTTTAATTTAATTTAATATAATTCGATTGCAATTTCCCCTCCCCTCCCCCCCCAAACAAAAAAAATAAAAAACTCCTTACTATTTTGTACCCGACAGGATAAATGTAATTGGGCGTGTGAAAAACCGAAAGCTGATGAGGCAATAATTGTCCGACGTTTAAAAAAATTAATGAACCAACACGAAGAAGATGATTTTGATCCGTGTGATGCATGACGGTTGCCACTTGTCTGTTTTCATCTCTCTGAACGTACACTCGCCGATACACGGAAAGAGTCGTCAATTCATTGTCTTTTTCATTTTTAGGGATGTGGGCTGGACAATATGCCGTCTATAAATAAACAAATCAATAAAATGATCATGTACAATTTTAGCAAAGTAAATTGTTTAAAAAAAAAAGGAGGGGGGGTTACCTTATTCTTAAAAAATACACATTCATCTTTAACGGCGCAACCTAAATGATACACGTTCGAACACCGGAGTTTGAAACAGTGGATGGTAGCTCCATTTTGATTACACAAACTGCAAATGGTCGTTTGACCCAATTGAAGAGCGTTGTCGACATTCATGAGTGCTCCGTTCACGGTTTCATAAACATCGTCCGACCAAAGAGCGCAATTTAAATGAACCCATTTATCAACGTCGAAATTGAGCAATCGAGCCGGACCGTCTGCCACGCCGTCTCCCAGCTGATGACAAAACAGACACCGCCTCGTATCATCGGAATTTTGACTCGGAGTTAACGTGACTCCCACTCTGAAAAGCATTTCCATCAATTCTCTCTCGGATTGCTTCTTGTATCTCGTGTTGGCTATCAAAGATCCCGGTTGCCAATATTTGTATTTATTCCCTTTATTCGGTTTTTTTATTTCATTGTCTTTCTTTACTTCCTCTTTAGATGCGACTTTTCCATTTTCTTTTTCTTCCGTAGGTGATATTTTCATTTTTTTTGCAGAACTTGAATTATTACTCAAGTGATCGACGACCGCAGCAGCTTTATCTTGACCAGTGTTCGGAGACTTGTGCATTAATGAAAATTGCATGTAACAACCAGAGCTGCAAAAATAAAGATCTTCCGTGCTATCCGTTATGTCGTCTCTCTGAGATAAAAACGGAAGTTCCATGACTTTTTTACGTATCATGTTGTTTAAAATAACCACGTCGCAGTGTCGGCAAAATTTGGCTTGTCCATTTAAAATACTTTGAATATCGACGGGAGCACCTTCTTTACCATCTTTTCCCTTGTTGCGATACAAGCCCAGTTTAATGCTTGGCGGTGTTGCCGTTCTTTCAATTATTTGGTAAGTAGTAGGAGCAGGAATATGTAAAATATTAGCCAAATCTTTTAAAACGCTTAAAATATCTTGAGCCGCGTCGGAATTTAGAGTGAGAGTCACGGTCACGTTTCCGTCTTTGTTTAATGAAGAGTTTTTCCTTAAATTGGCTCCGCCACAAGAATTTTCCTTATCCATTTCTCTGAACTCTTTTAAAGTTTGACCCGGTTTTAATCTTACAGGGATGGGAGCTATAATAGGAATGGGAGGAGATGCACGCAAACCTTCTTCATCGGAACCAGTTTCTTCTTTGATTAACTGCAAAGCGGGATACAAACACGGAGGATCGTGCAACACGCATTCCGGAGATGAAGAACTGATAACAGTATCGGGAGTGTCGGTATCTCGTTCCCTGTTTCCCAACAATAAAGTTTCTAATTTTTTTTCTTCACTGTCCGTAACCAAATTGATAACTGAAAATTCCTGATCGTAAAAACCTCGTTGAGTCGAAAGTGGACTCACGGGGGGAGGTTTTTCTTTTTCACCGAATGGTTTTGTAGTGTAATAGTCCCCCAAACTAGGGAGAAAGCAATTGCCGTAAGTGCCTTTAATTTCTACATTATTCAGTTTATTATGATCACTACTACCAAATATATTGCACACATTATAGTTTTTCCCTAATGCCGGTTCCAAAATAGCTAATGACGGAAGTTGACGTAGTTGCGCCATTAAATTATCGGTATAAGTTTCGTAATCTTCTTCCATTCGAGAACCTTTTCTAGCCCTTTTTTTCGGAGTTCCTCCGGTAAGACCTTCTTTCCCTTGACTTTGTCGTCTCTTCTGCTGGTATTGTCTACGTTTTAATTTTTTAAGATCAATTGCTGCTTGCTCTTGGGAAATACGTTCGCTCGGAGTGCTGTCCATTCTATTTTCTTCCGACAATTCTTTTTTTATTTCCGATTCCGAAAGTAAGTTTTGTAAAGGCTTTTCTTGCTTTATTGTTGCTTGAGGGCTAGTAATGGGAGAAGGAGTTCTTAAACCGAAGCTGCTTCTCGTGGAATTTGTGGGAGATAACAAATCTTCTCGGCTTGGAGTTCTGTTCGATTGTGATATTCTTCTTCCTTCTACAGGAGCTGCTGGCTTTTGTTGTTCTTTACCAGGAAGGGCAGGGGCTACTGGTTTTGTTGCTTGAGGAGAAAGCGGAGTATTTTTTTGCTCCGATAAAATGCTGGGAATTAAAGCCGAAGGCGTGGGTGGCACAGGACGTGCTAATTGTGCTTCTAAAGAAGGTACTGTTGGTAAAACAGGAGAAGGAGCGGAAGATGCAGCAGAAGGAGTAGAAGATGCTGATAAACCTGCACATGCTGTATTTTGCAGCAGTTGCTTCAGCAAAACGTTTTGAGACTCGTCGGTTCTAGGGTATTTGCTACTAGAATTTGTAGTTGCAACATAAGGTGTGAATTTTTCTTCTTTAACTTCTACTGGCTCTGTTTTAACTACCGCTAAATTTACTTGCGTTGAATTGATTTCTTGAGGAGGAATTTTCGTTTCTGGACTAGATCCCAAAACTTTGGGCGGCTGCGTCAAATTTCGATTTTGAGATTCTACGTCATGATTTTTGGGCAAAGACGATTGAATTTCAGATCCATTTTTCTCAACGTTCATGGAAGAAGTATTGCTAACCGCAGGTGTTACTGCAGTTGGTATTGATAATCCTTGACTGACCGAAAGCCTTTGTAACTGAGTGGATGCAATAAGTTGATTCCCAGAAGACACAACCAAACGTGTCGGTATATCAGTTCTAGCTAATCTCAAGGTAGGTTGGGTTAGAGTTACATTTACTGGAGTCGTTGTCGCCACAGAAGCAGCAATTAACGTTCCTTGAGCAAGAGGACGAATCGCTCTCTGAGAAGTTACGTCTAATTGAACGACATTAGGATGCGAAATAACAGTGCCTTGACTTGCTACGATATGTGTTTGGGGCTGGGGAGGCGTTCTAGCGCGAGGCGGAGAAGGAGTTGAAATTCGTCGCACTAAAACGGGATTGGCACGGTTTTGCTGAATGTAATTAGCAGTAATAATTTGCTGCCGTACTCCAGGCGGTAGATTAGAAAGCGGAGAAACTCTATTCGGGCTAGAAACGGTTTTAGTTATTGGCTGCAATAGTCTAGTAGTCATCAAGACTCCAGAAGAAGCAGCAATCAAATTCTTGTCATTAATCAAAATTCCTTGCTGTCCTCCGGTTACGGTTACAGGAGAAGTTATTAAAGTGCCCTGCTGAACTACTGATTGTCCTGTGCTTAAAGTAATTCCTTGCTGTTGAGGCTCTAAAGCAGTCTTATGTTCTGGCTGAGATCCTTGCGAAGGCAACGGTTCACTGTCACAAGATTTTGAGTTTTCAGTCGGTGAATCGGTGCCTGATATTAAAATTCCACTACTGGGACTAAGAATTTTGGATGCAGGCACTCCCAAATTGGATCCAGAACTTCTGAAAATACCCGACGTCGGAGATAATATGAGGTTCTCCGTTTGGTTGATTGTACTCGAGTTGGAATTTTCAGACCTAGAATGACCGGGTGATAGCTCTTGTGATGAATTTTCCTGCTTGCTATCGGCATCTTTTTCTTCCCTAATATTTTCAACCTTATTTTCTTGCTCAGTTTTACTAACGGGTTCTGATTCTTTTTCGAGCAAAGCTTCTAAAGTTGGCACACTATTTTTTCTGACTTCAGTCACTACCACAGGCTGTGAGGTATTAGAAAAATTGGCCTCTTTTTGTAATTTTGATCTTACGGCATCAGAACCCGCGGTAAGAAGTGCGGCTAATTTAGATTGCGTGTTAGCCGGTGGTAAATTTCTAGTTTCCGGTTGAGCAGAAGTTTTTGAAGATCCCCTTGCTAAATCACTAACTTGTATATCGCTTTTACCGGTGTCGGATAACAAACTTTGTAAATTGATTTTTTCATCAAATTTCGGTGGTTCAACTTGTTTACATTTCGGAGGCGTGGGTGCTTTTTCCAATTCTTCATTTTCAAACAATTGAGTTTTTTCAATGCTTTGAAGTTCCGAGGCGTTCAACAATCTAGTCGGAGTGTTATCGATATTTTCCAATATATCTATGACATCTGACAAATCGTGATCGGTTTTAATTACTTCCGGTTTCGTTTCAGGCAAAGTAGGCGCGACCGGAGGAGGTTCGGATTTTAATTTTTCTTTTTCAAGTTGGGATTGTTTTATTTCCTCTAATATCATTTGTTTTCTTTGTTCTAATTCTCGTTTGTTGTCACGAGAAATGGCTTCTGAACTCCGCCTCCTTTCTTCCACGGATTTTTTTCTACCGATGTTTTCTACTGATTTTCTGCGTCCGTCGTTCTTTTTCGTTTCTTCATTTTTCGTTTTGAATTTTAAATTTGAGTCCGATTGTTTTTGAGTAGTAGGAGTTAGATTTGAGCTCATTGTCATACGCGCCGTCGAGGATGCTATAACCGAAGTTGTCGTGCTTACTTGACTTGTCGTAGTTCCAGTAAGTATAATTCTTCCCTTTCCTTCGGTCGAAGATTCCGATACTCTAGCGGGAGGAGTTATTTTTGAAATGCTTATAATGTCACGAACTTTAGGATCAATTTTCGCAATGTGAGAACTTATTTCCGGTAAAACGGGAGCGTCTATTTTCGATTCAGAATCGCAACTTCTGGCCACAACCGAAGGAGCAACTGCAGCATTGCTTATGGATGACAAATTAAGATTCAAGCTTTCATTTTCATTCTTCCAAGAAAATTCCGAAGGAAATTTTTTAGGAGATTTTAATTCCAAATTGGAAGTAGAATACGTGATTATAGCTCTTGGAGCGCTATGAGCACCCATTTGAGAACTCGTAGATGAAGTAAAAGTAGGTTTTTCAATTATTTCCGATGATGATTTTGCCGAGTCCGCCACTGGTTCCATTTCTGTTTTTTTTACAGTCTGAGAGATGTTTGCAGACGAATAGGACACGATAGGTCTATTGACTCCTGTTGTGGAATGTGAACGACTAGAAATTATCTGTTCCGTTTTTAAAACTTGAGTACTACAATTACTACTACCACCACTACTACTACTACTACTACTACTATTATTATTACTATTACTATTATTATTATTATTATTATTATTAGTGCTATTATTTTCTAATTTGTCTTTTTCTTCTTGGTCTACTTTTTTAAAAGCTTCTACTTTTCCAGGTATACTGGTGTAATCGTGTTCACTTAATTGCACTTTTGTTTTACCAAATTTTGATTTTTCATAAGTTTTTGGGGCTTTAATCACAGAAGTTTGATCGAAATTGAATTCTTTTTTCCGTTCAACATCAACATCTTTTGAAACCGTAACAGTTTCTTCGTTTCGTCCTTTATTCATTTCCGAAGGGATTTCCGGTTTGGTTTCGGGGAAAAATTTCGACGCCAGTCCTTCCGGTAAGTCAGTAAACGGAAGATTTGTAACAGACATATCCGGAATTTTAGATGATTCCAAGGTTTCTAAACGTTTGGAGGAAGTGCCGACATTTAAAACTGTCGTCTCTTCCACTTTACTTTCGTTTGCTATAATTAACTTTGTTTTTTCACTGGATTTCAAGAGTCTCGGATCTGGTAAATTCAAGTTTTTTTCAGCTGGCTCATTGCTTATAACTACTTTTATCGGAGTTAAAACTTTATCGTGCGAAGGATCTGGAGAAAGGGGACTGTCCGCAAGATTGTCCGTAATAACACTTTGCACATCACTAATTAATTTTGGCCTTTTTTTCTCAAAGCTCGTTAAATTACTTTTTAAACTACTAGTTTCTAATTTGATTGGTCCTTGCCTTCGAATTTCCTCGTTTTCATTCATTATAATAATTTCAGATTGTTCTATCAATTTTTTGAAATCATCTTCACTGGCGTCTTTTAAAGAAACATTAACGTCTTTTTCATTTTCAATCTCTTCAACATTTTTTTCCTCTTCACTACTACTCCTAGATAATATTATACTTCCTTCACCGATATCTTTATTTATTTTATTATCCGAACGAAAAACAACTTGCCTTTGTTCTTTCCCTTCCTGACCACGTTTGACCATAACTATTTTTCCCTTTTTAGTATGTCTGACAATTATTTGCTTTTGTTCTTCCTGTGGATTGTAATTACTTTCATTATTTTCCTTGATTTCACTTTCCTCAATGCTACTAATTTTGGTTTCTTCCGTGCTCAATCTTAAATCTTCCATTTCTTTTGCTTGTAACGAATCCTCATTTTCTTGACTTTCTCCATCGTCAACACTTTCAAACTCCATTACTTCACAATTGGTAATATCTATTTCATGCGCTTCTAAAACTTCACATTCTTCAAGCACTACCAATTCATCAGAGTCTGATATGACTCCTTCAATGGGCTCATAAACCATTAGGTCATCATCAATGAATTCCATTACTGTGGGTGATCCATTTGGATTTTCATCGTACTTTTCCAATTCGGTTCCCCCTTCTCCTGAATTATCTATAATTATTACGCGCCTTCCATTTCCTTCGTCACTTTCTTCTAATTCTAAATTTAATAAATTTTCCTGAGTGAGAAGTTCAAGACCTTCGGCATCGGTAGCAATTCGGATTTCTTCTTCTTCTTCTTCAGTCTTTTCTTCTAATTTATCAGACTTCTGGTCGAGTTTATCACTCCGATGAGATGGCGACGGAGGCGGAGTTTCTTCATCTAAGCTATCATAATCAACACAAACTAATGAAGCTCTTTTTGACATGATTTGGGGTGAACTAGATTTTTTCTGCATTACTTTTTGACCCTGTAATAATTGCAAATTTTTTTGAAGTGGAAAATTTTTCTGCTGAATATTTCCACCCAACATTTGTTGTATAATTAATTTTTGTTGACTAGGTTGCAACTGTAGTTGTTGACTACTTTGTAACTGCACCACGATGCCTTGCTGAGATAACTCCAAACTTGAATCCTTTTTGTGACGGAGAACAGAGATTCTACGATTTTCAGGAGGGGAAACACTTTGACTGGTAGACGGTTCTGCATGAACCACACGACTAGGCCTAACAACGCGTTGAAATCCAGAATTTTTTAAAATTCCTTGAATGGGCTTTTCTACCGTCAAAGTGTTAACTTCCGCTGAAGGCTCTGCAGTATTAGCTACCTTTCTACGATCGTCTTCATTTTTCTTTTGTTTCTTTCCTTTGCTAAAAGTCCACATCGGAGAACCTCCGCGTAAACCAAGACCAAATCTCGCCAACCTTTTTATATTTTCAATGTATGGCAGAAATGGAATCGGCGCGTTAGGTCCTCCTCCTCCTCCTCCACCATGATCTAACTCCAAAGAATCACGTTTATCTTCTTCTTGCACCATATGTTGTTGTACAATATTGTCTGTGCTCCCGTAATTCATATATCCTGATAATTTATTTATTGGACTTCCTACGTTCGGACTTCTGGGAGGAAGATTTAACGGAGATTGTACTAATGGACTTGTCTGAGTCTGAACCATAGGACTTTTCTGAATTGTTGGCGTAACTGGGCTCTTTGGTGGTAAATTCATAGGAGATTGAGGCATTTGAACCATCGGACTAATTGGACTTTTTGGATTTTGCCCAGAGACAATGGGACTTCTTGGAGAACCTTGAGAAATGGCGTGAATGTTATGACCACTTTGAACTACAGTTATTCTTTGTGGGGATGATATTGGCACGTTTTGAAGACTTGATTGATTTTGTATAATTCTTTGTTGATTTTGCGCAGCAAGTTGCTGTTGCTGTTGAATCATTTGTTGATCTATCAATTGTTGTCTCTGCTGTATTAATAGCTGCTGTTTTTGCTGATGAAATTGCAATAATTTTTGTTTTTGTTCCATTGTTAAATTAGGGTTTTGTTGAGAAATTTGATTTAAAATTTGTTGGTTTCTTATTTGTTGCTGCTGCTGCTGCACTTGTTGCTGTTGTTGTTGCTGCTGTTGTTGTTGAATTAAAACATTTCTAGGTATTACTTGCTCTCGTGTTAATGCGGCTCGCTGAAGTACTTGTGTTGGATCTTGAGGTTTTTGAGTATATATTACTCGAGTTGCAGTTGGCCCTTGGTAAACTGTAGCTGTTGATTGTGGGTTTGGTCCTCGCAACCTGGGCTCTCTGGAAAATCTGGGACCGACATTTAATCCGTGAAGACGGTTAACCTGATCAGATAAACCAGGTGAATTCACCATTCGTCCTCGATGCTGAGGAGAAGCAAGGCGAGGATTCCCAGGAACTACAGTTTGCGGAGAAGCCAAGCGAACAGGCCCTGGTGACGGAAGTGAACCAGGACTAAATGGACTGTCTTCTCCCTTTAAACAAAAGACTCTCGATTAGCATTTAATTATGTTTATAAAAAATTTTTAATCTTTTTAAATGTAAATTTTATTTAAATTTTATTATTTTTAAATGTAAAATATACCTGCGAGTGAGGAGTTCCCAATCTTGGAGACTGTTGCATACTGTGAGGCGACATCGGGCTTTGCAGAATACCACCCGCTCCGGGAGACTGGTTAATTATAGGTCCAGGAGATTGTAACGGCGAAGGACTTGGACTCATTAAAGGACTCTGAGGAGTATTTGGATGTGACGAAGTGTTAAAACCTGCTGCAGGATGCATTGGAGAATTCGTTTGACCTAAAAAATAATAATTTCCAGTATTTTACAACGTATTTATAGTATTATTTGTAAATTTTTTTTTGTACGGAAAAGGTACAATACTCACCTATATTCATTGGACTTTGACTAGGATTCAGTGATCCGGTAGTATGCAGCGGACTATGACTAGGTTGATTTAAAGGACTTGAGCCAGTGTGTAAAGGACTGTTTTGTCTTTGTTTTTGTTGTTTATTCCTGTATTCCTGAATGAGCATTCCATGTTGTCTGCAAGATTTTCTACTGGCATCCAAATGTTTTTGAAGTCCCGACTGTTCCGTAGATATCCTCTGTAATTCTAGAGCATCTTGTTCTGAAAGTTCATTTCCATTCTTTCGAAGCTGCCTTTGTTTGCTATTAAGTGACTAGAAAAAAAATTTTTCATCATTAAATTTCAATGTTTAAATAAATCACCATTATATTATAAAATATCAAATGTTATTTTACCTTTCTTATTTTTCTCAATTTTTGCACCTCAGTTTCATAATATTTCAACTGCTGTTGAAGGATGTGATTTTGATTATTTAACCATGTTTCATACTCGATTGCAATTTGTCGATCTTGTTCGCTAGATATGACATCGGGGGGTACGGGTGGCGGTTGCAAAACTGGAGCATTAAAAGGTGGAACCCTCGAGGTTTGATTAACATCGGCAACGGGTCGACCTTGCGTTGAAATAAACGGTCCGGGGGGACGTTGAAATTGGGGTCTCATTCCAGGATTCATAACGTTTGCCGGAGAATTCATACCTGCATAAAATTATTATTTAGAAAAATTCTTCGAACTAATTACTATAACACAAAAAAAAAAAAAAAAAAAAAAAAAAAAAAAAATTACTTATTATACCGGGTGCCGAAATACCAGGGGGGGGAATGGAATCATTTCTTAAGTGATCCATATTAACGTCTCCCATGGAATTTGCACTGTTGTCAACATTTTGCTGTTGTTTTTCCTGTTCCCTCTTTTCTTGTTCCAAAAGATCTTCTAGTAATAAAGGCTGTTCCTGTAATAAATACTATTGACAGTTAAAAACTTTTTTGTAATTAATTTTTTTTTTTAATATGTTCAAATATAAACCTAAATAATTTAAAATGTGCTGCGAATTTTTTTTTTTTTTTAAATAAAATTGTGAATTAATTTTTTTTTTTTTGTATTTAAGCAAAAGATTTATTATTTATTTTTAATGAGTAATGAATTTTGTTTGGAAAAAGCAATAAAATTAATTCTGTGCAATATCAACAACCATTTTTTAACAATTAAAATTCATGCAGTGAATAGTCATTCATTCAATATAATTATTATTTTTTAATTTTATTATTTGTGTAAGAGAACAAATTATATAAAAACGAATAAGTACATTTAGCAAAATAATATAGACTACGAGAACATTCGGTATATTCCTCACCTGAAGTAGAAGAGGCCTCCGTTGGAGATAGTGAGGCGTGTGATCTTGTGGGTACATCACAGGAATCGGATGGCGGCCAGATGTTATCTATACAGTTAGATAAAATCGCATACGTATGTCCATCACCAAAATCATTCACAAAACATTTACAAACATATTTAAAACTTTAGCAAATCACACCAAAAATTCATTAAACATTGTTTTTAGTCGAGAAAAAAAAAAAAAATTTTTTTGAAATTTAATTATAATTTCAACGAACAAAAACATTAATATTTCTTTTTATACTAATTCATTTCATTTTTAGGGCAAAAAATCACACGCACGCACACACACACACACGCATATATTGTGTTTGTGTGTGTGTGAGATTGTATTCTAATTTTGTGGATTTGCTTCAAGTTATTGTTTTTCTTTTATTTATGGCAAGTTAAAAATTATTTTAACATAAAATCCTACAAATTTTTATTTTTTTATAAGCTAACTTTAATTGAAAACATTAATGAAATGTTTATTTTAATAATTTTTTATTGTTAAAAAAAAAAAATTCTAAAAATATGAAAATTTTAATCTTTTTTAATCGAGTCATAGTAAAATTCATTTGAAAATTTTTTAATTAAAATTAAAAAAAAAAAAAACTACTACTTTTTAAACTTCAAGCAATAATAATTAGTGTGTTTTGTATTCAGAGGAAAAAAAAAAAAAAAAACATACTAATTAAATGATTAGAGCAAAAGGTTAATGAAGTATAAATTCAAACAACTATTACAAGCAACCCTTTTAATGTAAGCTAGAATTTATATCACATTATCATAATGCTTACCTGTGGTCCAGGATATGGCGGTGGAGGTCCGGGATAGGGAGGAGGTGGTGGAGCGACTGCCAATCCGCTTATCCTGGTTTGAACCGGTAAACTTTGTATGATTTGTCCGGTGGGACCCACTATAACTCGAGCAGAGTTTTGAGCGCCTACTCGAAGAGGAAGACGTTGAGGATCAACTGTTAAAATGTATTTAATTAATTTAATGTTTAGATAGAAATTATCATTTTTAATTTTTTTTTTTACCAAACTAAATTATGGGGTATACAAACCTGAAACTGGAATGGATCCAGGGATGGCCATGGATACTCGAGGTAATGCTGATGTAAATCTGGGCTCTAAACCCTCAGTTTGAAGATCTTCCCCTGTTAAGTGAGTCAAAGAAATATCACCCGCACCAGGGACTTGAGGGGTTTCAGCGGGTTTTGCAACCTGATTTGAAACATCGGAAAGACCGGATGTAGCTAAAGCAGATTTTACGTTATTTTCTGGAGGAATAGCCGCCATTGCTTTACTTGCAGAAGGTTTTCCGGCACTAAAATTTCGTTTAAAAAAAAAAAAACAAACGATATCACTATTCTTAGTTTATAAATGTTTTGATCATACAATAAACCACGACTTACACATTATCCTTGTGTATTTTTTTCTCTTTAGTTTCATCATCTTCCAACTCCAAATTATCCAAAATGTTAGTTTTATCTCCGTGCGACGTCTCGGTATCCACGTACTCAAGTATATTAAAATCCGCACCCATTTCAGCCAATAACTCGTCGTCGTCATCGGCTAAATCTCCCAAAATGGCAGATACGGCTTCAACCTCTGCCATTTGACCACCTTCTTGCTCTAACTGTTCCAGTTCCGCTGTTACACTTTCCGGGATTTCCTGAAAATATCGATTTAAGTAAAAAACATGCAATAAAAATAAACGATGTGAAAAAAAAAAAAAAAAAAATTAAATCTAACTTGTTGTTCAGTGGTAGCAGTGGATTGTGGAGGAGGAACAACAACGTGACTCGGTGCAGTATGAGTAGGTCGAATTCTGACTGGAACGAGACGTTGCTGTAACACGGTATTTTCACCGTGCCTAGGTTGAACCATTTCGTCGTAAGGATCGAGTGCGTTTCTCGGCTGAGTTGGCTGAGTAATAAATGCTTGAACTGTTTGAGGTCTTTGCTGTTGTATTAAAAGACGCATTCTTTGATCTTGCGGCTAAGTAAATGATTTTATTTAAATATTATTTTAACATAATCAATATATTAAAATTGAAATAATAATAATAATAATTACTTCAAAAAAAAAAAAAAATTTTCCAATTCAAAATTTAATTTAACATAAAATACATTTTTACTTACACCCTGAATTCTAGGATCGGCTATTTGTCGCAAAGGCGCACGTACCAAAACTTGTTGAATAGGCATTCTGGGCCTAGGTAGGGTTCCCGGAGGTAAAGGATGCCTAAATGTGCCCTCCTCGGGGTTCTCAGAAAATTGCTCTAAAGCTAAACATTTTTTTTTTTTTTTTTTTTAAAAATTAAAAATCATAAAAAATAAAAAATTTAAAGTAATATTTAAAATTTATGTAAAGAGGAAAAAAAACTCTACCTGGACCTGAAGACCATTGCCTTTGAATATTAGGAGATGTAGGAATACCTTCCTTTTGTCTCTGTAGTAAATCTCTTAACTGACGTGTCACTTCAGGATTTTGTACCGATTGAACTGTCGAAAAATTTTCTTCTGGGCGCCTATTGGCTTCATTGTATAAAACTGCCGAACGTGGAGGCACCGAAGGAGGTCTTGGAGATTGCGCAGTATAAACGGCTCTAGGTGACTGATTAGCAAATGTTCTAGGAACAATATAAGGATCAGTCTCGGAATTAGGAGAAGTTGTTCCCGGGAAATCTGGAAGTGAAGATGTTTGATTAGGAGAAAATTGCCGAGACTGATAACCTTGATTCAGAGGCCTTAAAGGTCTATTAAGAAGAGGAGATGGTGGTGCTAAAGGATGAGAAAATGGACTAGGACTTTGTGCAGGGTGGATTCTAGTCACCTTAACATTTGAATTCAATGGAAACTGCGACCTGGAACCTGGTGAAGGAGAAGCCATTGGTCCCAAAGCATTTGCATCCTAAAAATTAATTTCATGTGGGTGTAAATAAACGATTGAAACATAACTTTCTAAAAATTTGGAATGGTTAATACGCAATTATAGGGAAAAAAATTATATAGTACCTGAGTAGTTGAAACTTGTAACTGTATCGTTAAATTCGATGTGTTATCATCTCCTACGCTCATTTGTCTGTTGATTCTAGCAATGCCTTGAGCTCTCTGTTCCTGAATGACCTGCTGTTGTTGTTGTGCTTGAGCTTGCCTTAATGCCTGCAATTGTTTCCAGTGACGTTCTTGCTCAGATTCACGATTCACCTTTTGTTGTTGCAGAACTTTTTCTTGATCCTTGACATAAATAAATTTTCTTTTAATTTTTATAATGATTAATTTTTTCAAATGGTAAATAAAGCAAATCAAATCGAATTTTGAAATGCTTTAATTTACGTAATGGTTAATTTTTTTTTTTTTTTCATAAAAATCTTAATATCAAACCCTTTTTTAAAATTATGTACATATGTTAAAAATGAAACCGATGGATAATTCTAATTAAAAAATTTCAATTCTCCATTATTATTTGTTTCAAAAACCGTTCGCAACGAAAATAATCATTAAAACATTGGTTTCATTACGTCATATGCGTATAATTTTATGTTTAACCACGACCTGACAGATACCATTGTCAAAAGAAAAGGTTCAATCAATCAAATTAATAAGCAAAATTTTAGCTTGATCGTTGTACGAAAAAAAAAAAAAAAAAAAAAATCAAGGCAAAGCTTGTGAGAGTATCTGATGGCCACTTCTTTATTAAAAAAATTATACGTTATTGCTATTAAAATAATTTTAACTTTTTCTTTTGAAAAATATTAAAAAAAAAAAAAATTAAGTTAATGTGAAAATCAAAAACTGTGAAAGAATAAAATAGTTAATAAAAATTAAAAGAAGAGTAATAACAACAACAACAACAACAACAGGCAACCACGAACACCTGAAAACATGCAATTAAAAAAAAAATAAAATAAAAAATTTTTTATCTCAAGTTGTCAAAACTTATTTTTTTTTTACAATCTCCATTTAAATAAATAATTTTTATAAGACTTTTCTTAAAATACCATTTTTCTATTTAGTTTTTGACAACTCGAAATGAAACAGTTATTGCTAACAATTTCAAAGAATATTTTCTTTTGTCCGCCATTTTCCATCAATCTTTCCGGCATTAAAAAAAAATATTCTTTGAACGTAGCAAACATAATAAAATATAATAAAAAACTTTTAAAATAAAAAAAAAAAATCACAAAACCAGCAAAAGTACTGTAAACCAAATGCGAAGCTTTCTACAATATTTTTACAAAGATTATTGTTAGTAAGAAAGGAATTAAGGAATTGGTGGGTGGAGGGAAGGGGGGGGTGTTGAGAAGGTTAAAAAAGGATTCGTGATTGTTGCTTTTTTTTTTTTTTTTTTCGACAGGGGGGAAACCCATTGAAATTTTTTTTTTTTTTTTTTTTTTTTTTTTCACGACTTTTCTCCATGCAAAAATAAAAATCACGGCTGATATTTTTATTGACGAACCTAATTAATTACTACTTTTCAAAAAAAAATTTTCTTTTTTTCTATGACGTCTTTTTCTTTTTTTTTTTTTTTTCTTCCAAAATAAATGAGAAATGAATTTCGCCCTTAATCTTGATTCGCCAATAAAAACAAAATTTTTTTTTTTTCAACTTCATAAGACACATTTTTTCATTCACGAACGAACGTCGACGAAAAAAAAAAAAAAAAAAAAAAACAAAATAATTTGCAATTCTATTTTTTCACAGCAAAAAAAAAAAAAAAAAAAATAAACAAGAAAATCTAACTAAAAAAAAAAAAAAATAATAATAATAATAATAATAACTCCGAATACTAACGTCAAAACGATGTACGGTAACGTGTATGTAAGTAAAAAAAAAAAAGACTTTTAAGAAAGAAAACATCAATTTTTTTCCATTTTCTTCTAGAAATCGAAATTTCAACATTTCAAAAAAAAAAAAAAAAAAAACTAACGTTAAAACTTATAATTTTTGTGCCTGTGGAAAATACGTTGCCGTAAATCGTTGACCAAAAAAAAAAAAAAAATAAAAAAATAAAAGAAATCATAAATTCAAAACAAGGAAAAATGATAACAAAAACGTTCTTTTTGAATGTGCTCACCATGTGTGAGTGATTCGAAGGAGCTGGGGAGGTGGTTTGCGAAGGATGAGCTAAATCGTAACCATCGGGACCGAGAGAGGGTAGCGTTCTCATGATTTCGGATGGTGTGAGGACCCTAATCTGATGATCGTTGGATTCGCACGATTCCGCTGTGTCATCTTCTTTTTGCGAAACTAAATGAGATTTTCCATCCAATACTTTCGCAGATTGTTGGCAACCCTGATCCGTGACAATGAGTAAACGATTGAAACCCACTATTTTATCTGCCAAAATGTTGTTACTACTACTACTACTACTACTACCACTACTACTATCTTGGTTCGAATTTTGATCGACAAGTGTTTGAGATGGTTCGGGTTGCTCTTTACTCTCAGACGTTCTGTTACCATCGTTCGTGTCGACGGATAAAACCTTATCGGAATCGTCAGATTTCAAAGTCAAATTGTTCGAGTCTAAGGGTTGAGATTGAATTATTTGAGGAGCGTTTTGTAAAATTGTGTTCGATGCCGGATGTAAAATTTTAATTTCGGATATGTGATGAGGATTCCCTTGATTTTGAGGTAATGCCAACGTCATGGGACGATGAATAAAAGTTTGACCGTGGTTCGATATCTGATTACGAGTCAAGTGGCTTAATCCCCCCGCTTCGAAAGCTCTAATAGTCACGTTTGGCGCTCTATTTGATATATCTAAATGAAGTTGACTTGGAAACCTGGAGTAATTTGGAAACTGAATGATATTATGATTATTTTGTCCTATGATATTTTGAACGTTAAACGTATTACTTTGTTGCGTTTGAGCTTGACCGGTAATAATAATCGGTTCGTTTTGAACGTATTGGTTGGGAGTTGTAACTCCGGAAAAATGATGATGTATGGTAAAATTATGACTGGGGTTTACGATATTGTGATTATTAGCAATGACTACGTTACGAAAGAGAATGTTTTGAGATCTGTTATGAGTATTTTCTACGGGAGCCAACAAAACGCGCACAGCTTTATTTTCAATGGGAGCGGAATTTTTTGCGGAATTTCCTTCCGTCTGACTTCCAGAATCCGAACTGTTATTCGATAAAGATTTATCATCGGAGACCGAAGCGAAAAGATTTATTTCATCAGATTCGGCGGAATTCGTGATTGGAGTCACGGTGGTGGTGGTGGTTGTGGTTGTGGCCGGGGTGGTTGTGGTCGTGGTGGTGGTAATTGTTATGGTGGTGGTAGTCGGAGGAGAAGGAGGAGTGTTAGTAGTTAGTGATTGCGTCTTGAGTGCCGCTTGATCGGAAGCCGCCGCCTCACACACCTCGCCTTCTCCGGGTAGTTGTTGGCTCATAGTCGTCGGAATAATATTCTTCTGCTCGGTCGATGGACTTCCCTTGGCGACAGCACTCCCCGACGGGGAAGTGGCGCTTGTTGGGCTTTCTTTTGGAATCTAAACGGGTTATTTTACAAAATACGATTTGAGAAGCTAATTTCAATAAAACATTTTTCCATTTAAAATTTAAAAATGTCAACGTGAAATTTAAAACTTACAGCTAGATGATACAAATAGACAAAAAAAAAAAAAAAAAAAAAAAAAAAAAATGTCTGTTACCGTCACATTTTAAAATAAAATTCCAGATACTTCCTGAATTTAATCAAATTAAAAGAATTACCGCTAATAAAATTTACTAAAGCACATAATTCAACTTCTAGAAATTAGCTCCTCATTAAATCACAACATAAAAACGCAAAATAAACAACATGAAAAAGCTCCCCATTATTTTTATAATTTTTGGAAATACTTAAAATTTTTCTAGAAGGGTAGTTTAGCACAACTCATGGCGAATATTTCAAATTATTAACTAATAAAATTCTTTTTTTTAAATTATTCAACAACAGAATTACTGACTTAAACGAGTTTTGCAGTTTAAAAGACTTTAGACCACAGTAAATAATTTTTTAATAATATTATTTTTCTTAAATAAAATATTAAAAAAAAAAAAAAAAAAAATGTACGCACCTGCTGAGCTTTTTTCATCCTGATTACAGATCTGTTATCCCGAGCTTTTTGAAGATAAGGTGCCTTTTGATCGCTAGTTAAACTTCTCCATTTTTTCAAAATTTGTTTACATCTCTCTGGCCATACTGAAAAAAGAAAAAAAAAACGTTTTTGTATTTTATTCATTCTCTCAAGAATTAAAACTGAATCGAATAATAAAATAATGTTTATTTTACCCGGGAATTGTTTTTTCCATTCTGGATGATTAGTATTTGCGTAAAGAACACTAGATATAGTGGCATTTAATCCCAAAGCTTCATCTGCTTCCATTTTCATTGGAGTGGTTCGTGAGTTAGTAAAAGCTGGACCTCCGGATCCTTGAGGCTGATCAACCCCTAAAGGTGTTTCTTCTAACCAAGGACTCGCCGGTTCGGAGACTTGGGAATGAGGCGAGTTAGAATACTCAGAGTGGTATGGACTAGGGGGAGGAAAACTCGGAGGAATTATATTTTGCGGAGTCATTGGCGGTTGAACATTTAAATGTAAGCCTTAAACGTTAAATTAAAAAATTAATTAATTGCATTAAATTTAAATTAAAATGTCAACCCATTACTGGAAAACTTATCAGACCTGTATATCCTTGTTGACTCTCTTGATTTTCATCCGTTAATACACCCTTAAAAATCTCTTCTACGTCTTTAGAATTCATATTAGGAAGGCCACTTTCCCTCACCATTGTTTCCAAATTAAAATGAGGAGATAATATGTCGGTTAGCTCGTCTTTTGACTGATTCGCACCTGGTGTTTCTAACGTATTGTTTAATTCACCTCCATCTAAATTATCCGAAGTCTGGAGAAAAAAATGAGTGTTAAGAGAAGCAAATACAAAGTGCTATAATAAAGTTTTTAAAAAAAAAAACCAACTTTAATATCGTCCTCCGCCATAATGGTATTAACTAAATCGGGATCCAGGAGATCGCCAGGCAGCGGTAAATCTTTCAAATTTAAGTCTTTTAAAACTTCATTATCACTTCCTTCATCTTCTTCCGTTTTTATCGGCGATCTTTCTTTTTCATTAAATATTTCATCCACTTTTTGTTTTTCTTTTTCCTTTTCTTCCTTTTCTTTTTCTTGTTTAGCTTTTACGTCTTCCATGACTTTTAGTTCGTCTTTTGACAATTTAATAGTCTTATCATCTGATACCTAGTATTTTCACGAAAATAACAGAATATTTTGTATCTTTAAAAATTTCTACAATTATTTTACTTAATACAATTTTTTTTTGACGCAACTTTTAAAATTAAATAAAAGAAAATCTCCAAATTGAATTTTTTCTTACCTGAAACTTAGATACTAATTCATCATCGGAACTTGAATGCAATTCTTTTTCTTTTGGCGTGTCGAGCAATTCTCGACCGAAAAAAGCTTCTTGAAGATACGTGGGAAAACTTTCAACAAGTTTACTTTTTGTTTTTCGCCTGATTGGTTTCCTTTTTGGTTTATCCATCGATTGCATAGGCGATTTTTCAATTCCCGGAATATCTTCATCATCTTCGGCCTTTCTATTAGATCGAAATCTAACCCAGAAACCGCCAATACCTTTAACAACAATGGTATGTATTATTATTATTATCTCTTTCATTTAAAATAGTTCAATTGTGTTCAACCCTAATAAAATTTAGAAAAAAGCTTACCCAGCTTTTGTAAATTTCGAGTTCTTTTCTTTCTTAAAACCATGACTCCCGATTCCGTAGTGACTATTGTAAATCCCTCTGGAGGTTCTGGAGGCTTTCCGTCTTCTCTAGGAGTTACTTCCATGCCTTCTTTCCATAATTCGGTAGGTTCGTCCTTTAAACCTTCATCTCGCATACCATCTTCATCTTCTTTGATGCCTGGAGAGCCGGGAGCGGCCAATTTTCCTATATTCCGAAACAATGAGTTCAGTAAAATACATTCGAAAAAGGAATAAATTTTTCTGTTACAAAAAAAAAAAAATTTTTTTAATTTTTTACCTTCGGTTCCAGACACAACACTTTCAATGGTAGCTAAAAACCTTGCCTCTTTATCCATCACGGGAGAAGGCAAAAGAGAAGCTATTCTTTTAGCAGATCGTTTTTTTCTTTGAGTAACTTGTTGTTCAATTGCCAAAGATTTTATCTGAAGCATACCTGCTTCTGATAAACAAACACCATCTACCAGAAATTGAGTCTGAGAAAATCTTGGCAGCTCTAAAATCAATAACAAAAAACCTCACGCAATTAGAAAATCATCAACGATTTTTTGAAATTAAAAAAAAAAAAAAAAAAAACATTTTTCTTTTAATCTTACCGGGGCTTTTAGTAGGAGTCGGTGGTTTGGGGATTGGTTTTGGAGTTGGAGGAGGGGGTAATAGATGTGGTGGTGGTACATCTCTAGGTCTACACAGCACACAAGTGTATTTTTCATCGGCACACTTTTCCGCATCCAAATCATTACGGATTCCATCGCATGACCCGTGAAGCCACCTTTCACACTGTTCACATTGTATCACAAGTTCACCTTCAACGTACGGTTCAAGACAAGACGGGCAAAAAGTGTGAGAAGCACATGGGCCGCACTCGGTGTATCCATTCATCCAATTGCAATTGAATCCAGGATCATTAGATCCACAGCGAATGCACACAACACACCTAAAAAATTTCAAATAAATTAAATTGTATCCATGTCTAATGACATTATGTAAATAAATAATAATTAGTTCACTCACCATTTACACTTCCAAACTCCACGAGGCACATAATCAAGAGGTGGGTCCATACAGTAGATATGATACGAAATATCACAGTCATCGCATAAAGTTAGTCTTGAATCGTCGTTTCTCTGACCACAACCTTCACAAACAGTGCAATCCAAACATCGCCAGCCTTTTTGTAGAATAACCTTAGTAACCTATAAATAAAAAAATTCATTACGGTACTAAAAAAAAAAAAAGACAACATTGATAAAATATAAAAATTAGCTGTACTATTAACCTTGACATTAACACAATAAGGATGGTAGCACTGTCCACACTGGGCACAAGATATTAAACAACCTTCTTGATCCGTACCCAAAGCACCACACATTACACAAATATCTTGACTTAAAACAAACTTATCGGATCCGGAGCATAAAACCATTCTATTTTCCACTCCAGGCTCTTCTTCACTTTTATTAGAAGGATCCGCTAAAGGCTTCTAAAAAGATTTTTAAAAAGTTAAAATTATTGAAGAGAAAAATTTATTTTATTCGCAAATATATATTATTAAAACTCACTTGCAATCCTAAACCGGGAACCCCAAAAACTCCTCTCATTTTTGGTTTTATACCTCTTTTTTTACCGAATTCTGGCATTTTTTTCATTTTTTGATAATTTATTTTACCACCAGCTTGTTGCCCTTTAGGTCGGCTCATAAAACGTTTTTTAGCCAAATTGCTAGAGCAAAATGGTTTGCCTTTTCCTAATCCTATGATTCTAGAATAATCTTCATAATTTTTTCCATCGGAAGGAGAATGATCGACTTCCATACCAGATGAGTCGTCCCCGTATAAAGATTCTTGACTGGCTGAAAGGCTGGATTCTAGTAGAGCTTCATCAAAACCTATAGATTAAGAGAATTTTTTAATTTTAGTAACCATCAATTTATTTTTTTTATTAAACCAAATTTCAATCTTTACTCACTGTCTTTTCTTTTTATTCCCTGCCTTCCCATTGAATTCAAATTTTTACATATACAACAAATGTATTCATAATCAGGATTTGTTTCTTTTCTTGCAGCGTAAACGCTTATATCGGCCTCATTATCGCATGAGCCGTGAACATATTTGCGACATTTTATACACTGAACCATTTCCCGATGAGCGGCAGCTCTATAAGCCCTGCCACAAACAGGACAACAAAAACCTTTATTTCTTTGCTGATAACATGAATCACACACAGAAAAATGATTGTGCCAACGCGATGATAAGCCTGATCCAGGAGTACGAGATCCACAATCGCTACAAACTCGACAACACTAAAACAATATATTTGAAAATGATACGATGGAAATAAAATTATAAATTTTAAATATACATTAATATTTTTTATTTCAAAACTTAAAAATTTGATTTTTACCTTGCACTTCCAACCATATTTTGGAATACTAGTAACAATAGGTCTTAAGCAACTAGGATGATACGCTTTATCACACGATTCACAAAGCATTATTTTTCCTATTTCACTAGGCTGGCGGCAAACCTGGCACACTCTACATTCAAAACACTGCCACCCGGCTCTTACTCCAGGAAGAAGAGCGAGCCCAACACACGAACCATGATGATGTGCTCCACATGATGTACACATTAATATGTTGCTAACATTGCCCAAAGAAAGACAAGTAGAACATTGAGAAGTTTCACCTATGGCTAAATATTAACATTTAAAAAAAATAAATTTTTATTACATAAAAGAATTTTTAGATCTCTCGAAAATTCAATGCAGCAATTTTACAAAAATGTCGAAATACTTACGCAACAGTGGAACTTGGTCTAAATGCAAGTTACATATTAAAGATTTTGTTTTGTTGTCCATAAAACTTCCACTAGCCAGGGCACAGGGATAATGAAAGTATAATCCACAAGAAGATTGTCCTTGGGAAAAACAACATACTACAGATGCACCAAATCGCGAACAATAAGAGCACCTTCTTGTAAGCGCTTGCAAAACAACTGGGCCATGATTTTCAATTTGTAAATCGGATTCATTTCTATTTACTCCCTCCGACCATAATATACAAGATAAATGAACATAAAATGTACCTAGAATGTATGTAATTCAATTTTGTTAATTATTTTTTATTAAATATTAATTCCAAAATTGACTAGCGTTATAAAATTGAAAAGTAAATTACCTAATGATTCAAATATTAAATTAACATCTGGTTCATCAACATAACCAATTACACTCAGTTCATCCAAAATTTCACTTCCTGATTTACCCTCCCTACTTTTTTGACGCCTGTGACTTATTTGATGAGGCACTTGACCTCTAGGACTCTTATCCCCTGTACTTTGAACCGATGATGGACTCAGTCCTGGACTAGGATTGGGTTTACGAGGTGTAAAACCTTCTGGACAACTAAGACGAATCATTTCCCTTTGACCAAGCTGACTTCTTTCAGACAAATTACATAGGGCACATATTTTACCAGGCCTAAAAAATTTTTATTTATTTTTTAAACTTGTCTCGACATATTTACTTATTTTTAATTTAAGAAAACTGACCAAGTTTCCGGAAAATAAGGGGGGTCATCTGGAGCAAGCATTGGAAAAGGTTTTTCTGCCTTCTCAGCTTTTTCCATTTTATCACCAAGATTAACAACCAGTTCTTTACATTCATTTTCTAAATTTAAATTATTATTAACACTAATTCCACTTTCGGTAGGTGATTTTTGAGATTGTGGTGTATCAGGAGCAGAATTCGGAGTTCTTGGTTGTTGACTACAAGAAGTAGGGTCTCTTTTAACATAAACACCACTGAAATTAAAAAAAACCTTACTAATTTTTCATCTTAAAATAAAATCCAATATTAAGGTATTTTTACTTAAAAAAAATTTAAATTTCATTTGACTTTTATTATGAATATGAACAAACCTTTTCCATCTTTTTAATTTGATACCCAAAGGCTTTTTATCTGAATCTTTTTTCGGCCTTCCTCTACGCCTCCTAATACTCAAAGGCTTTCCTAAATTTGAATTTGGTTTTTTAGAGAAAGAAAAGAAACCTTCTTCTGAAATATATGGGGGTGTAGAAGCAGCACTTAATGATGGGGAAGAACTTGGATCTTCATCAGACTCATCATCATCTCCTTGAGTTTCTGATTCCATTCCCAGATCTGTGTCATCATCTAATTGTTCTTCATCCATTTTATTTATTTAATCTCCATTTAATTTTTTTAAAACTTTGCATTTTATCTATAAGTAAACATACTTATTAAAGTAGTTCTAAGCTTTTAGTGAGAGATTTTTTATTTCAAATATACAAAATAAACTTATTAATTTACTTAATTAAACTTAAAATATTAAAGAAAATCTAAAAAATCTAAACTAATAAGATATAATTTTAATATATGAAAAGTATTGAGAATTAATTGATAAACGAATTTTTATTTATTTTTCGATATTATTTACAAACACAAATGTATTAACAGGTCTTAACGTTTCGTTTTATTGCTAATATTTCAAATTAAAAAAATCCAGCATGAATTTTAGTTTTGTACAAAATTGGCTAAAAATATCACATACGAAATAAAGGAATAGAGTGAAAACAAACATAATTAAAACTGATCCTTACAAACTGGTTACTAATATCGAATGTAATATACCCGTAAAAACATCAAAAAATATCTAAGAAAATATGTTTTTTTTTAATTAAATAAAAAAACATTAGAAATGCATTAAAAAAATCTTACAGTTTAATCACCACGAAAATCACGTATTATCTTTCATACTCAGTACACCGTAAATATAAACTTAATTCAAAATGGCGAATTGAAAAAAATCCATTTCTATAGGCCACGAAAGCGTCTAAATTTTCTTTGGAAACGCCCTGATCAGTTAATTACACGCTTTAATTGTTGATTACTATACAGAGTTTTAACTTTAATATTTAAATTTTAACGTTTAACTAACTATAAAAAAAATATCATTTAATTATAGTAACAAATTGTACAAAGACGCCGGTAAAAAAAACACAATTAAGACCCCACAAAACGAAATGGCGGTGATGATTACATAATATGAATTATTTGAATTATATGCTTAGCTTATGCATTAAGGAAAAAGGGCCCAAAAAAAAATCGACGTGTTTCTTTTCTGCTATAATGTCAGAATTTAAGAATTAATTTTTATAACCTTTGTTATTTATTAAACTGCATTTAAATATTATTTAATTGACACTCTTTAATTATATTTATGTTCGTATTTTTAGGGTTTATTTGAAGTTTAACTATATTCTTAACCAGTGAATAAAAAAATTACATTTCTCTGATGGGACAACCGTTATTATTTACCTAACAGAAAAACTTTTTTAAATATTTACTTAAAGTTTTTATTTTAAAATTTTAATAAATGCAAAATAATATTATTAAAATTCAAAGTTTTAAATTCGTGTAAATTAAATTATTATTACAATTTTTTTTTTTAAATATAACTTATTATTAATTTAAATTTTTATTCCCTTATTAAAAATTTACCTTTAAAATTTTTATTTGTGTTTGTAATCATTTTTTTTAGACATCAATAAATCTAATTTTAATAAATTTTATTAAATAGTTTTTTTTTTTTTAAGGTAAAAGTGTAGTAAGAGACACAAAAATGATTTGCAATAATTTTTATTTTTTTGAAATTAAGCCCCTGTTTACTTTGTTATACTAATTACAAACTATTCTTGTCACAATTATAAGTCTACAAAACAAAATTACTTTAAATAGAATTAAAATTAAGAGTTTTATAATTAAAAAATGTATAAGTTATTTTAATTTTCCCGCAAAAAAATTAAAAAATTTAAATTATAACTCGAAATAATTAAGAATTTATCATTAGCGTGATTTTTTTTAGATATTGTAACGGTTATTAAATATTTGGCTCCATCATGTTCGCGCTCCAACGTTCAATACCGGAAGTTTTGCGACAAAATTTTGCTAATTCCTAATTTTTTTTTTTCCCACTCTCTTCGTCCTAAAATTAATATAATGTGTAATTACTGTTAATTAATAAAATACTTTTTTTTAAATCACAATATTTTTTTTAAATTGGACAATACCAAAATCTGTAACATTTTAAATTTGGGAACACGTTGTACTTCCGGTGCGAGAATCACAACTTCTTTCGCGTTTTTGTTGTTATCTAAAGTTGTATCCAAAATGTTGTCTTCGAAATCATTTTCCACATCTTTCGTTTCATCTCTATCGGCAAATTTTAAATTTAGTAATTATAAAACATTTCAAAAAAGAAGTACAAAAATTTTAAATAAATTATTTCACACCTTAAATTGTAATCCGCCATATCGGAAAACATTTGATAACCAAATTTTTGATATTTTTGAGCGTCTTCATTATCCTGAATTTGTCCATTTGAAAAATTGGGTCCTTTATTTATATTTTCAATGTACGGTTTAAACAGTCTGGAAATAAACCATTCGTCATTTCGTTTTTGAGTTGTTGCTGTTCCCTTTAAATAAGTTCCTCCATTTCTCTTACCGTGCCCTAAATTACATACAGATACATAATGGTGTAAAAGAATTTTAAAAAATTACCTATTTATAAATAAAATTTTTCTAGAACTTACCTCCCCAACAGGAATGTCCGTAGCTAAGACAAGTACCTGTAAAATTTAAAAAATCTTAACGGCAATTTCAAATAACATTATTTAAATTTTTTAGTGCCATATTTTGATCAAAATTACAAAAAAAAATTAATATATTACTTACCTCCGGATGCTTTTGTGAAACAAAACAGTAAAAATATTGCCAGAAGTTTGAAAATGAATGATGCCGACATGATTTTTTACTTTTTTTTTTTTTTTTTTATACAAAAAATCAAAATAATCTGTTAATGATTATCATCCAAAAAAAAAAAAAAAAATAGTAATAATAATAATAATTAATAAATTTGTTTGACTAAAAATAATGCTGAAAAAAAAAAAAAAAATTATTTAAAAAGTGTAAAAAAATATCCATAATTAATTGAAAATTACCTTTAAAAATCTTATTTTTTATATTTTTTTATTAATATATTATATTTAAAATTAAAAAAAAAAAAATTTAATAAATATATTTCGTTAATAAAAAATGTCACGATAATCACCTGAAGATGTTGTTTGACTCTCTTATAAATATAAAATGCGTTAATGATAGACTAAAAAGAGGCGTGAAAAATTCAGCGCCAACTCAGCTGTAGAGTTGTTTAAAAGGTAAAAAAAAAAAAAAAATATAAAATTCATTCATTTTTCAAACAATATAAAAAATTTTTATTACCAAAAACGAGGAAACCGAAAGTAAAAAAAAAAAAAAAAATAATCAAAGATATCTTTTATTAAATTTTTTTTTTTGTATAACCGCCACCACCACCCGACCGACTATGGATTTTCTAATATATTTTATTTCTCTAATAAAAATTTTAAAATTATTTGTCTACCGAGTCTTCTTCTTCTTCTTCTTCTTGTTTATTACCAATTACTAATGTTGTAAAAAAAAAAAAAAATTAATAACTTAAAATATTTATGTAAAATAATTTATTTATTGGTTCGAAATTTTCGTTTCGTTGGATTATTTATTATTCATTCACCATCAGTTTTAATTTTTTAATTTAATAAATAAATTTTTTTTTTTACTATACTTTAATCGATTTGAAAATTATACCAACAAGTAATTACTGTAATAAATTTTTATTAAAAAATTATTTTCCTACCAAAAGAAATTTTTTTTTTTTAATTTTATCCCAATGCTGCAAATATGGCGAACCGTTAATAATTTCACATACTTAAAATCAAAACAATCCAAAACATAATTTTTTTTTTTTTTTACAATTTAGTAATAAAATAAAATAAATGTGAAAATGTTAAGTATAGTCGTTGAAGTGTTAAAATAACACATAATAATAATAATTAATGTATAACAATTTTCTATTATATTAAAAATAATGATGATTTTGTGAAGTGTGTGTTTTATGTTGTTGTTTTGTGTTTGTTCTCTTACGAAAGGTTTTTTAAGGAATAAGAAAAAAAAAACAAGAAGAAAAACGAATAAACATCACTTCAAAAAATTCAAAATAATTTATAAATACATCTTATAAATAAAAATAATAATAATAATAATAATAATGAAATAAAATTTTATTAAATTATTTACAATGTAAGAAAATTTAACTTTGATATTTATTTTTTTCCCTATAACTTTTATCTATCATATATATATTAAAATAATATCATTTTTTTTTTGTAAATTAAAAATTATCTTAAAATATATTATAATATATAATAAAAAATTAATTTAAAAAAGAAAATTAATTTACAGGAAAAATTTACACTCGTTTATTTTTCAAAAGATCCCACCAGATTTTCTTTTTGATTGTTGAATCATTTTAAATAAATTGATAATGAATCGAAAAAATATCGAAAAGAATAAACGAAGTAAAATTTTAATAATAATGATAATAATGACGAAATAATTTGATTTTTAAAATAATAATAATAATTATACAAATAAATTAATTTTTATGTTAAATATTTTCCTTGGGATGGACTTGATAATTCAATAAAGTTTGAATTAGGGGATTATTAACATTATTATATGACCAAAAATTTATTAAAAGACTAATTTAGTTTACTAATCGTAAAATTAAAGAAAACAATCAAAGGTTATCAGGTAATCATTTCCAATAAATAATTATTTACCAGGGATTAATAAATAAATTTAACGATCAAAAAAAAAAAAAAAAAAGGATCGTAAAATTTCATTCCAATCAAGTATTAACAAAATTAATTATTATTTTCTTGTGAGTGTTGTGTCCATTATTTTATTATTCTTCATTTTCAAGTGTTATAAATAATTTTATAACAAAAACTACAATTAACTAACTCAAATAAATAAAAAAAATTAAATTAAAAAAAATACACTTGAAAAATTACTTATTTAATAATTTAATTGTTAACACACACGTGTGTGGGTGTTAAGTTCACAATTATTTATATAATTTTTTTTTTTTTTTTTAATAACAATTTATGTTTTCCTAATAAGAATCTATTAAAATTTTTTTTTTTTTCGTGTTAAAAAATACTAAAAATGGATCAAAAATAAAAAAATTCGTACAAAAAGTCGTACAAGAAAGATGACAAATAAATTATCGATAATTGTAAATGTCGTTTTAAAATTTAAAAAATAATAATAATGATAAAATAAAAAGCGTGGAAATCATTAGAAATTTCTTTCCGTTAAATGAAAAATTAATAAATAATTTTATATAAAAAAATAAACAACTAATTAAAGCTGTGAATTGATGTGTGAGAAAACACACACACACAAATTTGGTTACTGTATAGAAAATTTTTAGCTTCGGTGAAAAAAAAAAAAAAAATTTTAATTAATAAATTAAATTGAACAAGAATTTTATTTTGCCTCCATAAAACACAAGAACCTAAAAAATTTTGAAATGACATAAATTATTCTATTATTTTTTCCCCCCAAATATTATTAAAAAAAAAAAAAAAAATTCATTAAAATTTTTGTGTTAGAATGAAATTAATATCATCATCATACGATAAATTTAAATCGCTTTTAATATTTATAAATAATAATAATAATAATCGTTATTAAATATTATTTTATTACTCTGTTTTTTTTTTCTTTAACACGACATTGTCATTTTAAAACAAAATTTTACTGACATAAATATTTTAAGCTTATTTAAAATAAATAAGAGGACCGTCCAAAATTTTGACACACACACAGATTATAATATAGTCGTCTTATTAAAGGTGGTTTTGTCGTTGTTGACATTTTAACAAAAATAAATTAATTTTTTCTTGGAAAACTTTTCTTTTTCTTTAACTAACTAATATTGTATACTAAAAGTTTTAAATTAAAAAAAAAAATTTTTTTTAATTATTATTATTATTTGAAATATGAATAATTATTTCCACATTCGATTTAAATAAATAACGTACACACACACACGTTTTTGTTTTTAATTTCGTTTTTTAAAAAAAATATAAATAATAAAAATTAATCATGTGAAATTTAATATATATAAATTAAATTAATTATTTTATAAAAAAAAAAATTTATCGTATGGATTTAAAATAATAAAATGAAATTCAAAATTATTTTTTTTATCGCAATCGTTTGTATTAACATACATAATATGGGACGAGGTAAATAATTTCAATAACTAAATGTTGATATTATGTATAATAATTTTAAATAGAATTGGTTTTATTATAAAATTAATATTTTCGAACTATATTTATTTTAATTTAAAATATTATTTAAATAAAAGGTCAAATTATGGAAATTGGTAAAAATATAAAAGTGAGAGACCACCCAAGTCCGAATAATGTTACGCTTATGGGAAATAAAACGGTATTCGTATTAGAAGATTATTATAAAACGACTAAAAAAAATGATTATGTCGGACAGGCAAACATAAACGATCCAACGGTTGTTAAAAAAAAACATTTAAATTGCATTTGTAAATTATCTACGTGTAAATGTTCGACAATTGACGACCCGGAAAAATGGTTCGTGAAAACGTATTTGAATAAAAATAGTAAAATACATTCGGGAAAATACTACATAAGTAATAGGACGTTTCATTCGCCAAAAATAAATACGTTAGATTATTCGGACATGATAAATCGAAATTTAGGAGGTGTACGGAAAAATTGGGGTAACGCATTCGATTATAGATTTGAAGAAAACTACAAAATGACTAAAAACCGTTACCGTTTTTTACCGATGAGTAATTATAATAAAAAAAAAATTATCAATTTTGAAAAAAATATAAATTTTAAATGTGAATGTTTAAAATGTAGATTTCAACCTGATAAAACGAAACGTGATTTGATATTATTTTGCTCACAATGTGGTCCTATAAAATCTAATTCGCCCAACGAATATAATAATTTTACTAAAATTTTACATAAAAAAAATAATAAATTAAAAATAATAACAAATTTTTTACAAATAACTTAAATTTGTACAATTTTTTTTTTTTTTCTAAAATTTTTTTAATAATTAATTAATTAGTTATAATATTTTTTTTTCTAACCGTTTACACTTTTATCCATTTTTTTTTTTGATATAAAATAAATTAATAATAGCATTAACAAGTAAAATAAATAAATAAATTATGTATAAAAACTCACTGTACAACCTATATCTCTAATATACATATTTATAATAATAATAATAATAATTTTAAAATTAAATTATTAGTATTAAAGAATTTTAGCATAAATAAAATTATTTTTGTAAAATAATAAATAAAAATTAAATAATTTTAAAATATTTATATTTTTTTTTTTTTTTTTTTTTTATTGTCATTTATTGAAATATTTAAACTTTTTTTTTTTTTAAAAAAAGTGAATTACGTTATTACTCAAAAAATTATTTTTTATGAAAGAGACTAATAATTTTTTTTTTAAAATTATTACAAATAAAAAAAAAATTAAAATTATTAATTATTATTATTATTTATAGTTAATCATTTTCATCGTCTGTGCTACAATCAGAATTGCTAAAATGTTCTTCTTCTTTGTCTGTTACGTTGGTTTTAAATATTTTTTGTCTCATAAGATTAATGTCATTTAAAAACGTTTTATTTATAAATTCTGAAGAATAATTTAATAATTCACTATGTGATACAGTACTATAATTGTTTTTTACACTTCTGTTATTATTATTATTATTATTATTTTTTGTTATTTTTGAACGAGATTTCAAAATACCATCCATGTAAGATACAGGAATCGATTGAGAATTTTCTTCGTGATTTGATACACAATTAAGATGATTATCTTTTCCTTTATGAGAATCAATATTATTATCATTTATTTTATCCAAATCAATTTTATTCTTAAAATATTCTTCATTTTTGAGAATTCCAAATCTTTTCGGTATGATATTTGCTTCCCTTTTCTTCCAATTATTATCTCTTTCTTCAATTTTAGTCTTGAGTTCAGACATGACATTTTTAGAAAATTCTCTTTCTAATTTTCTTTTCATCACATTTTCAACATCCCAATCGTCAACATCACAGATATCAGATTTTTCATTATTATCATCTTCTAAAAAATAAGCTTCAAAAACTTCATCATCAACATTCGAATTAAAATCAGTAAAACCAACTTCAATTTTTTTTTTCTCATTCATATCAAATGTTTCTGGTTGGTTTTCCTTTATTTGCAGAACTTCTTCATTTTCAACATTTCCACCCATTGCTTTTTTTAAAAGGATAAAACCATCTGAAATACTTTTTTGACAATAGTTTAATTCTTTTTCTATGTTAATTAAAACATTTTCAATTTCAATAGGATTTTTATTGTCTTTTAAATTTTTTTCTAAAATTCTAGATTTGATTAATAAATTTTGAAACGAGTTGGACACATCGTGCATGTTGCAAGCAAATTCATCTTCATATTTGGTTTTATATATTTTTTTCTTTTCAGGTTTGTTTTGATTGACTTTGGATTTAAAATTAAGCACACCATTCACATACACAAATTTAAATTTTTTACTTAACACATTAGTAATTTTCAATAACTTTAAACTGGCTTCAGTAAGAATTTTATTTATAATTTGAAAATTATTTTCCTTTCTCGCATGCAAATTAGGTATTAAACTTAAAATAAGTCTAAGAAGAAATTCAGCTTGTGCCAATAAATAAATATTATACAATTTTAACAAATCAAAAGATTTACAATAATTATCATTTATTTTATTAAATAAATACTGATCAGGGTTTTCCACATATTCCAGCAATGGTACATTGATTATTAATTTTTGGGTTGACTCGGAAAGAATTTCTATCACTTCAATTAATGACGAGTAAAAGTCTGATTTAAAACTGTTATAAAAATTAAGCTCTGCTTTGAGCTCACCCAATTCAGGATTCAATGCAGAGGAATTAATGTCTAAAAATCTATTGTTCTCATTAATAAATTTTACAGTTTTAGTCAATAAATTAAAATTTGTTTGAAGAATACCGGTTAACTTTTTTAAACGATTTTGACGATAATTGCTTTTCCATAAATAATCAGCAGCTTTGTAAGCATAATAAGTTGATGTTATGAAAAAAGCATAGCTGCCTATTATCAAATATAAAATTAAACCAGAAAACATAATCAGTCCTAGCATTCCATGAAACATACTTCTCAACATTCCAAATTTTTTTACTTTGAAACTAGACAATAAATTTTCTACTACACCAACGTCTTCTTCAAAGAGTAATTGAGTAGAAATTAATACTTCTACTTCTTTAATTACTTGCTCATCAATTACATCGATATTATTACCTTTAAGTAAAAAATTCTCTGATTTTTGTTTTAATGAAACATCATTCAATTTAACAGAACTTATATTAGGAAATGATTTTTTAATTTGCAAGTCTTGATAACTAAACTCTGCAGGTATTCTTTTAAAGCACTATTTTCTGGTAAGCAATCTTCGTCTTCCATTTTATCTAAAATCAAATAATGATATATCAATTTAAATTTTTAATAAATAAAGCAAAGGAAATTAAAAATAATATAATTCCTGTATTACTTCAATTAAAAGCTGTATCATTAATTTTTTTTTTTTTATCGAATAAAGATTTTAATAACAGAATTCTAATACAAGTTCTTAATAAAGGGCCCCGATAATTTTGATAGTTATATATTAACAACTAGTTGCTTGAAAGTTTCTCGTGGTATTTTAACTACTTAGATGTTAATTTTTATACTGATGTAGGTTTTATTATTTTTAACTTTTTTGAATCAAAAGAGGCTGTTAGTAGGCTTTTCCTTAATATTTATAGTAAATCAAATGAAACACTTATAATCAAAAGATATTTTAAAAAATAACGTCCGAAAACTATAAACTTTTGAAGCACTGTGGACGACAACAAGGAATGTAAATTAATTTTGACAGTATTATATTACTATGTTATTAGAAAATTTAATTTTAAATGAGAAAAAATTTTAAAATATTGGGATTTATGGTAGTTTAAGAAAGTTCAAAACTTTTTTTTTAAAAATAAATATATGTTTGATCTCCTATGTGTATATTTGGGTTTCTTTATTTTTTAGAAAAATTTTTGAGCTACTAAATCTTTATACACATTAACCTTCACTTTAAAATTATTTTTAACAATTCATGCATATAGTAATTAATCAAAATCTATTATGTATAAAATTTATAAAATTTTATTTTTTATTGTTTCTCAAGAGCTGTTGTCATAAAACAAATAAGACATTAATAAAATAAAGGTTTATGTAACATATATATGAAACTTTCTCATCGAAGAGCAAATGATTTCTTTTAAACTTTTCTGACTAATATTTAAAATAAAAATAATTGCATAATATTGAAATACTTGAGCTTGCTTTGCAAATGCTTCTTTTTTTTTTTTTGTAGAAATGAAGTTTTATTATTGTTAATTTAAGTAAGATTATTATTATTCAATTCATTTTTTTTTCTTTTAGCAAAACTTAAACCTTTAAACTTGATAAAAATACAGTCAGTGTCATTTCAATTTTAAAAATTCATTCAATTCAAAATTAAATCAATTCTGTTAATGTTTTAGCATACTCAGGTAAATTTTTTTTTTGTAAAAAATAAGTTTTGTTATTTTTTATTTTGTTTAAAATATCATTTCATAAATGATGACTCGAAGTAAACGACAAAGAGTTAAAATTTCAGTTCAAGATTTTAATATTAAGTTAGTTTTTGCAATATTAATAAAATTACTTATTAATATAATATATATAAAATAGTTTTGTGTCAGTTTTTTAACTGTTAATTTTTTAGATGGAAGAGAAAAGTATAGGAAGAGGAAGAGGAAGAGGATTAAAGTTAATTCAAACTATAACAATACATACCCAAAAAGCTTTAACACGAGAAAATTTATTTCCTAAACCTGGTATTTTTATTATTCTTATTTTTTATTAATAAGATATTTTGTTTTAACCGCTTTCAAAATTATTTAAACTATCTTTTTAGATAATGACAAATACAAAAATGATTCATGTGCCAAACAAGGAGGAAGAGGCGCCTTTCTTTCCAAATTTAAGGATCAATTTAAATCACGTATTGGAAGTGATCGAATTTTTACTGATTATCCTTCAAGTGAAATCCTTTTAAAATCGTCAGTTTGAATATTTTTTGTTACATTCAAATCATTAAATTCAAGAATAAATATTTATGTTACAATAATTATTTTTTAGATGTATAAGCACAAGCATTCTCAATGACGTACAAAGCAAAACAAAAAATACTTTATTGGAAAATGAAAAACCTCCAGTTATTAGAAGAGGAGAAGGAGGGCAAAAGTAATTTTTTAAACTTTTTATCACACGTTTAATTTATTTATTTCTCATCGTTATTTTTTTTTTCAGAATCGATGTATTAACTAATTATGTCCTTCTTAAAAAAGATCCGGAAAAAAATATATATGAATACGATGTGAAATTTACACCGGAAGTAGTTAACGCCGCTTATCGTTTCAAGATCATCAACGAACAATTCAAATCGAAAAAAGGCAAATGAAAAACAATTTAAATTCTTTTTTAAATTAAAAAAAAAAGGAAAAAAAAATTAAATGAATTTATTTTGCTAGGCATAAGGTGTTACGATGGAGGAAATAGTTTTTACCTACCAGAAAAATTACCAGAAGATGCAATCGTTATGAAATTGAAACACCCGAATGACAATTCTTCTCTAAATCTGACCGTTACGTATAAAAAACAAAAAAATTATAAAGAGTGCGGAAAATTTTTTAATATTTTATTTAACAATTGTGCAAAAGTTTTAAAATTAGCCAGATTGGGAAAAGAACATTATGAATTTCGTTTAAGTCATCAAATTCCTCAACATAAATTAGAAATTTGGCCTGGTACGGTAAATTTTTACAATTAAAAATGGCGGTTAATTCGTATTAAGTATTTATTAAATTAAACATTTATTTTAGGTTATGTGACAAGAGTTGCAGAATTTGAAGGGGGACTTCTTTTGTGTTGCGATATACGTCACAGGATATTACGTACCGAAAGTGCACTCGAAGTGTTTTCGAACATTGCAGCAATTGATCCCCTTAACTATAAATCGGTGGCCTTTAAGGAATTAATAGGACAATGTGTTCTGACACGTTACAACAATAACTTGTACACGATTGATGACATAGATTGGGATAGAACGCCATTATCAACATTCAAATTATCAACGGGAACCGACATAACTTTTTTAGATTATTATAAAAGGCAATACAACATAGATATAATTGATTTGGAACAACCTTTGCTCGTTAGTAAAACTAAAATAAAAAATGAAAAGGGAGAATTTAAATTCATGTACCTCGTACCGGAAATTTGTCACATGACGGGATTAACTGAAAAAATGAAAAACGATGTAAAAGTTATGAAAGAAATATCTGCGTACACGAGAATCACTCCCTACCAAAGAAACTATGCTTTCAATAGGTTTTTGAGAAATATAAAAAATAACGATGATGCCAAAGAAATGCTTTTAGAATGGGGTTTAAATATCGACGTAAAACCACTTGAAATCGAGGCTCGAATTTTACCCAAAGAATTTATCATTTTAAAAGATGACAAAAAAATCGAAGCTCCGTCAAATGGTTTTTGGTTAAGCTGCATAAAAAATTTTGGAGCTTTCCGTACCGTTCGCGTAAATTCTTGGATTTTGTTTCACACGTTAAAAGATAAAAATTTGGCATATAAATTTAAAGAAATGATTTTAAAAGTTGGACCCGGTTTAGGTATGAAAATATTAAATCCGCAAATGGTGGCATTGAAAAATGATAAAATTGAATCCTACATACAAGGTTTAAGAGATAATGTTAATTCGGAAACGCAGGTAATATTGACATAATATTGAGACGTATGCGTTTGTACTTTCATAATTTTAAAATTAAAATAAATTTAATTTTAGGTTGTCCTTTGTTTATGTCCCACAATGAGAACGGATAGATATTCGGCTATAAAAAAATTTTGCTGTAGAGAAACGCCGATTTTATCTCAAGTTGTTAACACTTGTACAATATCAAGAGATCATTTATTATCCTCCGTCGCGCAAAACGTCACACTTCAAATAAATAATAAACTGGGAGGAGCTTCTTGGGGTGTTCACATCCCATTGGTAAATTTTTCACTACCACAAAAATTTACTCTCCATGTTTTGTTTTGTTTTGTTTGTAATTTTTCAAAAAAAAAACAAGGGGGGGGTGGGTGAAAATTTTTTTTTTTAGAAAAATTGCATGGTTTGCGGCATAGATATTTTTCACGAGAAAAACAATAACAGCGTGGGCGGTTTCGTATCATCCTTCGATAATAATTTCACAAAATGGTTTTCGAAAACTTGCATTCACGAACCCAATCAAGAATTAATGAACGGATTGGTTTACTGTTTTACTTCCGCTTGAAAAAGTACTGATGTAGGTTTAATTTTTTTTTAAAACAACGAGGAGTTTATTTTTATTAATTAAAAAAGGAATCGTATCTCGATGTTTACATGTGTTTACAGGAAAATAAAGTTTTACCCAACAGGATATTTATTTTTCGCGACGGCGTAAGTCACGGCATGTTACGATACGTTCAAGATCACGAAGTTTTACAATTTTCCGAAGCTTGTAAATTACTATCTAAAAATTACAAGCCTAAAATATCGTTTATAGTCGTTGCGAAAAGGATAAATATAAAATATTTTGAAATTTCTGTGAGTCGAGTTAATTTTTATTTTGTTTTACCAAAGGTAAATAATTTTACAAACTAAATTATTTATATTTTTTTTTTTTAGGAGAACACGTCAACCGTAGAAAATCCTCCAATCGGAAGCGTTGTGGATCACACGGTGACACTTAGAAATAATTATGATTTTTTCCTAGTTTCACAACATGTTAAAAGTGGTACAGCCAAACCATCTCATTACATTGTACTTCAAGATGAAAATAATTTACAACCCCATCAAATGCAAAGATTAACATATAAATTTTGTCATTTGTATTTTAATTGGTCTGGAACTATAAGAGTACCTGCTCCCTGCATGTATGCTCACAAGTTGGCTTTTTTAGTCGGTCAGTACTTGAAAGGACCCGTTCACAGTACTCTGGAGGATAAATTGTATTATTTATAATTAAAAATTAACAGGATGTTAAAATTAGTTTTATGGTTAGACTATTACTTACAGTTGTGGAAGAAATACATAAGTATCTGCTAAACAGTTAAAGTTGTTAAAGAATATTCATTTATTAAAGCCATTTTTCCTTACTTTACTTATTCGACATATCAATTAGCATTATTATCATCATTTAAAGTTCGACTTTTTCGAATGAGGAATAAATAAGCCTTTTCCTACGAGAGATTATTTTGTTTCGATATAGTTGTAACATTGCAATTGATAAACAATAGTTTAAGCGAAAAAGAACCAAGAAAGCAGTATCCATTTGATTAGTAGTTAATTTTTCCATATTTTTTTAAACTGGTATTTTATTTATACCTGTTTTTTAAGGTAGTATTTTTAAAATTCTACAACATAATTATAATAAACTATATCTATATATATATGTACCCCATTAATTAACGAATAAACTTGATTTTGTTATTTTAATCACATTTTTTTATCATCAAAGTTTTTACAAAAAAACTTGTAAATTATTTTAATTGTTTATTAAAGTTATAAAGGTTTAAATTTGTTTTTTTTTTTTAATTTTAAGTTTATGATTATGTTAATCTATAATAGTGAAAAAAAAAGTTTTTTCCTTGTAATTAAAAAAAAAAAAAAAATTAAGAAAAATTTGTTGACGTATTTTTTTATATATTCTCACTTTGTTTGTATATTTGTAATTTTAAAATTAAATATATATAATGATAAAAACTAAAAAAGCAAAATTTTTCAAATTGATTTTTTAATTTATCCCGCACCATATTTAAAACTTCGAACTATTTAGAAATTAATTTTGCCTAATTTCAGGTAATTAATAATCGATTCGAATTATAAAAAAAAAGAATAAGTGTATAAATAAAAAATATGTTTTATTTGTAGAATTGTTAGACATTAAAATTTATAAATTTTTTTAGATCGAAATTTACTTAGGATAAGAATTCATTTAACTTTCTGCGAAATATAAATAAAAAAAACCTTAAGCAACCGAAAATTTTTCAGGGCCTTTTTAACTTCAAATGCCTTTACGAAAAAGTCCATGTGAGAAGTAGTAAAGTTTAATTATTTGATTATATTAATAAATTATTAATATTAAAATGAATACTATTTCTCTTGACAAAAATAAACAAAAAAACTTGATTAAAAATGTTGAAAATATAAAACGTAAACTCAAAGTAAGTAAATTTTTTTTTTTTTTTAATACTATTATTTATTAAATATGTTTATTACCGAAATTACTACGTCAATTCATAACCTTAATACATATCATAACCCTGAGAAGTGAAAAATATTTCATAAAATATATATTTAAAATCTATTTTTGAAAGAGTTTAATAATAATGCATAATAATTTTATTATTTTTTTAGTCAAAGGAAATAGTACTTCTTGAAAAAATAAAACGTAAATCAAAAAAGAAAAAGGAATTTCATAGAAAACCAAAACCTACCATATATGTAAGTCATATTCCTCATGGATTTTACGAGAATCAAATGCTTTCATTTTTTAGCCAGTTTGGTAAAGTATTTTCAGCGAGGATAGCTCGAAGTAAAAAAACTGGAAGGAGTAGAGGTTTTGGATTTGTACAATTTCAAAATGAAGAAGTTGCAAAAATTGCTGCCGAAACTATGGACAATTATTTGCTTTGCAATAAAGTTTTAAAATGTAAATTATTCAAATTTATTTTTAATAAAGAAAAACTTTTAAGTTTAATTAGTTTACTATAAGTGAAAAAAAAAATTAAAATTTTTAGGTAAATATATTCCTCCGAATGAAAATAAAATGAAGAGAGTATTAAAAATTGATCCTGCAAACTTTCCGAAAAAAATCAATAGAAGTTGCGGATTTAAAATTAAAAATATAGCATATGAAAATTTAAATGAGAAAAAATATCAAAGTAAAATTCATAAAAAAGCTTCACAAATTTCAAAATTTCTTCAAGATAAAGGAATTGATTTTTCATTGCAGGTAATACATCAAAATGAAATAATCCCGAAAAACTACACGATAATTTTCTTTAATCAATTATTAAAAATTCAAATTTGTTTTATTGATAAATTTTTTTTTTCAGCTTCAGACAAATCCCTTAGAAGAAGATAAAGATAAATTAATTAATGCAAATAAACCTGATAAGGAGGCAGTTTCTGAACAAGACAAAGTTTTAGAAATCGATGAAAGCGATAATGATATTCAATTTAAAACTCCACCGAATGTGAAAAAAATCATAATTAAATCAAATGGTTCTTCGACACCGAGAAACACAAGGAAAAAAATTGTTAAAAAGAAGAAGAAAGTATTAAAAAAATCCTAAAGGTACCTTTTTTATTTTTAAATGGCAAAAAAAAAAGAAAATACAAAATGAAAAGGCAGAAATGTTAAGGTTAATAATATATATGTGACCATAGAAAGAATAATTACAATTACAGTTTTACAATAATTAGAGTTTATATTGAGATTTTCTCCCTAATTTTCTTATCAACACCAAAATGATTACCTAATTTTAATCTTTTCCTCTTCATTCTTCTATTTTGAAACCAAACTTTAACCTTATCGTTGAAACGACAACAACAACAACAACAACAATAAATGTTTTGTTCGAATACAATTATTATAATTTTGTTAGTTTTTAATTTAAATTAATTTGAATTCACTTACCTGTTTTTCTGTTAGCTCAAGTTTGACAGCAATTTCATATCTTCTCAATCTTGTAAGATAATTTGAAGTTGAAAATTCAGTTTCCAAATCTTGTATTTGTTTTTTTGTAAATGCTGTTCTTTCCTTTCTTCTTTTTTCAACGTTTTTATCCACGACGTTTGTACCTTAAAAAAAAAAAAAGATTTATATTAGTATTATTTAAAATTTTCATGTAAAAAAAAGAAATTGTTTTAAATAATCTTATCGAACAATAACTCTTACCACCATTTTTTATATTCTTATTCGATAAATTCATTGATAACCAATAATTTGAAGATGAATTATAATTAATCATATTGTTTATATCTAAATATCCTGATTTTGTGTCTGTTTGATATTTTTCAGACATTTTAATATAATCATCATTAAATAATATTTTTTTTTTATTTTCCACTGACCAATGATTATAATTATTTTGATTATTCGAATCGGCAAAATGTATCATTTTACAATTTATTTTTTCATCAATTACAACTTGATGATTTCTTTTCATTTCTCCCCTTATGATTTTTTCTTCCCTTATATTCATGATTTTTTTCCTGAATCCCGTTTTTTTTTTAATATTTCATTATTTGTTGGAAAAAAAAAATAGAAAAAAAAATAACCGATTTGTTAAAAGTAACGGTTGTCACACTGAGATTTCAAAAATGAACTGGCATGAATTCCCCCATTGAAATTTAAAAAAAAAAAAAAAAAAAATTGTTTGTTTTTATAACGAAACAAAAAAGTTTTAAAATAAATAAAACTAATATAAAAAAAAGTCTCGAGAAAATTTAATTTCGTTCGGTTTATAAAAATTATATAAAATATAAAAGAGATGAAGAAAACTTTTTTACGAAGGTTGTATAAATAAAATTATATATATATACGCGTATAAATATTATGTTCTAATTAATTACCGTTGACAGTTTTGAAATGTTATTTAAAAGATATTTGTCAACGAAAAAAAAAATTTAAATTAATATTTATCTTAAATTTAATATAATAATATTGCCAAATAATTATAGTGCCAAAATTTTTCAATTCGTTATATTATTATTATTTATTTTCTCTCTCTCTCTCTCTCCGCGACAATTTTTTCTCAAATAAAATTCGTTGCCCAAACCCTTAAATCAAGTACGAATAACAATAATAATAATATAAAATATTATTATTATCTTCTATATCCGGTATTGTTAGAAAATTTCTTCATAACCGCCACTTTCTCTCCATCTTTTTTTTTTTTTTTTTTTTTTTCTCTCTCTCTTAAATTGATTTTTAATAATGAAAAAATTAAAAAAAAAAAATTAATAATAATTATTTTTTCTTATAAAATAATAATAATAAAATTTAAAAAATACATTATTTACCCAAAAAAAAAAAATATATATATAGGAAAACAAAAAAAAAAAAAAATTTTTTTTTTTTTAATAATATTACTCAGTTCTTCTAGAATAAAATAATAAATATGGGGTCGCGTTTGAAGTTGAATTTTTCGCTAATAATTCTTCAACTTCTGAACCCCGTAAAACTTTTATATTATCATCGTCGCATGCTATCCAAACGGATTCCTCTAGTAAACTCTCGCCATCTTCTTTTTTTAAAACACTGTTGTTTCCACCGGTTGAAATTAAATCAGTCATTTTATTATTATTTTTCACACCGCAACAATCTAAACTGCGACAAATTATTTTATTATTTCCATTCTGATAATTATTATTATTATTATTACCGATTCCCATTTTCGAATCGTTTATTTTTTCATTTATATTATTACTAGAACTATTATTCCCTTTATTTTTAAACAGATTGTAAAGTATATTGTTTCCCTTGTGATTGTTCGACTTTCCCGAGTCGGAACTAAGGTTCGACATTTTACGAACCTTTTCTCTTACCCCGCATGTTCTATAGCATTCCAGATTGACTGTTGTTTTTACATAGGCTATGTAATGACCTCCCGCCATGTTGGGTCCCAAGTGCATTATCACGCCGTATAAATCGTAACAATGTCTACTCGGGGACGATTTCCCTCTATCCAAAGACCGACATTCTTCGCAAAAGCAAGAAAGCGTCATGGGAGTCGGCATGTACTGAGTCACCTTTGACATGGCTCTAAATTTAATCACAAAATATTCGAGACGTAACTCGAGGCAACAAGAAAAGAAAAAACGATAACGGAAATAATTAAAAGAGGCTACTTACCCGTAGGTACTGGAAAATCTTTTCAATTGCAACGTTAATAACCTCGGCAATGTCTGATATCGTACTGATCGTCGTGCTTCATTGTATCGTAAACATTCTTCACAGTAATACTTATTTCTATCTCTTAAATACTCGTCCGTAACGACTGCTCTTTGATACAAATCACTCGGATTTAATGGATCCATCGGATCGTCTGAAACAACAATAAATTATTATTATATTTTAAATCAATTTATTTACATAAAACCGCAACGATAAATAATAACTTGATAACAAAAGATGTCGCCATCTTTCGCCAAAAAAAAAAAAAAAAAAATTAATAATCACCCTCGTCTTCGTTATCGTCCGTTTTTATGGGTACACAAATATCAGCAAAGGGTTCTTTTTTCTCAGTTGTGTTTTCACATCCAAGGCAAGTTGTCTGCAAAACCATAACACCTTCAAAATCTTGAGCGACGAAATTATGAACACCCAGCCTTAATTTATCATCGAAATGTGCTCCTTTTAAATTTGAATTAAATTCCATAGAAGATGAACTTGAATCTGCATTATCTAAAGAAAATTTTAAACGGCATTGAATTAAATGAATAGACGCAAACAATGAAAAATGTAAAAACAACTTACCAGCGCTGTCGTTGCTATCAACTCTTTCTAAATCTCTTTTATTTTTTTTCTTAATCGTATTATTGTTGAAAGAAGAATTTTTTTCGTTTTTTCTCGTTTTTAAACATTCTTGAGTTCTCGCTTTTAATGATGTTCTAACGGACATGACTCCGCCCCACGGTTTATTTAAATTACTTGCCGAATTTAATTTCAAAAGTGAGTTTTCGGACTCTCCGCTCGGCGGTAAGCTAAACAATAATAATATTTGTTATTAAAATAAGAAAATAACGGTTAAACCGTCGATGATATCGTGTCAAACCTGTAATGAACTTCAAAAGCAGCCCTTGTTTCGGCTTGCCTTGCAAGAGCTTGACAAGTTTCACGAAATATGTCCAATAAGCAAACTAATAATTCGTGTGCATCCTGTTGTTGATTACCTTCGAAAATTGGATTCACTTCTCTGTAAAATAAAAATTTGTGTTAAAATTTGACAAAAATAAATAATAATTAAACAAAATGTTTAACTTATTATTATTATTATTATTATTTACCTTAAAGCTGTTAGAAAAACATCAGGGTGAAAGGGATCTATGTGTTCTTTAGTTTCAGCAATATGCATAGCTTCATAAACTTCGTGTAATTTTTCGGTAACTATTTGTTTTTTCGTTTTAACTTGACTCGGATGATCACCTATTCCATTTGAAGTAAAGTCTTTATTACTGTTCCAATTTAAATTAACATTTCTTCCCAAAGAAGAAGTCTTTTGCTAAATATATAAAAAATAAATAATTTAAATAAAATTTATAAACGAATGCAAAAAAATAAAATTAATTTTAACGAAAAAAAAAAAAAAAAAATTGTTTTATCCAGACCTTAGCTTGTAAGTTATTAACTGTATTTAAATTCATGTCACAAACTAAGTGATGTAAATTATGAAGAAAATTTGGAGCAAATCTCAATGTATATAAAACACTATTTAAAAAACATGTATTTCCCAAATTACTAAGTGATGCAGCAGGCGAATTACGAGCAAGTCTATTTTCATATTGAGGACCTTCAGGAGAAAGAACCTTGTCATATCCATTTAAATGAATTCCTAATACATAATAAAGTTATTAAGCATTATAAAAAATCACTTGATATATTTATTTTAATATTATGCATTGCTTGCCTGACTCATGGAAGTTTTTTTCCATGTGATACATTTTAGAATCTTCCCAAATAGCTTCTTGCTGAAATTTTTCTAATTCACCAAACTTATCATCTATGTCAAAATTGTTAATGTCATCTAATAATGATCCTCCTTCGAATTTGTTATCATCCACTAATGATTCACTTTTAAAACTATTTACTTGAGAAACAATTTCTTCACTAGATATCACTTCAATTAAGTTAATATCGGGTAACACTCTTTTAGGAGGATTTTTTTTCGAATTAGGAGATCTTGAACCAGGTCCATAAATATAATATTCTAAACAATTAGGATTATAAATTTGGCTTTTATTAAGTATTTTAGATTTGCAATTGGTTTGAGAGGTTCCCGGTACAGCTGGATCTTGGACTGTACCAGAAAACGGAGATTCGTATTCTTCTTCGAAAGAGTATGGGTCTGACTGAGAATTTGTGTATAATCCAACATCAAATTTATCAAGTTTAAATTTAACTATTTCTTGATCTGTCTGACCAAAATAGTGCTGCAAATCAGATTCAGCCTGCTCGAAATAATGCTGAGATGAAGAAAGAAATGTTTCTCCTTCAGATGAAGTATAGTAACTTTGAGTAGGAGACAAAAAAGAATATAAACCTATTAAAAAATTTTACAATTGTAATACCAGAAAAAAAGAAAAAAGAAATTTCAAAAAACTATTTAATTATATAAAATAGTCATGAATACCAATTTGTTCTGGCAGGCAATGACTGGGACCTGCTCCAGTTGAAGTTGTAGGATGATTTACATAAGCTTGAGTTTGAGTTCTAATTAAAGACTTGGATTTTTTTGATTTCTTTTTAGGGGGAGGATCATCAGAATCTCCTTTTTGGCTGTTTTTTGAGTGCAATATTGTCATCTTTTACACACCTACAAAGTAAAATAATAAGCCTGAATTAAAAATAATAAATTAAGTTTAAGGCAGAATTTTAAAAAATTAATAAAAATTACTCTTCATTTTCAAAAAAAATTTTAAACTCCGAAATTTCATTTCTTGAAAAATTTATAAATTAAAAAAAGATAAAAAAATTTATTTAAATTGTAATTAAATAAAATTTTATGTTTTATTTTATTTACTGCAGCGAAAATACTTGTAATCAAATATTCTCTTTTTTTCGGTGGCCTGTTAAAAAAACTTAACGATATCGGCGATTTAATTAATTAAAACTTATAAAGTAGGAGTAATTTAAAAATCGTAAGTAATAAACTTGTAAGAAAAGTAAATAATATTTACATAAATTGATATAATGAAACATTAAAATGTTACTTGAGATTGTAATCCAAAAAATGGTCATCGTCAAACCCATTTTACTTAACAGCATTTATAGTACCTTTAAAATAAGTTTATTCAGGACTAAAATGTAAATTTTTATAATTTGTTTTTAAAAAAAAAAAGGAAAAATTTAAGAACACACCTTGAAGTATTCATCGAAATGCTGTTCTTAAGAAGACGATAATTTTATAAACTGTACATCAAAATACTAAGTACCACAAATACCATATTACATTAAAAAATGACGTCAAAATGGTTAACTATTTTAATAATTTTTCGGGGCCCCAAAACGCTAAAAATTTTTTAATTTTCAAACGTTACCATCTTGGATTTAAACCAGCATATATAAGTTTACGCGCGAATTATTGACAATATTATAAATTTTTATATAACTATATTTTAAAATGACGGAAGCTCATAATGAATTTATCAAAGGCATAGCATCAATGTTTAATATAACGGATGAAAAAGTCATAAAGTATGAATTTTACATTTATTTTAAATATGTTAATTGTGTAAAATGCAAAAAAATAATTTAAAAAAATTTTTTTTTTTTACAGAAAAAGCGTAGAATTAATTACTCTTTTAAACCTAAAACCGCAATTAAACTGCTCAGGAACTTGTAAAGGTGTTATTTGTTTAGATATAGCTAGTTCATTAAGATGTCAACCCTTAAGCAAAGTAAGTTACTAAACCTTACATATCTGCAAATAATTTTATTGTTATTATGAATAATAATAAAAGTATAGAATTAAGTGCATTTTACCAGTTATACACATTAAATTGATACTGTTGGTTATTATTAATTCATGTAAAATTATTTTAGGAAAATGCCATTAAATTTTCTGGATTGAAAAAAAAAAGTTATATTAATATGTACAATAATATTTCCAAACTGTTAAATCTTGATAAAATTTATTCTATTAAAGAAATTTGTTTATTAACTCAAGTTTGTGATGTAAAAGAGTCTGCCACACAACTTTTTGAAGAATTTAAAAAAAAATGTGATAAAATTCATTATGATTTTGAGCATCCTATGTACAGTTGTGCAGCAGTTTGGGCATTATGCAGGTAAAAATTGTACTTTAATTATTAATAATTAAAATAATCAATTGTCTGATTGTTATTTATTTTTTCAGGAAAAATAAAATTAAAGTAAATACAAACAAGTTAGTCGAATTAAGTAGATTGAAAAAATCTGAACTGGATAGTTTGACGAAAAAATTTGAAAATTTAAATGCAGAGTTAATAAATAAGAAAACTTTAGAAGATGAAATTGTGATGCAAAATAAAAGTAATATTTCAATGGAAAGTGTAAGAGATGCTGCACCAACTAGAAAAAGACTTTTAACATCAAATATTATGACAGATGAAGAATATTTACAATGGAAAAAAAAAATGTTAGAAAATTAATTGACTTGTTAATGTTTTAGTACATTATTTTAAAATCAATTTTAACTTAAAATATGCATGTGTAAGATACAATATAAATAATGTAAATTAAAAACCCTTTTAATCTTTTAATTTATTATTATTATTATTTAAAATAAATCATTTATTTTTTTATTCTACATTTGATTATTTGTTTATTTATGATTTATACCTAATAATGTTTTACTATTTAAATCCTCTTTAACTTCAATTTGACAATTGAAAAATTTAGAAAATGATTGTAAAAATTTTGGTAAAACTTCCTTTACTTCAACATTTCTGCAAAGTAATTCAGATAATGAAGTTACAGATTTTCCTTCGATTCCACAAGGCACAATGTGAGAGAACCATTTAAGATTTGTATTGCAATTTAAAGCTAATCCATGAGTGGTTACATACTGACTAACATGAATTCCCATAGCACATATTTTACTGTCACCCACCCAAACTCCTGAATTGTAATTAATTAAATTATTTATTAAATTAATTGTGATAAAATTTATGTATTTTAAGAGAAATTACATACCTGTGTGAGGTGATGTTTGAGCTTCAATTTTATAAGAAGAACATAAGTCGATAATTGTTTTCTCTAATGTGTGAACATACCATCTAACACTCGGCTTGTATTTTCTTAAATCTATTATTGGGTAGACTACCTGAAAAAAAAAAAAAAAAAAATTAATAAGAGTCAAACTGTATTTTATGTATATTTTATTTTAAAATTTTAAATTAAAAGTTAATTACCAATTGACCAGGTCCATGAAAAGTTATGAGTCCTCCCCTGTCAGTTTTATAAAACTCGGCTCCTAATGAAACAAGCCTTTTCTCTTCCTTTTCATCATAGGCTTTGTTTCGTAATCCAACAGTATAAACAGGATTATGTTCAACTACCAACAAAGTATCTGGTAATAATTTGTTTTTAACTTTATTACTTATCACTTTTTGAAGCTCTAATGATTGACTATAATTTATTATTCCCAAAGTTATTAATTGAACTGTCTTTGACATTTTCACAGATTTGTTTAACTAAAGGAAAATTGTTATGATTGAATTTATTTAAACCTTAAAAATCTAAGAGAAAACACTAATTAGCAATTATGAAGTGAAATGATGTCATTTATTTTATAAAAAAACTCAAAATTTACTGAATAATAAATTTTATTTCAATAATTTTCAAAACTAAAACTAGTTTCAGACAAAAACTTATAAAAATTCAATATGTAAATATATTATAAAAACTATAGTATAATAATTCTTTGGGAGTATTTTTAGACTGTATATAAAAAATAAATCATAAATATATGATATGTAAAAATTTATTGTCATTTATCTTGGGCACATAGCATGGCGGCCACCATCAACATGTACATTTTCTGCTGTAATGAAACTTGCATTATCACTGGCAAGAAAAGCAATACAATCTGCAACTTCAGAAGCTTCTCCTGGTCTCCCTAAAGCATGAGTTTCTTTACATCTTTCTAAAAATTGTTTATATGCTTCATCTTGCATTCCTGCTCTCTTATGAAGTTCAGTAATAATAACGCCTGGATTGACAGCATTCACTCTAACACCTTTACTTGCAAGTTCGAGTGCTGTACATTTTGTAAATTGATCTATTGCGGCTTTTGACATACAATAGGATAAAACATTAGGAAAAGATCTAGAACCAGCCACACTTGAAACATTCACAATGCTCCCTTTAGTTTTAATGAGATGAGGTACAGCCAGTGATGTTAATTGAAATACGCAACGAACATTTATATTAAACATTCTATCAAATTGCTCTAAAGTTGTATTTTCAATCGTACCATTTTCAATAATTCCCGCACTATTTACCAAAACATCAAGCTTTCCAAATCGATCGATAACATTTTTAATAATTTTATTAGGAACGGATTCATCGGTAATATCACCAACAACAATCAATGGCTCTTTTTTACTTAATTCTTCACATTTTTTTGCAACGTTGTCTAAAGCCGTATTGTTTCTACCGCATAGTGCTAAACTAGCACCAAGTTTTGAAAATTTAATTGCCGTTTCTTTTCCTATACCTGAACTTGCTCCTGTTACAAGTACTACTTTTCCCATAAAAGCCATTCTTTAAATTCTAAAAAAATTTTATATTAAAAAATCATTCATTTAAGATTCAAAAAAAAAAAAAAAAAAACTGATTTTAATCTCGATAGGGCCCCAATGACCTTGACTCACGTACTTTCGTCTTATCGTCAATAAGCGCTATTTTTGTCCGCTATTTTTAAAATTTATTTCAAACGGTTAATTAATATGGATTTTAATGGTAAGGTAGTATTAATTACCGGGGCTAGTTCGGGAATAGGTGCAGCAACTGCAGAATATTTTGCTTCACGAGGTGCCTTATTAGCCCTCACCGGGAGAAATAAAGAAAATTTATTACAAGTTTTTAATGATTGTCAAGCATCAGGAAATAAAGAATGCTTGACGATAATTGCAGATCTTACCAACGAAATAGATGTTGAAAGAATAATAAGTCAAACTATTGAAAAATATGGCAGGTTAGATGTACTTGTAAACAATGCTGGAATTTTGGAAAATGGCTCTATAGAGAATACGTCATTAGCACAATACGATAGAATTTTTAACACCAACGTACGATCCGTTTACCATTTAACAATGCTCGCAGTTCCACATTTAATTAAAACAAAAGGCGTAATTGTTAATGTATCCAGTGTAACTGGCACAAAATCATTTCCCGGAGTGTTATCATATTGCATGTCAAAAGCTGCAATTGATCAATTTACCAAATGCGTTGCTCTCGAACTGGCACCTAAAGGTGTTAGGGTAAATAGTGTAAATCCCGGTGTTATAATTACCAACATTCATAAGAGAGGTGGAATGGATGAAGCGACTTATAAAGAATTTTTAGAAAAATGTAAAAATACTCATGCACTGGGGAGACCGGGAGAACCAAAAGAAGTTGCAGCTGCGATTGGATTTTTAGCAAGTGATGCTTCAAGTTTTACTACAGGGGAACAATTACATATTGATGGTGGCAGACATGCCATGTGTCCAAGATAAAATCTAAAAAATTAATTTTTTATTTTTATTAGTAATCATTGAAAGTCTCAAAATATATATTTGTAAATAATTTAATAATAATAATAATAATAAAAATGGGGGCCTTTGTATAATTTATATAAGCATTCTTACTAATTACAGTATTTTTTATATTTTCTGTCCGATAAACCTTCTACTTTTAAATTATTTAATTTAATTGTTTGGGGTAATGATGCAAAGTTATTTTAATTTCAGTTTACTCTGTGCAATTTTTTTTTAAAAAAAAATATAAAACAACTTTTTTTATATGTGAATTAATTATCGATATTAATTTTTTATTTACCTTAAGCAAACATCATAATAATAATTAATTTTTTGTACTTAAATATTTTTCACCAATTTATATAATTATATGTTAATTATTTTTTGTCAGATAAATGTATTCAATATTTTCCTTTTATTAAAACCATCTTGTTTTGTTCCTTAAGTAAATAATTATCCATTCAATGACTTATCATTTTCCTTTAGTCACATGTTGAAAAATAAAAAATTGAAAATTTAATTTTAGTTAAATAAGTGTTAGTAAAGCTCGAATAAAAGTATGAAAAAATTCCTGCATGATTGAAAGTGAAAGAAGAAAAGTATAAATCACATTATCATTTTAAAAATATTCATTTCAAATAAATAATTTCTAATCAAAGTTCAATAAATATTTCTAAATTACTCAAATTTCAAAAAAAATAACATTTAATCAATTTTTTTTTTTTTGTAAAAGTTCGAAAAGGCTTTAAAAAATCAAGAGTAAAAAAAAAAACATGTTCAAAAAATTAAAACATACTCAAAACTTTACTTTTATTCATTCATGTTCATTTAATTTTAAATTTTTTAATTTTTAATTTAAAAAAAAAAAAAACTTCAAGTTTATCGAATTAGCAAAATCTATGCATTGAAAGCATTTTTTATGCATTTCTGTAAATAATTTACTTTCTCTGACATTTTAGTCAACGATTTATAATAATTGTTATTTACTTTGACTATTTTATAATTTTCTTTTTTTAATATATATTCTTTGAATGCTGTCGTTCCGACCAAAGTCTCAGAATTGAGGCAAAAATCATTATAGTCGAGTAATAAGAGTCCTAATTTATTACCTTTATGTTTGTTTTCTAAAGATTTAGGTTTCATATTATCATCTAAATAAAATAAAACATCTGGAAAAAAACAAAACAATGTTTTATATATGTATATAAAATAAATAACTAACAATAAAACCGCTAAATATCAATACTAACTAACCTACAATAAATCCCGCTTTTGTATCATAATTAACGGTAAAATAATCAGTTTTGGGTAAAATGTGAGTGAGCCCATCTAGTACAGTCGACAAAAACTCACTTTTTTTCTTTGATAGTACAAATGAATGCCTCAAATTTTTCAATTTATTACCTTTATAAGAAGGTATGTGAGAAGTTATTGCATTTATATTTAATATTTTCAATCTGGTTGATTCTAAACGAGAATCAACACCTGTTAATATAAAAATGCATTTCAATAACAATAGTCAAATCCATTATGGAAAAAAAAACAGTATTACATTAAAATTTGAAAGAATGGAATGTAAACATATAAATATTTCATTTTAGTTAAATAAATTTAAGGTACTTACCATAGGTATCATTCACTATCTCGAGTTGGGTGAGAAACTCTGTGGATAAAACATTGGATATATGATCTTGAGAAAATTTTTGGAGTAGTACAGTAGCCCATACAAAATTAAGGTATGATAATGAATCCTTAAAATCAGTTTTTGTTTGTTTGGATAATATCTGAAATTAAAAATATATGATAGATAAATATTTAAATGTAAGATTCAATGTGTAGTCTTAATATTCCATTAGTTATGACATTTTAAGGTAACCCTGAATAATTTTCTACTTTATGTTTCAAGGAAGGGATTAGGTTAAATGAAAAATTTTTTTTTTTTATATTTGCTGCTATTTAACAATAAATAAAATTAATTTCAGTTGAAACTCACATCAATAATTTTTTCACCATTCGGTGACAAATAATTAACAATGGCCATTGTCATTAATGCCGTAAGCATTTGTTGATTTTGTTTAGGACCTTCATAGCTTAAAATTTTGTCACTTAACATATCAATCAGAGCAGTATTCCTATATTTTAATATACCACAACTCAGTAATATGTTTGCAGGTATAACTCCAGAAGAAATGACATTTTTATCCTCTATTATAGAGTCCGCTAATGTATCTAAAAATTTCTGAAAATGCAAAAAAAAAATAACTTTATAGAGAATTCATTTTATCAATTATTACAATCAGAAATAAAAGTTAACTTACACTTTTTTTTAATGATAATTTTGCTACACAATAAAGTAAATCGGCAGAATTTTTCAGATTTAAATTGCTTTTGTTTTTATCAATATTTAGTAAAACTGATTGTAATGCATTAACAGGTCTTGTTTTTACATCAATGAAGTATTTCATCGTCTGCAATGTTAAATTACATTATCTTATTTTTATTGTTGTACTTATTATACAAAAGTCTTTTTCTAATTTTTTTTTTGTAAAATACCTGAACTGATTTTCTTACTACCCTGTTTCCTTCTCCTACTTTGGGCTTATTGCTGACACTGCTCTTCAATTCTAAAAAGATAATAATGATATTAAAAAAATTTAATTACTATAAACTATCACACATGATAAATTACTAACCTTTTCCTTTTAAATCATTGTAAAGGCTTTCAATTTCTGAAGAAATATCATCTTTCTCCTCTTTACTATTCAAATTATAATCATTTTGATTAACTTTTTCTTTAAAATCAGAAAATTCATTTGAATTTTTTCTAACGTTATTTTCAGTAGTCAAAAGGTTAGTTTTAACATTTTCAGAAAAGAATTGTTTAGATGATGTAGAAATATAAATGCCTTGAATATTATTATACTCTTTTGATACTGTTAAAAACATACGAGTTGCTCGAATCATTATGTTTAAATGTTAAAATTAACCATTTTAAGAAAAATAAAACCGTTTTAATTTTTTTCAGTTAATTTTTTTTTTTTTATTTCATTATTATATTCTTTTTTCAGCCATTTATTTCTAATTCATAATTTTTGTTTATTCTGTTTATTACTTAACAAATAAAACAATAATTCAAGAAACGAGAGTTTTAATTAAAGGTCGTTGAAGAAGAAAAAAAATTTTCAATATAACCAAATTTCTTCAACTATACTGAACAAAATTTGACTATATGAAAATGGCCTCCTGGATAATTTTTCAAAGCCAACGTATTCCGTTTATTTCGCCGGTATTATCTTACGCATATTAAAATTTTTCATTTGAAATTTATTTGTATATTTTAAAAAGTGAAATATATACGTAAAACTATTATTTTAATATTTTTTTAATATTTTAATAATTGTTTTTATTCTATAAAATTATTAAAAAAAAACGTTTATAGGCCCTGAAGGCATAACAGTCGAGTCAATGCTCTGCCATTATTCTAGTTATCGTATTAGTTGTGGTTATTGCTGATCTGTTAGTTTAGTATTTTAGTACATACGTTGTGCATTTAGTTTAGTTTTATTTTAAATATTTAACTTTATTCATGTTGAAAACTGAATATATATATTTTTATATATTGTGATTTAAGATATGTGTTTTTTAGTGGCGTCTTTTTAACTAGAATTAATTTTTTAATTTTTATATGAAGAAAAAAAAAAGTTTAAAATGTCTGATTCCGAAGGTGAGGGAAGTAATTATGGAAGTGAGGCTGGAAGTGAAAGGTTAAGCAGTGCTGGTAGTGGAGACGAAGGTTCAGAAGGACCGAGAAATTCAGTAAGGTAATAAGCAGATACTTGTAAGCATTTTTCAATTTCACTATAAATAAATTTTCTAGAAAATTTTAATTTAGTTATACTTGATTTATTTTAGATCAGAAGATGAAGGATCGAGATCCCCATCTAGATCTCACTCTAGATCAAGGTCTAGATCAGGATCTAGATCTAGATCTAGATCTCCATCTGCTACTAGGGATGATGAAGCAGAAGAAGCAGGACCTGGCGAAGAAGAAGTTGAAGATGAGCAAGAACCTGAGGGAGAAGATTTAAATTCTGAAGTAAATAAGAAACTTGAAATTTTTTCGAAAAATACTTTCTTTTTTTTTTTGTAATTTTATACTGAAATGATTTTTTTTTTTTTTTTAATTAGGAAGAATATGATGAAGAAGAAGATGAGGAAGATGATGATGACGATAGAGCAAGAAAAAAGAAAAAAAAAGATCGTTTCGGTGGTTTTATTATTGACGAAGCTGAAGTTGATGATGAAGTCGAAGATGAAGACGAATGGGAAGATGGTGCTCAAGAAATTGGAATAGTTAGTAATGATTTGGATGAATTAGGTCCAACTGCAAGAGAAATCGAAGGAAGAAGAAGAGGAACTAGTTTATGGGAGTGAGTATGCATTTTTTCTATATTTATCGATAATTACTAAAATTTTACTTTAATTAAATTTAAATTTTTAATTTCGCAATTGTTTTCAAATTCAAGATCAAGACGAGAGGATGAAATAGAAGAATATTTGAGAAACAAATATGCTGAGGAAGCCATTGCTACAAGGCACTTTGGCGATGGAGGAGAAGAAATGTCTGATGAAATTACACAACAAACTCTCTTGCCAGGAGTGAAGTAATAATAAATATTTAAAAACTGTTATCTCAAAACCATCATTTAATTAATGCAATAAAAACTAAAAAAAAAATTTACAAAACTTTTTATTAGAGATCCAAATTTATGGATGGTGAGATGTCGAATAGGAGAAGAAAAAATAACTGCTCTCTCTCTCATGAGAAAATTTATTGCCTTTCAAATGACTGATGAGCCTCTTCAAATAAAATCAGTCGTTGCTCCAGAGGGTATAAAAGGATATATTTACATAGAAGCTTTTAAACAACCACATGTGAAAGCAGCCATAAATAACATTGGTAACCTTCGTATGGGTGCATGGAAGCAGCAGGTACCGTTTATACAATTCAAACTCCTATTTTTCCTAAAATAAATAAAAAAATTTTTCAAATTTTAAAGTTAAACGAAACCTTTTAATTTTTTTTTTTTTTTAGATGGTACCAATTAAAGAAATGACTGACGTACTCAGAGTTGTTAAAGAACAAACAGGTTTGAAAAAAAAACAGTGGGTTCGATTAAAACGAGGTCATTACAAGGACGACATTGCCCAAGTAGATTATGTTGATTTAGCACAAAATCAAGTTCATTTAAAACTATTGCCTAGAATTGATTATTCTAGATTGAGAGGAGCTTTGAGAACGCAGCAAAGCGTACGTAATAAATTATAATAAATATATATATAAATTTATAATAAATGATTGGATTTTTTCATGCAGGAAAATGAAGCGTTAAAGAGAAAAAGAAAGAGGAGACCACCTGCAAAACCTTTTGATCCGGAAGCGATTAGAGCCGTAGGTGGCGAAGTGACCAGCGATGGTGATTTTTTAATTTTCGAAGGAAATCGTTACAGTCGAAAAGGATTCCTGTATAAAAATTTCACAATGAGCGCCATAGTAGCAGACGGTAAAAAAAAAAAATTTCTCCGAATCCATTAACAAAATAACTTTTTCCCGAATTTTCCGCTTAATCGTGTGTTTTTGTTTTTTTTACATCGCAGGAGTTAAACCGAGTCTGTCGGAATTGGAAAAATTTGAAGAAGCTCCCGAAGGAATCGACATTGAACTCCCCACGACTAATACGTTAAAAGATGATTCCACGTCTCATTCCTTTTCCACCGGCGATAATGTTATCGTTTGCGAAGGAGAATTAAAACATTTACAGGGTAAAATTATTTCGATCGATGGAAACTTGATTATGGTTCAACCCAAGCACGAAGTTTTGAAGGTAAAAAAAAATACGGAAAAGGAAATTAATTAGAAAAACGGTGGAAATGAAAACTTGATGTCATTTACCGAATACATATATTATTCCAGGATCCGATAGAATTTCCGGCCAACGAATTGGAAAAACATTTTCGACGTGGAGATCACGTGAAAGTTTTAAGCGGAAGATACGAAGGCGACACCGGGTTAATCGTTAGAATCGAAGAAAATCGGGCCGTTTTATTTAGTGATTTAACAATGCACGAGCTGGAAGTATTACCTCGAGATTTGCAATTATGTTCCGACATGGCTACCGGAGTTGATTCCATGGGTCAATTTCAATGGGGAGACCTCGTGCAATTAGAGTTAGTAATTTTACAATCCAACGAATTTTTTAACAACAACAATTTTACAACAATTAAAAACGAATCGCATTTACAGTCCGCAAACGGTAGGAGTCATCGTACGTCTCGAAAGAGATAATTTCCACGTGTTGAGCATGCACGGAAAGGTTGTACAAGCCAAACCTCAGGCACTGCAGAAAAAAAAAGAATTGAGACGTGCAGTTGCTTTGGATTCCGAAGAAAATAACATTCAAGTTAAAGACATTGTTGACGTTATTGACGGCTTGCATTCGGTACGTTGAAAAATATTTTCTCAGGAAGTACCTGATGTTGTACTTCGTAACACGACACTCATTTCATTTCTAAAATATTTTAGGGTAGAAGTGGGGAAATCAAACATTTGTACAGACGTTTCGCTTTCCTTCATTCTCGAATGTACATCGACAACGGTGGAATATTTGTGTGTAAAACGAGGCATCTTCAATTGGCTGGAGGAAATCGCTCAAATCCCATGGCTCCTTTGGGTAATCAAAGTCCATTTCACGGTGGATTCATGTCACCCCGTATCGCGGCTTCACCTCGTCATCATGCTGGTGGCGGCGGCGGCGGTGGTGGTGGGGGAGGAGATAGAGGAAGAGGTGGACGAATGAAAAATCGTTTTGGCGTTCGAAGAGATAGAGATATCATAGGTCAAACCATTAAAATTACAGGAGGTCCTTACAAAGGTATCAGGATGCTTTTTTTTAATTTTAAAATGACGTTAAAAGTGTGTGTGAACTATCCTAAACTTTATTTGCCTTTTTTTCTCTAGGGAATGTCGGTATTGTTAAAGATGCAACAGACTGTACCGCAAGAGTTGAATTGCATTCTAGTTGTCAAACGATATCGGTAGATAGATCTCATATAGCAAGTATCGGCGTTCCTTCCAAAGATGGATCTATCTCGACTTACAACCGAACTCCTTCCTTCGGTGGAGCTACTCCCATGTACGCCGCCGGGCAAAAGACTCCCATGCACGGACCTCAAACGCCAATGTACGAGCCTGGGTCTCGTACTCCTTATGGTAGCATGACTCCGTCGCATGATGGATCGCGAACTCCCGGACAATCTGGAGCTTGGGATGCCAACGTCGCGAACACGCCTGCAAGATCGAATGATTTCGAAGTTTATTCTTTGGATGAAGCCAGTCCGAGTCCCGGATACAATCCGAGTACGCCTGGATATCAAGCCGGTGGTCCCTACACTCCGCAGACACCCGGTGGCACCATGTACGGATCTGATCATTCTTATTCTCCCTATCAACCGAGTCCTAGTCCAAGTGGATTTCAAGGAGGATCTTATAGTAGCACTCCGAGTCCGAGCGGTGGTTACACGCCATCTCCAAGCGGAGCTCCGTTGTACGCTACCCCGTCGTTGCAGTACAGTCCAATGACTCCAGGTGAGGTTTGTGAAAATTTTCCGCGGGTGATTCAATGGTGAATTCAACATTAATAATCGTTTGAATTTTCAGGGAGCGGCTCGGCTCCAAGTCCATATAATCCTCACACTCCAGGAGCAGGACTCGACACTCCCGTCCAAGACTGGCAAACTACGGATATCGAAGTACGAATTCGCGATACACACGACGATCCGGGATTGTCGGGTCAAACGGGAATCATTCGTAGTATCACCGGCGGAACTTGTTCCGTGTATCTTCCAGACGAAGAAAGGGTTGTAAATATAATCGGAGATCATTTAGAGCCCGTGATACCTCAAAGAGGGGATCAAGTTAAAGTGATCATGGGAGAATTCAGGGAAGCCGTCGGACAATTATTATCAATCGACAATCAAGAGGGAGTCGTTAAGCTCAATCAAGATCAAGTTCAAATGTTACAATTAAGATTTCTATGCAAAATGAAGCCTAGCATGTAATGGAAAATAAATTGCACCAAGTTACTTTCAATTTTCTTATTTAAAACATAAGCAATTAATAATTTTTTTTTTTTTTTAAATTACCAACTTTGAAAAATAAAAAAATATATTTTCCGAAAGTCTGATGATGATGATAATGATGATTAAAATTTATTTCTAACCCTTTTTCCCTTCATCATTTAAAATAAAAAAAAAAAGAGAGAGAGAGAGAGAGAAAAAAGGTGGCAACGATCGTCGCGCCACCACCACCGCCGCCATTTTTTCACGAAAGGGTTCGTTATTATCGAATTGTTGTGTTGCGGTCGGAAAAGAGAGTGAACGACACACGCACACGTTCGATTTTATATTTTCAATTTTTGATTTTTGATTTTTATCGTTAAATTTAAATTATGAAATAACAAACAAAAAAAAAAAGAAAACTCCACGCGAAACGAAAACAAAACCGGAAGTGACGTTAACGAATTAAAAAAAAAAAATGAAAAATTCAAAATTTAATTTTTTTCACGGTTTCATCGCGTTACAATGATAAAGTAAGATTATATGTATATATATATATATATTATCGATCGATTTATTTTTTTTTTTTACTTTTTTTTCTCTAATTTTTTATTCGTTTAACTAAAAACAATTATCATTATTATTATTATTATTATTTGTCGTTTTTTGTATATAATTTCATTTCGTAAAAGAAAATTTTTTAATTATTATTATTATTATTATTACAAAAAATCGTTCGAGAATAATCGACACGTTTAATTTTTCGATTTGATTAAACAAAAAAAAAAAAAAATTTTCTCTCTCTCTGCATTTCATTTGCATACTTTAAATTTTTAAGGCGTTAAAAAACGCACCCATTTCGCGAACGTATACATAAATTTTTTTTTTTTTTTTTTAAACAATAGAAACGAAAAATAATTTAAAGGAAATGTAAAATAAATAAAGATAATAATAATAATAATAATGATAATTTAAACGATAAAATACGAAATCTTTCGTCGCGATCATATATGCGTATTAATGCGTTTTTTTTTTTTATCAGGTACCTCTCATCCGAGTGCTGCCAAAACAATAAACGACGACACGTAAACATCGAAAAATAATAAATAAAATCAGATCGAATAAAAACAATAATTAATCTCAACGCGTACGAAAAGACTAGAAAACCGACAAAAATTTAATAACGAAAAAAAAGTTGTATTAATAAATAAATAAACCCGCGCACACACCCACGCACGAACGAACGTGTATAATAATGTATTCCTTCAACAACAACAACAACAACAACGGAAGAGTGTCAGTGTCAGAAGAAGAAATTGACGAGTAAGTTTTTATTTATTTAATTACTTATTACCCCTCCCCTCCGCCCCCCCTCCCCCGAAAAATTCATAATATATTAAAACCTCGTGAATAATGATCGCAGTACTATTATTATTATTATTATTATTATTATTAATTTTTCACACCGTTCGCTAATTTTTTTTTTTTTTTTTCGTAATTAATTTCCGCAGCAGCCGAAATTAAGAGATTAAAACAAAATTCAACCTTGAAAATAATAATAATAATAATCACGATAATAAATGAGGGGGAGGAGGAGGAGGAAGGGGGGCCCTTTTAAATGATGATTATGTCATCGATAACGTTTTGCTATTATTATTATTATTATTATTATTATTATTATTATTATTATTATTATTTCTCTCTCGTTAATAAAACAATAATTAAAATTTTTAATGATCGTTATAAAAAAAAAAATTAAAACCGATCGATAATTTAAACGATTTATTTTTCAAAAAATCACGTGATCCGTTTTAACATAAATAATAATAATAGTAATAATAATAATAATAATAATAATAATAATAATAATAATAATAATAATAATTTTTAAAATAATCTTTCACTACGTGCTACTGAAAACGTATATGAAGAAACGTACAAAAAAAAAAAAAAAAAAAAAAAAAACGCACGATTTATTATTATTATCGTAATCGAATCCCGCGTAATAATCGCGGAAAATACAATGGATTTACAAAATCGATATTATCGATTCGTTCGATTTATCGAATCTATCCATCGATCTATCGAAAATGATTTTTAACAAGGTAAAAATTACCCTTTGCCCCCCCCCCACCCAGCCTACGAGAGGCAAATCCTTGATAATATTATTATTTTTTTAAAAATATTTAAAAACAATATCGAGACGCCATATTTATATTAATATATAATATATATCTAACGTTTTGTTTTCCCCCACCCCCACCCCCTCCCCCTCCCACTTTATTATATCGAATCGAAATAATGACATTTTATTTTATTATTTTTTTTTTTTTAAAAAAAAAAAGTTCCTCTGTGTCGTAAAGTATTTTCTATCGTTTACGAAAAAAAAAAAAAAAAGTAATAAAACGAACAAACGAAACAAACGAAACAAACAAACAAACGAAACAGTTTAAATCAAACAGCAGATTACTTACTTACTTACTTATTTTTTCTTTTGGTAAATAATCTACAAGATAAATAATAATAATAATAATAATAATAAAGCCTAAAAAAAAAAATTTTTGTTTTTTTTGTTTTTTTGTTATTTACGTCGCGGTGCCATTTTAGTTCGGTTTTTATATTTGTATCGCGAATTAAATTTAATAATAATAATAATAATAATGTAACGTTTGTTTGTGACGAATCGTATATTATTATTATTATTAACGTTAGTTTCCAGAATTTCGGAAAATATAAATTTTTTTTTTTTTTTTGGTGGTGGGGGATTTAAATTGTTCCTTCCGGAGAAAAAATTATTTCACGCACGTGGTTTCGCACGCGTACAAAAAATTTTCGATTTATCGATCGATTTATTTAATCGAAAAAAAAAAAAAAAAAAAACATTTTTCCATGCTCATAATGATAATATTTTTAATGCCCGACACGGAACGAAAAATTGATATTGATGATGATGATGATAATAACGATGAGAATGATAATAATGATTTAATCGAAATAGAATTTCGCGACGAAATTTCACCGACGAGGTAAAACGTAAAATTAAATAATAATAATAATAATAATAATAATAATAATAATAATAATAATAATAATAATAATAATAATAATAATAATTACGAATGTATCATTCCTTTTTTTTGTTTTGGTACAGGTACCCAGATGGTACGGTCAAACTTCGAAATCCTAACATAGAACTTATGGACCAAGATATATTGTATCATTTAGCTTTGGGTAGCGAATCTCACGATTTAGTATCCATGTTCGGAGACGTTAAGGTGAGTTTTTTGGCATCTTACTCCCCCCCCCTCCGAATTAATTTACATTCTCATTTGGGAAATTTTATTCTAGTTCGTTTGTTTGGGGGGCACGCCGAAAAGAATGGAACAATTTGCTTTTTACATAATGGAAGAAATCGGACATAAACTCCCGTGCGGTACGACGCTTCAAGACATTTCTAGATTTTCCTATCGTTATTCAATGTATAAAGTAGGACCGGTTTTGTCCATCAGCGTAAGAAAGAATTAGTTTTTTTTTTTTTTGTCTTTGTCTTTTCCCGTCTCAATCACGAAGATAGAAAAAGAAAGAAAATTTTTTTTTCAGCACGGAATGGGTATACCCTCTGTCGGTATCCTTTTACACGAAATAATCAAACTCATGTATCACGCCAAAGTTAAGGATCCGATATTTTTTAGAATTGGAACTTGCGGTGGTGTCGGCGTCGAAGGTGGTACGGTTATTATATCGGAAGAAGCCGTCGATGGTTTGGGCAGAGCATTTTTGGAAACGGTAAATAAAAGTTTTCCTTCTCCCCTTTCGCTTAAGGGTAAAAAAAAATATAAATGAAAACTTACCTTTTGTTGTCGCTGTCGTCGTTATCAGCCGGTTTTGGGAAAACTCGTGCAACGTCCAGCCAAACTTGATAAAAAACTTGTGAGAGATTTGAAAGCTATAGCAGATCCCGATGATCCTTGGCAAACCGTTTCTGGAAAAACAATGTGCACCTATGATTTTTACGAAGGTAAAAAAAAAAAAAAAAAAAGTAAAAATTTTCCAGCTTTTATTTATTAAATAAAAAAAAAATTTTCTTCTTTTTCCCCTTTTTACAAAAAAGGTCAAGCACGTCTCGATGGAGCCTTTTGCGAATTTTCCGAACAAGAAAAAATGAATTATTTGGAATCACTTCACAAGACTGGAGTTATAAACATCGAAATGGAATCTTTGTCATTTGCCGCATTAACTTATCACGCTGGAATCAAATCGGCCGTGATTTGCGTTGCACTCTTGGATCGTTTCAGAGGAGATCAGGTTAGAAAAAAAACGAATCATCATCATCATCATCATTTATTTAAACTCTTTGAACTGTACTAACATGAGATCCGTTTGCTTTACAGGTTCTAGCACCGAAAGAAGTGCTTGACGAATGGCAAGAAAGACCTCAAAAACTCGTTTCGAAATACGTTAAAAAATATCTTTCGACAAAAGGTAGATTGTCTTCGGTGAGAGGTCACGGTTCCATGTGCGTAAAAAGTCCAAGACGTTTCAAGCTGGTGCAACAAGAATCAGAAAATTACGATTAAAATCCTATTTCTATCTCTCTTTCTCTCTCTCTCTCTCTCTTTCTATTTTTCCAGCGTGTATATCGATTTTTTTTTGCCTTAATACAAAAAAAAAAAACCGCGTTGAAAAGGTTAAGAGGCTGGAAAAATTTTTGAAATCGTCGTGTTCCTTTAGTCTTGTTGAATGAGACTTTAGTTTATTATCATTATTATTATTATTATTATTATTATTATTATTATCTAAAAATGGTTACACTAAAATTTTTTTTTTTTTAAATATGTAACTTAGTCTACTATTGATAAATGTTTATTGATCGATCGATCGGTTTCGAATGTAATTAAATAAATAATTCTAAAATTTATTAATAATATAGAAAAATATTATTATTATTATTATTATTATTATTATTATTATTATTATTATTATTATTAATCGTTTGTTCGTTTGTTACTTATCGTATATATATATATATATTTGTTAGTCATATTATAATTATTATTAATACATTATTATTATTATTACTAAAAAAAAAACTTATGTAGAAAAATATTTATCGAAAAAAAAAAAAAAAAAAAACCAAATTAGAATTATTATTATTATTATTTTTTTTTTTTTTTACGGTTGTCGTTTGTCGTATGGCGATTGTTGTTTGTCGTATGGCGGTTGTCGTTTGTCTTAAAAGACAAGACAACTTTCGAGTATTTTCTTAAGGGTTCAAAAAATTACGACAAAATAATTTTTTTTTTTTTTTTGTTGTAATAAACGACCATTTTGATATAATAATAATAATAATAATAATAATAATAATAATAATAATAATAATTAATAATAATAATAATTTAATGATAACAGTTTTTGATTAAAAGTTACGTGTAAAAAAATATAAGTTAAAAAGCAGAAGGAAAAATTGAAAAATTATTGTTAGTTAAAAAATTTCGTTTTGTTTTGTTTTGTTTTGGTTGTTGTTGTCGTTGTTATCGTTTGTTGTTATGTTTTTTGTTTGAAAAATTTTTATTTATTTCAGATTAATATTATTATTATCATATTACAAAAGTGAGAAATTATGTATTGTTATAAGTTTATATATATATATCTAATGTTTCATTTGAAATCCACAAAAAAAATTTTCTTTTTTGTTTTTCAATAATAATAATAATAATAATAATAATAATAATAATAATAATAATTATCACACTTTGTAGATTTGATATCGTCACACACACCCGCACACCCACCCACCCACCAACACAAAAAAAAACTGTTATTAATATTATTATTATCGTAATATAATAAAACACCAAATTCGTATTTGAAAAAAAATTTATTTATATATATATATATATTTAATATAATAAAATGCTTTTATCGCGGAGTTCTATAATCATTGTTGTTGTTGTTGTTGCTTTGTAATAATAATAATAATAATAATAATAATGTAAAATTAATTATATTATTAATGAATTTTTTTTTAAACATTTATAAAAAATAATAATAATAATAATTTTGTTTTGTTTTTTTTGTATGCAAAAATTATTAGCAGTAAAATTAAAAAAGCTTTATGAAAATTTACCATTTATGTATGGAATTCGTTTGTTCGTTTGTTTTTCGAGGGAGGGGGTGGAAGGGGCGGGGGGTTAATTTTTTTTTTTTTTAAAATAAAGTATTTTATAAACAATAAAATTAATAATAATAATAATAATAATTATCATAAATACGATTTAATTTTGTTTTTTCTTATCCATCCTCTCTCTCTCTCTCTTTATCCTTTCCTATTTTGTTCGAATTTGATTTAAAAAAAAAAACAAAAAAAAAAAAACAAAGCGATCGTGTCGTCGTCGTTTCGTACAAAAAGAATCATAATAATGATAACGTAACCCTTTCATATTTCCCCTAACGGTTTTTTTTTTTTAAACAAAAAGGTTAAATGCGTTGACATAACTGTATCGGTGACATTCGCACTCATTCGTCCTGTTTTTTGAAACATGCAACATAAATTTTCGCGGGAAAAAAACATTGTTAATCATTCATCCCTTACATCATCAACCCTTCTTAACTTAAACCTTTTAAACAGTTCATAAAAAATTTAATTTTCTTCCCCTCCCCCCCCCAAAAAAAAAAAAAAAAATTTTTAAACTAAACAGTTATAAATCGTTCGAAATTGAACCGTTAAAAAACTCAAACAAACAACATAATGTTTAATTTACAAACAAAACAAAACAAAATCTCATCTCTCGACGTAATAATAATCGAAACGTTTTCTTTTACCTTTTGTCTAATAAATAAATAATAATAATAATAATAATAATAATAATAATAATAATAATAATAGAAGAAAGAAGAAGAGAAAAAAAAACCGTTAGAAATAATATTTGTTTATTATTATTATCATTAATCTTACCTTTTTTAATCCGAACGAAAAACTTTCGACGATTTCTTTTCTTTTCCTTTTCCACACACCTGAAAATAAAAAAAAATTTTTTTAAATAATTTTTTTTCTTTACCCCTACAAAAAATCGAATCGAATACAATCGAATCGTATCGTATCGAATCGAATCTCGATTTGCACGAAATTTTTTAATTAATATTTATTCACGTGCGTTCAGACGTGTATTAAAAAAAAAAAAATTAAACCGAATAAATTATTATTATTATTATTTTTTATATTGTACTCAGATGTTATAAGTTGTTTAAATAAAACTTAAATTACTCGTTTTCAAATATTAACTGTAAACTTATTAATCTTTATGTAGAGAGAGAGAGAAAAAAAAAAAAAAAAAAAAAAAAAAACGGTTGTTGACGTTGTTGTTTAAATATCAAGTTCTTGGCCGCCAAATATTTTTTTTTTTTTTTTAAATAAACTAAAACGAGTTCAGTTAAAATCTTGTATCGAAAGACTAACGGTGGGGGGGGGGTCGTACCTACAAACAAACAATCGAAACGTTAACACATTTTT